AAATCATTTTAAGGATTTTTTTTAACAAAAACTAAAAAAAGTAACGAAATAGACGTTGGTATCACAACGGACTGGGGTACACAAAGGACTTAATCAGATAACGTAAAAAAGAAACTATATAGGGTGGTACGATTTTAGAGTAATGCATAAACAAAATTCTTTGTAGTGGTGCTCACTTGCAGAATAAAAACTTAGATTTCTAAATTATAGACACCCTTTTTCTTTGACTATAAGCTGGTGTCTTTTAGTATTTGTATATTGCGTGGAATTTTCCCTTGGATGTAATCTATATCATGAGTTGTAATCACAAATAATTTTAAATTGGTTTATCATAAACTACTTTTAATAAAAGCGACGGTAAATATCCACTTTGTTGTCGAAAAATTCTATTGCGTTACCCTAAATTCCATTTCGTTACCAAAAGGTAACATAATGGACTCGGTAACGCAGTGGAAAAAGTTTTGTGAAACCATATTTAAAAAATAATAATAAGACATTACAGTCATTAATTACTCTCAATGAGCTTAAGTGCCCTAAAATAAACATAAACATGAAAAATAGTATTTTTTCTTACCTTATTTTTATTATTTTTTTGAGTAACTTAGCGGACAAACAATTATTACATTCGCGTTACCCGAACCTGTTTCAACCGATATCTTCTTCCTGATTGATTAAATAAATTTAGCTGGGTAATGTGTACGTCCGAACATCATTTGTTGATCACGTGAGTGCCAAAAAAGTTGCCATATATATGTTTTTTTTTATATTTTATCGGTAAGGCAACGGAAAAAATGTCTGGTACATTAGTCAAATTTAAAAAAAGTAGATTAAAATTAATTATTTTATATATAAATTGTTTACTGTATTAACTAAGGATGTTATGGATTGCTATAAAGCAACACAAAGTTCTGGTTATTCAATATTAAAAAAAAAAAACGTGTGTGTAAGTTTTATAAAACGCTAATGGGACATGCGAAAATGTGTGTTTCACAAGTTTAAAAATTAAAGAAAAATTATTCTGAAATAACTAAACAAACATTTTCTGAAAGAGTTTACTAAGGGCTTGTTAGGCTTTCACTTGGTTTTTAAATCAATAAGATCCGATTCTTTTTAACAAAGTTATTGGAATTCAAACTTACGGACAGCGGAAGGCGGGTGTTTTTTTATAACGACCCAATAGCGAAAAAGCAGTCACTAATAATTAGTCAAATTCTACTGAGAAATAGTCAAATTAGTAGATTTAAATTTAAAAAAAGTTTTGACCCAGCCAGGGATTGAACTCAGGTCTGTCACTTGTCAAGCTGTTGTCATAACCAATGTGGCTATCAGTCGCTCTTACAAAAGTGAACGCTGGTCGCCCCAAAGTCACCTTCGTGATGTTTTTTTTACAAATATGAGGATATAAATCACCATTAATCCAACAATAGTAGTATTCATACGCGACACAAAAATACCGAGAAATTCCTCGATAATAATAAAAATACTTAATCCCTCCGCAACGCGCTGGTCGTGGAACCTTTAAAATCGGAAAAAAGAACCAACAAAGCCCAGATGGTCATCCCACATAACACCTTACAAAAGCAGTCGCTGCAAACGATATTGATCCTTGCTGCTGGTCGTTTTAAGGTGCACGATGGTATGCCACTTTGTTAAAATGAGATGTGTCGGGCCCGCTGCGTTAAGTCGTTTGTAAAAGGCTGGACGTTTTCAATATAGCCGCACCATGGCGCACAGTGCGCCAGAAAGATGCCCAAAATTAGCCAACTTTGACTTTTCTTGAAAAGCTTTCCATATTTTTAACCGCAATTAATTATTTTTTACAATGTTTTAAAAGTCTAAAACCTATCCTCCGTGACTGTTACTCTTTCTCTTTCTTTTACAACCATTTATGTAGATGTTGCAAAAATCGATTCTATCCTCCGTGAATCTGTTTTTGCTTTAAATTTTATGCAACGGATGGCGCTTTAATCATTTCAAATAAGCAAAAACCTCTGTTTACGACATTACAGATGCATGTGATTCCTGAAGGTCAGTTAGAATTTATATGCAGATGAGTGTTGCTGTTTTACAATTCAAAAGTTCAAGTTCATTAATATGCTATTTAAAAACCTATCCACCGTGAAGTAGATTTTTTTTTTAATAAATATTTTATGTATGATCAATTGTATTTTTAAAAAATATTAAGATGTTGAAAGAAACAGTAACTTATTTCAAATATGCAAAGGGATGTTAAAAAAACATACGAAATCCTAACCTCCGTGAAGCTCCGTGAATCTTCAAAATGTATGATTTCTTAAAATTCTTGCAATAGTGCAGAACTACTTATGTTATGTTATTACTAGACCTTACCAACCAAAAATAATCATTTTCACTTCTCAATAAATTCTTATATATTTCTTTGGTGTTGAGGAATATTTCTAATATTTGACAACACACACCATCATCATTATTTCATTCAATCGGGAAGAAAGATTGAACTTCAAAGTTGATCAAAAAAGACATAAGACAAAGAATTTTCTGGCGAAGAACTTTTTCACTATCCCACTGTGCAAAATCAGATTTGTAGATAGACAGCCAGTTTCCAACTAAAAATACTCGGCGCTGAATATCTTATAATTCATCTGGGTTTCATTGTAATGCTCTGAAGTTCTTTGTGACTTTGAAATCGAATGTTCAAATGTAAATTAAGAGTTATTGTGAGGTTTTTTAGGATTTTTTTTCGCCCGAGAAGATATTAAAATGAATAAAAGAGTGTAATTTCGTGGAAGTAAGGATTCGTTTTGTCGTTTGTCAAACCAGATGGTACAATAGTGACACCTGCGTTCTAAAATAGTATTGAAAAACAAGATTAATGGAAAATTTACTTGTAAATGCTCCCAAGTGGGAACCCTGAGGAACCCCAAATACAAGAACGTAATTAATGTAATATATCTTCATATATAGGGGCATGTGTACATGGTGCGTGTACATAATAAGGAAGTAGCCATGGTCTATAAAAATCCAAATGCACAAATTCTATGCGATACGGGCAATATGATTTTTTCTCGAGAAAAACTAGATTGAAGCGAATGTATTCCTCCTTATCTGCTAACTTGTTTCAAATGAGAATAATAAAACTCTAAGAACACCTGTATCGAGTAAATCTAATGAAAACGAAACCCCACTACAGTCACCGTGGCGAGATGTAATGAGATTTCGTGTGTACGGCATAATTAATGCACTCTATCGCCTGCCGTGTCTCCAAATTAAACGATTTCGTGTTCTACAAGCCACGACCGGGCCTTTTCGAACGCCCAACGCCGAAGATAAGGCTGAGATGTACCGGGACGCGTCAAAATAGAACGAGATTTACGATGAAATACTGGTTGTTGAGGTTTCGTTTATTTTTTTTGTTTTGGGGTGCCGCAAGGTTCGTATTTTAAACCGTTTGTATTAAGGAGTCTTTTTTTGTTGTTTGTTAAAAGATTTCATCTATATACCCACAAAATCTCATTGAAAATAAATACATTTATTTAACGATTTTTATTTGCAGTAAACACGTAAAGCTTTGTTTTTTGTGGGTGCCGCAAGGTTCCGTTTGGGGGCCATTTTGATTTGATTGAAACATGCTTTCTTATATTTTGTTTTATTTGTATTACGTTTAACGAGTTTTTAATATTGAATATTTTTCAAGAAGTGGGGTTAACATAATAGTCATTATTCAATTAGTTAACAGATTACAGTTGGTTGTGTGCTGTGCATTTAATTTTGAGTTTTTGATGTTTAGTTTTTTGACGAAGGAGTGCTACAAGGTTCCATTTTGGGACTCATCAATAAACCTTTCAATTGTTCTTATCATATTTATTCTTAATTCGTCGAATTTAATATTTTGAACTAAAAAGGAGTGCCTCAGGATTCAATTTTGGGACCGTTTTGGTCTTTTGTACAAAATACTTTATCCCACCCAAAATTTTGATTTTATAAGTTGGCTATACTTTAAACAGCATAATATTTTGCATATTGGTTATATTTTTATGATTTTTCTTGTACTTACGAGAATTTTCTGGCAATAAATTTTGTTTAACACCAAAGAAAATCATTTTTTTCTTCTTTACCATTAACATTAAATTAAGGAGGCATGGCGAATCGATTTTGACATTAACTGTCAAACCAACGACTGTGATAACAACTTTCTAAAGTAAAATTCGACCAAATTAAATTTAAGGTATAAAATTAGTTTTTTTATAGAATTTTTGCAAAATAGATAAAATGACGTCTTATGACATTAGTTCTTTAATATACTATTATTATATTTTTACTTTAATACTAAACTTTTAGCTTATTTCGTTTAGTCTAAGTCATCTCTTTTTCTGATTTTTGATATACAGGGTTTTTCTTCAAGGCCAAGCATGGTTATCTCGCTTATCTTTAGAGATACCTAGTTGGTTAAATTAGGAAAAAGTTGCCCATTTTTATGCCGATTACTGATTTTAAAAAAAATTGGACATATCACTTTTAGTATTCAAGATATCGTAAAAACGAAAGTTGTAATTTTTATTTTAATTTTAGGTGCCTCAAGGTTCTGATATGGGGCCGTTTTGGATCCATTTGGTTTTTAAAGATTTTCAGTATTAAATATGTAATTATAGAACTTTTCATTTTCTGATTTTTCTAAATTTAATATTTTAAAACTGAAACCGATAAGGTGCATAATGGAATATAGATATATTCACCATATTCCACGAACCTAGCCATATCGATAGATAAAATACCGATTGCAATTCCACGAACCCGGTACAAACGTATTTCCCTCACCACCACAGGCAAAAACCTATTTTACATTGCCGTTGCCCGGAAAAATCTTGCACGGACCTCGTATGCTCTCTCAGCTTCTCCATCGTAACAATACATCTATAAAACGGCCCCCCCTGACCCCCCGTCTTCGTCATCCCTACGCAGACTTGTCCGGATATACCGAGCGCTTGCTTACACCTCCCGAGTCCCGACTCCAACGTTAAAAACAACCTGTGCTGCGGTGCGCACGTCTCAGTGCAAAGCTACACGCGTACGAGCAAGCATCTAGCAGTTTCTGAGCACAAAACACTTACGTACTATACTTAACATGAATGAGTTAATGACCAACAAGTTTTTCGCCAGTCTAGGTTTCGGATAAGTTGTTGTGTTGATGTGACTATATCGAAAACTGTTTTTAGTTCGTGTTGTTTATTCTGTGATATTTAAGTTTGCCAAATCTGGATCTAATAGTTATAATGCCCAGGCGGAAAAATAGAAACATGAGAGCCAAAAAGCAAAATGGTAAGAAGATTGCTATACACTTAAACCGCAAATCATAGTTATTACACTGTACCCTATAATCAAATATTTGACTGTGTCATTTCAATCCATATAATCACGTTAAACACCATTTCTCACTAATTCACTTCGAGATGCACCCGGTTTGGAACCGCGGGGTACACCACAATTCATTTAAACGGCTGACATTCGATTTACCCGAAAACACATTAATAATTTTTTCCTTTTCCACGCCAAACCATATCGAATCGACGAAGAAATTTGCAGTTTTTAAAACATTTGTTTTGTTTCGCCAAAGGAGTTATTACCTTGTTCTTGCGTAATTTTTTTCATGCGACCAGATGGTCGCAATGCTTTTGCCATATTTGTAAGCAAAATTAAAATCGTGAATTGTGAAAAATAATTTTATTATTGAGTTTTGTTGTGTTTTGTAACTTTTAATAGGTTATCTAAATAAATAGACCGTGACGGTATTAATATGTGCATTAGGGTGGGCCGAAAATCCGCTTTTTTAGAATTTCGTTTAGTAATAGCAAAAATTTTGTTCATTATGTTGTAAAAAAAAAATGTGTAAAGATTAAAATTTTCGATCAACATCCTAGGCTCGCCCAACGCAATTAAAGATCAAAATGTTCAAAAAAAAATTTTTCTTAACTTATTTTGATCGGAAATTTTATGCTCTACACAAAATTACTTCAGATGGATAGTTTCAGAAATTTGTTGTAAAAAAAAATTGTGTAAAAGATTAAAATTTTCGATCATCATCCTAGGCTCGCCCAACGCGTTGCAACGCAACTAAAGATCAAAATGTTAAAAAAAAAATTTTCCTAACTTATTTCGATCGGAAATTTTATGCTCTACAAAAAAGGTCCTTACACAAAATTACTTCAGATGGATAGTTTCAGAAATAAACCCGATTTTAGTATCAACATTTTTTGAACATTTTGATCTTTAATTGCGTTGGGCGAGCCTAGGATGTTGATCGAAAAATTTAATCTTTTACACAAAATTTGTTTACAACATAATAAACAAAATTTTTGCTATTACTAAACGAAATTCTAAAAAAGCGGATTTTCGGCCCACCCTAATGTGCATGTTTCCGATTTCGATTATCCAAAAAAAAAGAGAGAAAGGATTTGTACTAATATTACCGAAATATCGTAAACAGAACATCCAATGTGATAAAATTTGGTAGTAGCTAGAAAATAATAATTTTGTCAAATGGTCCCAATACAGATCCGTGTGTCACCCCAAATATTGTAATAAAAAACTTTTATAAACTGAAACGAAAATTTATTAAAACTGGCCAAAATATAGAACCTTGTGTCATCCCATATTATAAAAAAGTACAATAAGTGTGTCCAGATTATACACGACGAGTGGGATTACAACTTATTACATGACACCCTGTGCAAAGGTTTTTTGAATTTAAAAGCTGTCAATTAGTCTAAAACCCTCCAAACTAGAGCCCTGTGCCACCCCTCAAAATGTTTTGCTGTTTTGGGGTGCCGCAAGGTTCGGATTTTGAATTTGAATTTTGAACAGTTTGTAGATTTGATCTTCATACATCTCATTAAAAATACATTTATCTATTTTGCGTTCATAATGACTTCATTATAACACCGCTTTCGGTGCTGTAATGAGATACTTTATCCCACCCAAAATTTTGATTTTATAGGTTGGCTATACTTTAAACAGCATAATATTTTGCATATTGGTTATAATATTTTTATGATTTTTCTAGTACTTACGACACTTTTCTGGCAATAAATTTTGTTAAACACCAAAGAAAATTCTTTTTTACATTAACAGCCGCTTATTGTAAATAAGTAAATTAAGGACGGCATGGCGAATCGGTTTTGACATTAACTGTCAAACCAATGACTGTGATACCAACTATCTAAAGTAAAATTCGACTAATTTAAATTTAAGGTATAAAATTATTTTTTTTTATAGAATTTTTGCAAAATAGATAAAATAGCATAAAGAACTGATGTCATAAGACCTTTTGTTGCACTCGTCCATTACAAAAGTTATAAAATGACGTCTTATGACATTAGTTTTTTAATATACTATTATTAAACGATTTGTATTTATTGTAATACTGTGAGGTAAGGAACAAGGTTCTATTACAGGAACGTTCAAGTTTGTCTTTTTCGTCAAACATAAATTTTAAGCCTTTTGACGTTTTTTTCACTTTTTAAGTACTTTTTTTAAGTTTTAAAGTAAGGAATGGCACAAGGTTCTATTTTGGGGCTCATTGAATATTTTTATTTTGATCCTTTACTTTAAAAACACGAAAAGCTTTGTTTTTTGTGGGTGCCTTAAGGTTTCGTTTTACAAAATCAAAAAAAGCAATCTTGACAGGAATGACATGATAACTTTTTATATAACACACAATTTTTGAATTGATAAAACCTGTCAGTTGGTCTAAAATCTTCCAAAATGCATAAAGATCGCAAATGGCCCCAAAATAGAGCCCTGTGCCACCCCTCGCAATATCAAATAAAAGCTATCTCGACAGGAATTGTACGACATTTAACTGTCAAACGGCCACCGACAAGAACCCTGCGGCTCCCCGAACCATACAACGCCGCATTTTCTCGAAAATAAAATTTCTGCGGCAACGCACAATAACAAATTCGACTAAAATTAAAACTGTCTCAAAAGATGACATAACATCGACATTTGTAGCGTCTGGCTGTAGAGACGAAAATAATCAGACGGTGCGTTTATAAATAAACGCGCGCGCGCTCGATGCTCTATTATTTTTTTTCTCGTGTTGTTTGTCTCGAGGTGCTAAAAATGCGGCGTTACGCCACTGGATGCCGCACGTTATACCCGCCCCGGTTCCTACGATGTAGAAAGTTGGTTTGAATGATTTGGTGTGCCTCAGGGTGCCCAGTTAGAGCCCTTATTGTCAGAAAACATTCATAAAGCATTTTTTTTGTAAAGTGCAAATATGGAGCGAGATATTCACATTAGAAGTAGTTATCTAAACCCGGACTTGCGAAACTGAGTTGGCGTAGAAAACAAATAAATAACAAAAACAAAAGAGCAAATTAAAAAAGACAAATGCAAATTACTCTCAATAAGAACACCTGGTCTGCTTTACTATGCATCTAGTAGTTGCACCGTTTAAAAATAATTCGTTCTAACCAAGGCTACAACGATTTTATTTCGGTACGAGTCGAAACATTTGACATTTTATCTGTCTAACAATTAGTTGCATAATAAAGGTTGACGGTCCGAATTTCGAACCGTGCGGTACACCCTCGAGGCATAAAAGACTGGTAGTTTCGAGCTTACGCCCTTTTTATTTTTGCTCTATAATTATGTTAAATTGTTCGGGCTTTTTTTATGAATAATTATAATTGACATGAAAAAAGGATTAGATAAAACTGCCTGACACTAAACCTTAAATAAATTACATGGTTACAGCGTATAAATATACCTCGACTTAAATGATTTATCTACCTTAGATTGTCGTATTTGCTCGCACACTAGATAAAACGTAAACAAACATCCATTGGTGCCCACAAGGATCTTATTCAAGACCCTCACTAAAATATTTTAAATATATAAAACTTTTGATGTCAATATTCATAAATACTGGCCACAATATAGAACCTTGTATCACCCCTAATATCGAAAACCTTCCTAAAACGTTTAAATTCATAAGTACTCGAGTACAACGGCCCCAATATGGAGCCTTGCGTCACCCCTAACATTGCAAAATGCGATTCGAGAGACTCGCGAAAATATTCGCGATTAAATCGGAGGTGGCGGGCCGAAAGGTACGAAAACATTTAACATTTAATATGGCGGCTTTGGAAATAAGAAAAAAGTTAAAATTTATAATGCACCGCATTCCCGGCTCTTTTTAAACCCGCTTCATATCAAGATTCCATATCCTTAACGTACGAGACGTTGTTCTTTAATCGCACAGTCGTCAGATACAGGAAAAAACGTTTTTTTATTGTGAGCATACGAAAATACCATATTTTCTGTGTTGGTTTTTTATCTAGATTTACATGACATGTGACATTTGATTACACTGCTGTTTTTGGAGATGTTGTAATACGTGGTGTACCTCAAGGTTCAGTACTGGGTGCACTCCTATTTAAAATCAATATAAATGAACAAATTTGTTTTTTTTTTTTGGTGCAGTACTGTGCGCCGTTTGTTTGTATCTTAACCGTAGATCTTTTTCTCCGCTTTTCCCTCTCTCTTGCCATCTCGAATTCGTTAAGATCAACGGAGAATAAGAAGAAGAAGAAGAGAAGGTGGACTCTTGGCGCCTCTGTCGTGAATCGTACACGGGTCAACGAGACCACTTTTTTTCCTTTTGTTTATACACAATGAAACTAAACCCAACAAGAAGAAACTCATTGTTTATTCGAAGGAAAAAATCTTCTCGGTACGCCTCAAGGTTCATAACTAGGACTCTCCAGCGTGTTGGGGTGCCTCAAGGTTCTGTTCTGTCGGTCTTCCTTAATCAGTACTAATAATGACCATAACGACACCTATTTGCGGTTATGCTGCAACAAAATTAGGAGGCAGTGGTGCCAAGCTTTACGTGCTCCCGATTTGGCACCACGGGGTTTGTAAAAATTTATATAAAGGTGGGTCGACCACATGAGGTCGAACGAAATTACAACTCCGGACACCTATGGCATCATAAATTAAAAGGCTGTAATCTCGGGAGATTTTTATCTCTGTCTGCGGTAAGACGAACATGCTGTGTTGCCATATCTACCGTAATATACAAAAATATAATAAACCCTTTTTAATTTATTAAAATTTGGAAAATAACATAATTATATTAATTAAACAGGTAGGGGTACCTTGTTTGCTTTTAAGAGCCGTGTACTTATGACATAAATTATATAGAATATAATCGCTTTTACATAATAATAATAATAGTTTAGTTTCGTATTGAATCGAATTGCCAGCATAATTTCTTTTTAATACCAGCTCTACCTTGAATTGTTTTTATGTATAATTGAAGGCAGAAATACTTACAGCAATTGTTACTACCTACAAAAAAATTAGATAAGAAATTCTTTGAAATAATGAAAACCTTATTTTTATCAAATAGATAGATAAATAAAATAAAAAGTATTAAAATTTAATGATGCCAAACAATACACAATATATTAGTTTTCAAAGTAATTTTTTAAATAACAAATTTTCAGTATTTACCGGGGCGTGAATACTAACACTGTAAATGCAACGAAAAAAACAGGTCTTTAACCAAAATAAATTGATTGACATTTTGTATAATGAACCCAGACCCATTATAAAGAAACCCCCATAATAACCATAGCCCCAAGAACCAATTAATTTAGAGAAACGTACCATGTAACCAAGGGCCTAAGTGCTGCAAGCCCAACGCAATACATAAAGTGATGTATCTCGGAAGATACTAAAGATAAGGAAATGAAATTTGGAACTCACTTCAACAAAATATCAAGGCTCGCCCATAAAAAATATGAAGCTTCCAGCTGCACAGCTTCCACAGCTATTTAGTTGACAACCCATCCAACATTATTTCTGCATCATCGGATTCGTCGTTCAAATAAACAAAGTTAAGGCCTTAGAATTTCCTTTTCTCGGGCCTCGGTTTCTTCCTCAGACTCTTCCAAGGCGCCAGAGCTGCTAAACTTATGGTCGCGTCTGTACTTTTTCTTACTACCTGAACTGGGCAGCCAGAACTGAGCAACAGACTCGAGACGGTCTTAGTCGAGATTTGGTGTCTTAAATAGTCGTTACACTGCGTAATTTTTCGCATTTGTGCTTTATGTGTCGGTTTATCGTGCCAATTTGGATGTGATTGTTTTTCTGGGCGACCATGTTTATCACGGAAGTTGAAAGTAAGTGGGAAAGTTCGGTGGAATGCTTTAAAACCCCGTTGAGAATGTTTCATGTTTTAAAAAGTGTTTAAAATGTTCAATTTCATTGCACAGTATTGTTACTGGTCTGGTACTGCAATATGGTTCTTATCGGGTGATTTAAGGGTTCTATAAAGGTTATATATACTTGTATTGACATATAAAACGTTAGAATATGTTGTAAATATGTTTGTATCATATAAAAATTTGTTTATCGCACATTAAAATACCGAGTTTTCTTGAAATATCAACCAAGGGTTCTATTTACGTTCCAGAGAGTTTTAAATAATAATAAACCATCGAATCATGTTTATTTGTTGTTAAAATAATAAATTTAAAACGCATAATGCCATATTTTGTCAATATTGACACGATAAGGAATACCAAGATACGGAATATAAAAGCTGTATGAAGCTTTCTTAGAGAGGGATATTTCAAGTGATTGGGTCTGGTCAATGTTAAAAAAGGTCCATCAATATAAAATTTAAGTGTTTCGGCCATATGTATGTATATATATATAGACGTGCTCTTTTCCACAAAAACACAATAGTCTTGATGCTTATTGTTTGAAATTCAATAGGTTTTTTATGGTCAAATCTGCAGATGAGAAGGGTCAGGATTTTTTTATTTTTAAAGCACGACTACCTGTACCAACCCAGGGATTTCTATACCTTTTGTGTGCTACAGGTGTGAAATTGTATACTCTATCATGTTTTTCTTTCTTTTTTGAAGGCAGGTGAAAAACCGTTTTATACCTATGGGATTTAGGAATACATTAGGAATAAAGGGTGTTATTGAAATCACGTTGATGCTTATAGGGCTCAAGTGTGCACCTTGTGGAACCCCTCCCAGTGAAGTAAATTAACATACTTTTTAAACAGCTTCAGCTGCACAGTTTCAAGAGCTACATAGCTTCAAACTTCTTACTTTTGACCGTTTAGGTGCTTGCAAGAGTCCCAGATAAGAACCCTGCGGCACTTCTAAACATACCACGGTGTATTTTTATCGCAACCAAGATTAAATTCTTGGTACCATGTCATGCATATGCAATTATATTCGCACAGCTGTGTATTTAAACTTTTCAATGAAACGACCTTGGGTTTTTAAGAAATACCGCATAAAATGTTTCCTGTTAATGTATAGATTTGAAAAATTAGATTGCATTAATTTTATATATACCTATGCGTATAAATGCATATTTTGTGAGGTTAGGTTTATTTATAATGATGACCAAATTAGTTGCTAAGTTCATTCGCTACGTATATGGCTGGACACGATTTTACAGAATATAAGACAATGTTTGGTGTCCGAAATTAAAAAATTATACCATATTGAAATAAAACACGTGTGTGCTATACCTACTTTCTACAGCACATGGGCGTAACGTGCAATTTGAAAAAATATTAACCTTGCATTTATTATATGTAACAATACCTTTTGTATCTAATACCAGAGCAAGCACTTAATGTAATATATATCTTAACTTAAAAAAAATCTTTATCTTTGCAATACAAGCTATATTGTACTTTATCTCGAGTTCAATAGTTCGTTTACATGTTTTTTTGCGAATTTGCGAAAATTTTTACATTTGGCGAATGATTAAAGTTAGAGATGTATTTTGTTACATTATTATCTTGTAATGTATAACAAATTTGAAGTGTTTATTTTAAGTATTATTTGAGATTTTGTGTTTAGTTCATTGTAACTCTAAAATTACTTTAGTATGTTATAAAGCTTTGTTTTCCTAAAATTTATACAAAATATTACCATTTTAACAAAAGTAGTTTTAAAGTTATAACACTTTTTACAAATTCGCACTTAGAACTCTATAACTCTTATGCTATGAAAGATAAAATGTTGTAATTTTAGTATGTTATAAAATTAGATTGTTCAACCCAAAAAGTTTTAATGTTATGACACTTTTTACAAATTCGCACTTAGAACTCTATAACTCTTATGCTATGAAAGATAAAAGGTTGTAATTTTAGTATGTTATAAAATTTGATTGTCCTAAAATGAATACCAAATTTTACCCTTTCAACCCACGAGGTTTTAAAGTTATAACACTTTTTACAAATTTGACTTGGTACTCTTTAACTCTTATACTACAAAAGATTGAAGGTTGTAATTTTAGTATGTTATAAAGTTAGATTGTCCCAAAATGTATACCAAATTTAACCCTTCTAACCCACGAAGTTTTAAAGTTATTACACTTTTTCGTACACCTGAACAATAGTTTAACCTACTTGTTCTTTTTTCAGTTAGGCGGTGTTACTGCAAGGGCCACTGTCCCAACGACGAGGAATCCGGGACGTGCGAAGTCAAACCGGGCGGTAAATGCTTTACTTCGGTCAGCGCCGACTATGACAACGATGGAAAGGAAGTACCCCTCTACCAGTATGGTTGCTTTTCTGCCGATGAGCGAGGACATATGCAAGTAAGTTTTTAGATTTTTTGGGATTTAAATCAAGTCTTTTAAATTGTGAAATGTACTTCCAAAAGTATCATTCTGTGTTTAAATAAGCGATTAAATCACTAGAACTATTTAACAGCGATTAAATTTTAGCCTCCATATTGGATTTTTGTTTACGATTTTATGGTGTTATTTACAAGTTTTAACAAACATTTTTTAAAAAACATTAAAAAATAAGTTATCTAGTTTACGAAATATCAATTATTACATATTACATACCTTAAATTAATGGAAAAAAATATTTATAAATTTTGACACATACGTCAGATTTTATGAATTGTCAAATAGTTTCCTTTAATTCGAGAAATAATCTGGACGTATATACGTCCAGATTATTTATCGAATTAAAGGAAACTATTTGACATATGATATATATATATATATATATATATATCACTCAACCTATAAATTTAATCTGTTAAACTATGCCCAGTAAGTTTTTTATTTGATTTTTCTTTTTGGAAAATAGTTTCATGCAAAATAATTAAAGATAAAACCCCTCGACCGCCACGCGGTCTCGTGATTTTATTAAATTATTTTGCATTCAACATTTTCCAACAAAAACCAAACAAAAAACTACTGAGCCTAGTTTAACTGATTAAATTCATAGTTCTCGCGACATAATATATGATTACAAAACAGAAACACACGTCAGGTTTTCGAAATATTCAGAAACATATTTTTTTTAATGGGACACCCTGTATTTTCTACATATTAAAGACAATTCAATTTGGAACACAAAATTAACTTGCATAACTACCCTAAAAGCTCTTCACATCCACTTAATATGCGTAACTTAACTTAGGAAACCTACGTCTGTTAAGTTGTCTGTTTACATTAACTTAATACACGCAAAGAACGTAATATAGAAGCACGCGCAATGTAGACATCGATGTAGACTGGGTTGCCTATCTATCTATAAAAGTGAAACAACAAGATAGCGCTATATCGTTTTACTGGGCATGTGATTGGCTCACGTAAGAAACGTATTCCCTTAAGTTGAGCCGGACCCAACTTTTGGATACGTCAAGTTACGTGTAATAAGTTTTCTACGAATGTAAACAGCTGCATTGGTTTCAATGTATTTCAACTTACGTCTCTCACGTACGTTAAGTTAAGTTACGCGTATTAAGTGGATGTGAATAAGCTTTAAGCCTAAAAATAAACAATTAATAAGCACTTGAACCTTCTGATGGTTACAAGATAGTGTCCAATTAAAAAAAAAATGTTTTCACCATTTTAATCAGAACAAAAAAATGCCACAAATGGGGTAGTTAAATTTTTTCTGACCTATACTTTTTATGGTTTTATTCAAGGCGTTTTGTAATATTAAACATTTCTGTAAAATCAGAATTTCAATTGAGTTAACCGTTTTCGAGATATTTACAAAAAATATAAATGTGACCAACATTCTAAGATTTCTATTGGTTGAAAATTACCCTGTTGTCAAGTTGTCTTGTTAATGATTTCATTCGGTTATGTCAGAAAATAGCCGAAGAGGTTATGTACAAATACTGTCACTGTCATTTGAGTGAAAGATGGTCACCAAATTCATTAAGTACCTATCTTCCTTATTACGAGGTATCATATTACTGTTTGATATTTTAGAGTCCAAGATATATCTAAAAAAATATAAAGAACTAGGCATTATACTAATGAAATGCATTTACGACAAAATATGATTATAATTATAGGTACTTACTTTATTTGTTTAAAAGCAAGTTCAATGTAACCAACCATTCCACAAGATTCCTCTGCGTTATTAATAAATCACCAATCTAATATCAATTACAAATAACATAACAATAACATTGATTTTCAATAATCTAAATTTAAAAAACACATAACCCGAAAAAAAGAAACGTCAAAAAATCAATTCTTCTTCTTCTTCTCAACTAAAATTATAGATCAAGTGGATTTAAAACTAAAATATTATAACGTGGCGCCATCTATCGTAAGAATCTTAAACTAAACACACTGGCAACCATAGAAAAAGCTGGAAACGTTGTCAATAGCCTAGTCACGTAATTAGGAGATTTTTTTTGTAAATATCTCGAAAACGGTAAACTCAATTGAAATTCCGATTTCACAGAAATGTTTAAAATTACAAAACGCCTTGAATAAAACCATAAAAAGTATAGGTCAGAAAAAATTTAACTACCCCATTTGCTAGTTTAACCGGCTTTGTAGTTCCAATAATAATGGAGTTACCAATGGTGAATACTTAACTTTGGTCACAGTGTGGACACTCGCGCTTATGAATGCAATTAAATGGCCTTGGCCTTTGCTGATTTTGTACTACCTCCAAGAAGTCCTTTTTCCTGATTATTCTTGCTTATCATCTATACGGGGTGTCACCTAATAAATTGTCATCCTGTAAGGGGACGATAGTACTCGCCAAAATCTATCATTTGCTTTACCCAACTCAATTTTCCCTTTCTCCTCTATTCCAAAAATTGGGTTGGGTTGTCAAAAAAGATCGTCGCTAAGTTTTTCTTCTCTTTTTTCAGTGCAAGGGGCATCTGGTGCCGCACGAGCAGAGCAAGTCGATCCAGTGCTGCGACCACGCCGACCTGTGCAACCAGGACCTGAAACCCATGTACTCGCAGAGACCGACGCCGAACACGCCGGATTTCTCCGCCGAAAGCCTCCCCATAGTGATCCTGCTCGTCAGCGTGACCTTCTGCATATGCATAATCCTGGTGATCGTCGCGCTCGTCTACCTCAAGTACCGACGGAAGGAGATGCAGCGCAAGTGCAGCCTCTACAAGTACAGCGAGAAGTACCCCAACATGGAGATACACGGCCCTCTTAACGATCTCATCGAGCAGTCCTCGGGTTCGGGTTCTGGGTTGCCGCTGCTCGTGCAGCGCACGATATCCAAGCAGATCGAGATGATCGCGTCGGTGGGCAAAGGGCGATACGGGGAGGTTTGGCTGGCCAGGTGGCGCGGGGAAAGGGTCGCGGTGAAGGTGTTTTTCACCACCGAGGAGCAGTCGTGGTTCAGAGAGACGGAGATATACCAGACGGTGTTGATGCGCCACGATAACATTCTCGGGTTCATAGCGGCGGATATCAAGGGGACGGGGTCGTGGACGCAAATGTTGCTTATAACGGATTATCATGAGAATGGTTCTCTCTACGATTATCTGCAGAATAACTGCCTCGATCCCGCTTCGCTGCATACGATGACGTCCAGTATCGCGAGCGGGTTGTGCCACTTGCACACGGAAATCTTCGGGACCCGCGGGAAACCGGCAATCGCGCACAGAGACATAAAGAGCAAGAACATTTTGGTGAAGCGCGACGGGGAGTGCTGCATCGCGGATTTCGGTCTGGCGGTGAAGTACCTGTCGGATACGAGCGAGATCGACGTGCCGCCGAACGCCAGGTCCGGCACGCGGCGCTACATGGCCCCTGAACTCCTCGACAACACCATAAACGTGCACAACTTCGAGGCGCACAAGAGCGCCGACATGTACGCTTTCGGGCTGGTGCTGTGGGAGATGGCGCGCCGGTGCGCGTCGGGGGACAAGCTGAAGTGCGCCGAGGAGTACCAGGTGCCGTACCACGACTGCGTGCCGAGCGACCCGAGCTTCGAGGAGATGCAGCAGGCGGTGTGCGCGAAGAAGGTGCGGCCGCAGATACCGGCGCGCTGGGAGGCGGAGGGCGTGCTGCTGACGCTGTCGAAGATCATGCAGGAGTGCTGGCACGGCACGCCGGCCGTCAGGCTGACGGCGCTCAGGGTGAAGAAGACGCTGGCCAAGCTCGACACCGACGCCTCGATCAAGATCGTGTAGAGAGACTTGTTGCGTGTTGTTTGACGTGGAAAGCTTTAAGTACGGCGGGTTGCCGGGTTGCGGGGGGCGGTGGCGATTTTTTAGAGTTTCAACGTTCGGGTGGAAATACTTTTAGTTTGTATGTTTGCTGTTGGTACTTTGGTTTTACCTTGTAAAAATGATGCGGAAGTTTAAAGACTATAACAGAAATAACAATTTTTTGTTCATTATAATCTAAATTGTGACAAACTTTCGCAGTTGCGGAACTTCCGCATTTTATTTCCTGTAATATTGGCGATTTTAAAAGTATTTTTTTATCTCTTATATTTTTGGAATGTCCATTAAATAAAAATAAAAACTTTTAAAATTTTTCACAAGGTATACAAACTAGTGATGCGGATGCGGAAGTATAAATACTATAACAAAAATAAGAATTTTTTGTTCATTTTTATTAAATTGTGCAAAACTTTCTTAGTTAAGAAACTTTCGTATTTTTTTACCTGTAAAATTGGCGATTTTAATTTTTTTTATGGAACATCCCATATATTTTTAGAATGTCCATTAAATATTAATATTAATAACTTAACAATAAAAGTCTCAATTTTTCACATGATATATAAACTAGTGACTTGGATGCGGAAGTATAACTACTATAACAAAAATAACAATGTTTTGTGCATTTCTATTTTTTTTATTAAATTGTGAAAAACTTTTGCAATTGCGGAACTTCCGTATTTTATGCCCTGTAAAATTGTCGATTTTAAAATTAAAAATTTTATTTTTTTTTTGGAACATACCGTAATTTTTTTGAATATCCATGAAATAAGTTTTAAAAGTCTCAATTTTTCACATGATATAAAAACTAGTGATGCGGATGCGAAACTATAACTACCATAACAAAAATAACAATGTTTTGTTCATTTTTATTTATTTTTTCGTATTTTATACCCTGTAAAATTGGCGATTTTAAAATTAAAAATTTTATTTTTTTTTGGAACATGCCGTAATTTTTTTTGAATATCCTTGAAATAAAAATATAAATTTTAAAAGTCTCAATTTTTCACGTGATATAAAAACTACTGACGCGGATGCGAAAGTATAACAACTATGAAAAAAATAACAATGTTTTATTATTTTTTTTATTAAATTATGCAAAACTTTTGCAGTCGCGGAACTTCCGAATTTTATACCCTGTAAAATTGGCGATTTTAAAATTAAAAATTTTAATTTTTTTTACATCCCGTATATTTTTGAAATGTCCATCAAATAAAACTAGTATTGCGGATGCGGAAGTATAAATACCATAACAAAAATTAGAATTTTTAGTTAATTTTTATTAAATTGTACAAAACTTTCGCAGTTGCTGAAATTGGCGATTTTAAAATTAAAAATTTTATATATTTTTTAACATACTGGATGTTTTTAGAATATCCATTAAATAAAAAAATTAACTTTTAAAAGTCTCCATTTTTCGCATGAAATAAAAACCAGTGACGCGGATGCGGAAGTATAACTACTATAGAAAAATAAAAATGTTTTGTGCATTTTTATTTTTTTTATTAAATTGTAAAAAACTTTTGCAGTTGCGGAACTTTCGCATTTTATACCCTGAAAAGTTGGCTATTTTAAAATATTTTTTTTTATTTTTTTGAAATGCCCATTAAATAAAAAAACATGGTTTTAAAAGTCTCAATTTTTTACATGATATAAAAACTAGTGATGCGGATGCGAAAGTATAAATACTAAAACAAAAATATCAATTTTTAGTCCATTTTAATTTATTTTTATTAATTGTACAAAACTTTGGCAGTTGCGGAACGATTTTTTTAATCCATTGAATAAAAAAAATTAACTTTTAAAAATATCTATTTTTCACAGGGTATAAAAACTAGTGATGCTTATGCGGAATTATAAATACTATAAGAAAAATAACAATATTTTGTCAATTTTTATTAATTGTGCAAAATTTTGCTGTTGTGGAACGATTTAAAAATAAAATTTTTTATTTTGTTTTTAAGGTACATTCCGTATATTTTAAGAATGTCCATTAAATAAATAAAAATTAACTTTTAAAAGTCTCCATTTTTCACGGGGTGATGCGGATGCGGAAGTATAAATACCATAACAAAAATAAAAAAATGTCCATTTTTATTTATTTTTAATAAGTTTATATTTAAATTTAACCAAGTTATATTTAATAAACAGTAATTGGCAAAGATAAAATATTCGTGTTCGCCATTGTACCTACCAACAGCAAACATACCAAATAAAAAACTCAAGAAGGGTCAGTTATTTTTCTCACCAAATCTGACCAAACTTCGAAATTCAATGAAATTTCCAATGTCCCTAATAATTTGGCAACCCACTGTAAGATTTGTACTTTTTATCTTTGTAAATATGACAAACTACAGGGTGCACCAATTATCCTTCTATGTATGGGTATATTTTCTATTTGAAAATCTGCGCTTCCCAAATAATTTAAAAAAAAAAACTAAAAACTTTTCAAAAAGAAAAATCGTGATTTTTTATTTTTTTTTTCGCCTACTAGATTTTAATTTACCTACCAGAAAAACCATCTTTTGTTTTTCGTAAGACCGCCATTTTGGAATTTTACATGAATAGAAAAAAATGGTGACGATTATAAAAACAAAATATAAGTAGCAAAGAAACTGGATGAAAATGTTGATAAAGGAGTTATCAACGATTTTTTTTTTAAACATTTTGAGAACTTTTTTTCTTAACTTTTTAAATAAAAAAATACCCAAATGTATACCTAACCATAAAAGGATACTTGGTGCGCCCAGTATATAAATAAGTTGTATATATATATGTATGTAAACCGTTCACTTTATTTTTTCATGTTGCCATTTCATACGACAGTGCCATTTTTTCGAAATTGTTCGTGACAGTGTACTTCATTAATACTTATACACTAAAATCATCTGTAAATACCCATTTTGATGTACAAATATTTATATCCCACAAAAATGAAGTTTACTGCTCAAATGAGCCTGAATAATAACACTCGTTACACATGCACTTAATTTTTTGTTAAAGTTGCTCAATTTTAGTGCAATCACACCAACTGGGGTCGAATTTTGACGTTTCACCTTCAAAGTTGTTGAAGGTTGAAAACCTCAAAATTCAAACACCATCCCATCTGTTATTTTACTACTCCATGGCAATTTCGTTAGAGTTCCTTTCTTATTTTTCACTGTTTTATTTTTTCATATTTTTACATATAGGCCGAGTGACTGTGTCATGTGCATTTATAAAAAAAAATGTAAATATTATTTGTTTTTTATTATTGTTTATGAAAGTTGCGAATTTTGAATGTGCAGTAACAATTAAAAAAAATACTGCAAGACTGATAAATGAATGTTGTGTTTTGTGTATAAAGTAATTATATGTAATAAAAATAGTTTATAGAAAATAATAACCGCATTTTAATTACCCTAAATCCTGAAAATTGTCTTAATACATCAAAAATAATACCATAAAAGTAAATAAATGACCTTAATACATTAATAAAACCATAAAAGTAAGTATAATAAAAAACATAATGAATTTAAAATTTATACGTCATAATATGCCTCTATTAAGCGTTAACCGTATAAATGTAACGTAATTATTTAATAATCATCACAATCTATCCAGATTTTGCCCTTAACACCTGAAAAGAGGAATAAATTTCAAATTTGGCGCCGGAAAGTAGTTCAACCGCACCCGACCAATCGCAATCGCGAATCTCACCGCGCACGCTCCGTAAGCCAACCAACAACATCATCATCTTCGCGTCACTATCCGCCATTGTTGTGTAGACATCGGCAGTGAATTCGCGTATTGTGTGGTTAATTTTGCCATTTCTGTGCACACAGGGTGTGATAAAGGTAAGTGGAGTTAATTATATCGCTTCTAACATATATTTAGGTATAAATAACATGCATGTATCCGAACATATAAACGTACCGTGAAGCGGGCCGTAAAAAGTAATTTTTGAGAGCTTGAAAGTCGATATTTGTGTAAATTCACGTCTGTTTTCACCGAACGATCGAAATTTTGCCTCGTTGATACGTGGAAGTTATTTTTACGGTAAAAGTTATTTTACAACGTCATTATCCACCATTTTGAAAGCAGGGAATCTTTTTCGTTACTTTACCGGTACCTACATGCTTTATTTACGTCGGCTTTATCGATTTTATTTTAAGACATGATGCGGATAGACTAGATAAATCTAGAATTATTTTTATTGATTAAACAATGATAATAATGTAATTGTTTGTGTTATTGCACAATATGGGCAGTTTTGTGTTTAATTATGGGTAAATTGATGCTGCGAAATTTGTAGAAATACTATTTTTATGCAAAGAAAGCTAAAGTATAGTTTGTTTTGGTTATTGGCAATGGTTTAAGGTCATATTTGTCAAAATTGTATAGGTATCCATAGTCTGTTTTTGTTATCTAGAATGTTATTTGTCAAAATTTTAAGTTTTTATTGTGAAGTCAATCTTGAAATTTTAATATTTAAAATTAGTAGTGGAATAATGGGGATTTTAGTAGTATTTGAGAATTTGTATCTTCAAAAGTGTGAGGTAATTTGTTAAACTTTAGAAACTATGTTAGTTTATCTTGTAAGTACATTTTAAGCCATTCAAAATTTGTAGTGGTATTTATTTATACAATATAAAATTCGGTATATGTCTTGGGATTTTATTGGCTAGTAAAGTCACGTGACTTCTTCAGACGTACTATGCCCCACAACCTAAAGTCCCACCTTGGCATTTGTATACAAATAATACACAAAATATATAGTGTTTTTAGAAAATACGCCGAAATTTGCGTTAACCTCAATTATTTGTATTTAAAGTGGGACAATGTTTATTTTTTTTATGACATATTTAATTACATTTATTTAAAAACTTATATTTTATAACTATTTTATTACTATTAAGTATTTGCCAGATTATATGTAGAAAACTTACAGATTTGCTAAAGGGTTAGGTACCCAAAATTGTACCATTAATCTGAAGAAGTCACGTGACTCAACTAGCCAATAAGAGTACAAGACTGAGGGCCGGTTTATCAATATCTGGTTTAGTTCCAGTTAGTCTATCTGTCAGTTAAATTTCATATCGATCGTTGTGAGAACAATGGTATCCATGGAGAATATCTGCCAGATAACTAACTGCAACTTTAACTGGACATTGATAAACCGGCCCTGAGCGTATTAGTAGTCACTTCCTAAAAATTATCAAAAAAACTGGTTTTTCAAAATAATATTGTAAAATTTAGGGGTCTATTTTTTAAATAAAATACAACAAAATATTTAAAACTAAAAAATTCTTATTATTTTATAAGAAACAAATCTGTAAAATTTAAGTTAAGGGTTGGAAATAGGCCAGTAATTAAGGGTTATAATCAATTAATAATTAAGTACCTAACGCCAAAAAAATAACAAACAAATTCTTTAAGTTTCTTCGTATTCAAAATTGTCCACTGTTCAATTTTCATCCTTATAACAATGTTTTTTTTTTAATAAAAAATATATATTTGGTTTAAATTATTGTGGATTTGGAAGTCAAAGTATTTAATTTTGCAGACCTATTATTTAAACACTTTCCCAGAATTTGCTGCATAAAAAGGACATCAAAATTCGCCACAAAATTAATTGACCTGTTTCCATGGTAACCACAAGACGTTGTCATGACAACCATGATAAAAAAATAAATTAAAGATTTAATTTTGTTTTATCTCTAAAACACAAATATATTTTTTAAGTTGTTCTCATTTTAAATAATTTTGTGGCTTTTAATTAAAAAAAAAAGGTTTTATATTAAAAAATTATTCAAATAAAAGTAATCTTTCTTTTTTAAATAATATGTTTATATAGGGTAATAATTAACATGCAAAACATTAACAGCAGATTCTACGTACAAAAATAAAAAAAAATCTTATAAACATAGGTCAAGAAATGCTTCCTCATGAGGAAGCTACAGCCCCTAAAGATGGTTTTTATTTAATATCTCCAATACCGTTAAAGATAAAATCGTAAAATTTTGAGAATTGATCAAACTTTTAATCTTGAATAAGTTGTAATAATAACAATTTTAAATTTTCCATGAGGGGTTGTTCAGATAGATAGGGAGTAAGGGTAAAACTACCCCAACTTCTTTGTATGTCAGATTATTTTATTTTGGAGGTTTTCGTTTAAAATCGATTTGAAAATTACCTTACATGGCTTAAAAATTCATAAAGAAATCACAACTAGAGAAAAAGATTTAGCTTGGGCAATGGAACACAGCTTCCATGTTTATGAAAAAATATTTAAGACATTTTATACAATGTAACAGGGAGTTTGAGATATTAAATAAAAACCATCATCAGGGTCTCCCCTTTCGGGAGCTGTAGCTCCCTTGGGAAGCATTTCTTGACCTATGGGTATTTCCACGAAACCTTACCCCACCTTGACAAAAAATCAGATGTGTTATTTAACAAAATAACAACTATATCTGAAGTCAAATAGTTTAATTTTGACGTAATTTATAACCTTAAAAGAGTTTCAATACTCGATAAAATGTTCAAATGTCGCACCCGTTACATTTTGAGAAAATTTTAGAAAATAAAGTATGCAATTTTTGTGCATTTAAAATACTTGCTTGTTTAAGGTTACTATTCAAGTTTTACACAAAAAATTATTACTATATGCTTTCATCCAAAATTTTACAGTATCAACTTTAGAAGCCAACTTGGACACATTTTCTAAGGTCGCGCCCGTTACGCTTAAAAGGTTTTCTATACAAGTTTTTATTGACATTTTTTACCTAATTTTTCATACTATTTTTTTTATAGTATCTTGATATACAGCCCGTTCAGAGTAAAACCGAATATAGGGAAACGTATGGGGCGTGGCCTTGCCTCCCTCCAACGCGCGACACAGTAGCTAAGCAAATAGCCTGCATCGCTAATGAGATTTTTTGCATTATTATCATTTAATTTTTAAGGTCGTCTTACCTGCTCGACCTTTCGTCATGTCGTTTATCACACAAGCTACTGTGACGCTCGTTGGAGGGAGGCGAGGCCACGCCCAAAACGTTTCCTTATATTCGGTTTTACTCTGAACGGGCTGTATATGAACAAACACTTTATTATCATTACAATGGAAATACCCCTATGTTTATAGGAACTTTTTCTTCTATATTTGTGTGTGGAATCTGCTGTTAAAGTATATATATGTATTTTAACCGAGCATTTTTACTGTCAAATGCACGTCAGAAGCAAACCTAATACCCAAGACACGGTTTTCTTTTTTTTTTTTTTTATTGTATTCTGTAAAAAAACTATTAAAATATCACATGGTGGATGATGGCGTCCTCGTTAAATACGTTGAAACGTCGGTGACTAGGGATGTGTATATTCAGTTGCCTACTGTCGGAGGCATTTTAATGATTAAAGTAATTGAATTAAGAGAGTTGTGTGAGAGTTTAAAGGAAAGAAATAAAGAAATGAAAAAAAGAGAGATAAAAATAGCAAAATGTAGGATAAATTTCAGGCGTACGGACGAGATCGTGTGACGGCCGCCGAACGGATCTAGCGAAAGAAGTCGGAAAACGGAAAAGATAAAAAAAAGTCGAGTCGAGATGCCGGGTTTTAGTAGCAGCGCGGGCACGTTCAAAATCTTTATCGGCAACCTGGCCGAAAAGACGGCGGTGACGGAGTTGAGGCCGCTATTCGAAAAGTACGGCAAGGTGGTGGAATGCGACGTGGTGAAGAATTACGGCTTCGTGCACATGGAGAACGAAACGGAGGGGCGCGAGGCGATTAAAAACCTCAACGGGCACATGCTAAACGGCATGACGATGAAATGCGAGGCGGCGAAAAGCAGGAAGGCGCCGCAGACGCCCACTACGAAAATATTCGTCGGAAATCTGACGGACAACACGAAGGCGCCGCAGATACGCGAGTTGTTCAAAAAGTTCGGGACGGTGGTCGAGTGCGACATCGTTCGCAACTACGGGTTCGTGCACCTGGAGTCGAGCGGCGACGTGAACGAGGCGATTAAAGAGCTGAACGGCATGATGGTCGACGGGCAACCGATGAAGGTGCAGGTGTCGACGAGTCGCGTGAGGCAGCGTCCGGGCATGGGCGACCCGGAGCAGTGCTACCGCTGCGGACGGGGCGGTCACTGGTCGAAAGAGTGCCCCAAAGGCTTGGGACCCGAACGCTTTCGGGACCGTCTCGCCTTCGGTCGGGATCCCTATCCGCCACCGCCGCCGCCTCCCTTCCTGCGCGACCGGATGATGGGCCGATTTGGGGTACGCGATTATTACCATAACATACCATCCAAACACTACCTTCTTGCTTCTTCTTCTTGCATCATCCCTTTCTCTCCTTCATCCTTCACCCTTCACCTTTACATTACACAATACATTTGATCATTCTCTTGTGGACATCATTTTTGATACCTTTTATTAATAATTCAAATATACTTAACAGTTTGGAGTGAAATACATGATGGTAACCATTTAATATGCACATATTGGCCGAGCAAAACACTTAACAATATTAATAATAGAGAGTGGTGTCCTACTACCATAACTAACGAAAAAAAAAATTATATTGATCAGGCAATGTTTGGAGGTTCCGCCACCTTTTTAAAGTTCAGAAGATAAAATCTGCACTTAAAGAGGTGGCGGACCCTCCAAACATTGTCCAATCAAAATCTTTTTTTTTTTCTTCGTTAATTGTGATAATAGTTTACCACTTTTCCGAATATTGGCATATTAAATGTATTTTACTCCACCTTAATACTTAATAAGAAAACATTAAGCTAACCATACGAAAATAAAACTTCTTTGGGGACAAGTAAACCAAAACTTACGTTACGAAAGATGAAACGAAAACGGCACATGCCTCCGTCCTATATAAATATTAAGAAGGCAAGACCGATTGTTGACAATCTTAATTTACCCAAGAAAAACAAAATAAAGCGTAATAAAATGTGTATTCTTTTATATTAGACTAAACTTATTAATATGGTCTTGTTCAGATCCTGAGCACAATTTCGCGCGCGCCGAAGCTACTCATAAAACCTTATTAATAAATAAACATTTTATTACTTTGACACGCTATATTTTGTTTTTGTTATGTTAAAATTAAATTGAGAATGTGGCAACAATAATTAAAAAAAAAATGGGGGCAAATTAAGTAATTTGTAACGTTCAAAATTGGAATTTTTAGTTGACAGTTGTTAAATGTCATACAATCGATAAAAAAATGTGCCCTCCTTGTGAAATAATAATAATTTGGAAATTATTTAATTATCTTAATACAAAAATAATAAGTAATAAATATTTTCTCAACGCCAATACAATTTGAAAAGTTTAAATGCAAGTTACCAAACTTTTGATTTTGCCGTTAATAAACTAGATTTAACTGAAAGTTAAAGTTAAATTTCGTGAAGTGTCCATAAAACATTCTCTTAACTTTCACTGTAAAAAACTGCAAGGGATATATTTTGATTCACACAAACGAATTTGACATTTTGATTGGCGCGCCGGTAATACAGATTCCCAAGTTATAAATTGTTACGCGAGTTACTCTATGTTTAATAGATGTCGCTCTATACAAATATTCAATTTAAATAAATTTTAGATAAAAAGTATTTGTCGTACAAAAAGGATACACTCATTTAATTAAAATTTGTGGCTAAACTTGATACATAATATACTAATATATTAAGTATGTTTTTTATACCACTTAGCCAATTGTTTCTACTTTAGAATCTAATGTCACAATTTCTGATGTAATGAATGAAAATGATATTAATAAATTAAATAAATAAAATTGTTAGCACTAAAAGTTTTGAATTCTTCAAGGAAACCGAAACAATATCGCATACATAGATTATGATTGAATAAAAACTGAATTAATTAAATTGTCCCAAAGAAGTTTCACTTCAGCTGTGGTCTAAGGTTTTGTCAAAAATTATGTCCAACAGTATATTAGAGTCCAAAGTTAAACACCGCAGCCTTATGACGTAAAACTTATAGATGCTGATGGATCTATTTTTTTATAATTTACGTATTTTTTGCTTAAACACGAATGAAATTATCGTACACGTTTTTTTTGCCTAAAAAGCCATCGTTTTCGTTAAAATTTAAGTTTTTACTCTTTTTGACTTTATGAACAATAAATACCCCTAACCAAATTTTTTTCTTTATAAATTTACTTAAAATAAAAATTCGACAGTTTTGTTACCTTGGTTAAATCGCATACTTCTACACATATACCGCCTATTCGCTATATTTTGTACAGATGAACTTGTCTCCTTTTTTGAGAGGAAATTTGTCGATTTATAAGTGGGGGATTTAAAATATATGATACCTTAGGCATAGTAATACGTTCACGTATAATACGAATTGTCAACTAAATAAAATTTAGGTTAGGTCTATCAAACTTTTCTAAATCCTTTGCTTACATCGCCTAGGTTAAGCTTACATAAATTTCTGTGGTTTGGCCACTAAAAATCTCGTAAACACAATGAAAAAAAAAACAATGCCAAAACATATGGTATACAACAGAAAACAAACAAAATGGTTAATTATAAAAACCATCTACATATTAGAATGTCTATGATAAAAACCTTTTGGCTATCGTAGTAGAAATACCACGTTGCCATTATAAAATCTCAGTTAGTAATGATTTGTATATGTGAGGGAGTATGTGGGTTAAATATATCTTTTAAACTGTACCCAAACTGTCTTCTACTATTTTTCTTAAAACGTACCACCCTTATCATTTTTAGCAAAAAAAAAATTTAAAAATATATCATATCTTATATTTTTATCTACATGGTCCAGTCTAAAAAATCTTAGTTTTTATTGTATAGTCGCGGCCAAATCTGCATAAATGCACGTCATCGACGGCATATGACGTCAGCATTAAGGTCTATTCATACGTACCCAGCCACAATCCAACGCTGGTGTATTGTTGACTGTTTATAGCGGTGAAAGCTCTTTATTAAGATGGAATTAAAACATCATTGTTATAATCTTTTACACTGACTAATTAGGAGTTTGTTACGGGCAAATTTTGATTAAATGTGTTTAGAGTGGAAACAAACAGACTTGGAGTCTAATTCCCAAGCAGCATTTTAAGTTTAAATAACTACAAATTTACTACCAAGTCAACATTAAAGTATTTTTTACGGTTAACCAAAACGGTTTTATAACGGTATAGATACGAAAAATTACCAAATTTGGGGAATGGTTTATTTCGTTATTTTACCTACAAAATAACCTTTTTGATCTACTAAGAGAAGAAAGTAATAAAAACAATATAAATACCACAAATTTACGTAAAAATAACGCTATCTATAATTACTAACTGTTTGGTCTCATTTTCTAAAACATTGACATTCGTAATTTCTTTGTTCTTTTAATTTATATTTTACAAAAAGGTACTTACAAAGTAATAAAGGCCACCCTAGAGTAAAATTAAAAAATATAACTTACGCACATTACGCACATTATTTTATTGATAAAAATACATCTTAAAAATTATATGCCCTCTAAATATTTTACGGTTTTAAGAAAAATTATTGCTTGGGTAAAAATTCAACAAAACTTAAAACCTACAAAATTTTATAAAATCTTTTAAAAATCATTTAGTTTTAATCATTTTTTAATAACTAAAACTTTCCTTATTATATTTTTAAACAATATTTATGAATAAAAATTATATAAATGTTTAGATACATAAGTAATGGATTCCATCTTAAAAAAACTCATTATGGCGACCCTTAAAGTTTTCACTTTAAGCTTATTTTTCCTTGTTTAGTCAATATTCATAGTATTTATTAATAACTAATAACCCTAAAAATACCATGCGAATAGGAATTATTTACGGTTATAAAGTGGTTTTAATATCGTAAAATTATGACTTATGAGTAACATTTACCAAAGTTATTTTCTTTTGTAAAAATAATACTTTAAAGTGTTGAAACTTAAGGGTTCTTAAAATAGGTAAAAATAACATAAATAAAACTTATTGAATAACTTTACAAAAAGTTTTAGTTCAAAGTACATTTTTAAGGTTAATTTAACAAAATATTTACTTAAATTAAGTAATATTGCCTCAAAGGTCTTACTTAAAATGCTGCTTGGGTTATTTCCCCAACAAGCCTTGTAACATTGTTTGCACAATACATTGGTGGAATATAATAAACACTAGGGTGATTCAAAAAAACCTTTTTTTGTTTTTTTTCTCGGAACCACGCTCAAAAGTTTCGTATAGATATAAAAATGAGCCTGTGAAAAAATAAGCTCTTAATTTCAAAATTAAGATGCTTCGCATCGCACTTTTCGGTTTTCCATAAGAATAACATAGGAAATTTTTTAACGAACAATAGGTCGTACTGTAAAGTTCTTGACATATTTTTGTATAGAATTGAACGCTCTACAAAAAAGGTTTTTTATGATTTTTTGATAAATTTGATCCTTCTAAAGAAATTTAAGGTCAAAGTTCAAATTAAACGAAATTTTAGGTTTTTAAACTTTTTTGGCGAGTCTACCCGACTCATTTAAAAAATTTTGAAATATTTTTGTAGAGAATTGAACGCTGTTTTCCGAATTTTCAGAGCTCAAAAACAATATTTCGATTCGTTTTTAGCCCTTTGAACTAAAAAATCCAGGAGTTTTTTCGAGAAAAATTGACGGTTAATTTCACTTTAACCTTGAATAACTTTTAACCAAGTTAACTTACCGAAAAATGACTCCATATATTTTTTGTAGAGCGTTCAATTCTCTACAAAAATATTTTAAAATTTTTAAATGAGTCGGGTAGACTCGCCAAAAAAGTTTAAAAACCTAAAAATTCGTATAATTTGAACTTTGACCTTAAATTTCTTTAGAAGGATCAAATTTATCAAAAAATCATAAAAAACCTTTTTTGTAGAGCGTTCAATTATGTACAAAAATATGTCAAGAACTTGACAGTACGAACTATTGTTCGTTAGTTACAAAAATAAAAAGAAAAAAAAAATTCCTATGTTATTCTTATGGAAAATCGCAAAGTGCGATGCGGAGCATCTTAATTTTGAAATTAAGAGCTCATTTTTTCACAGGCTCATTTTTATATCTATACGAAACTTTTGAGCGTGGTTCCGAGAAAAAAAAAACAAAAAAAAAGGTTTTTTTTGAATCACCCCAATAAACACAATGTATAAAATTATTTATAATAATTTGCAATAAACGACGATGCTTACGGACAAAATGTCAAAATTACAAAAAAAAACAAAAATTACCAAGTGAAAGGTTTTATTTTCATAATTTCGTAATAAAACGTTTTAAAACAGGGAAATTTAACGGCAGTAACTTTACAATTGAAAGTTGGTAATGCTGACGTAATTTTATGGCATTGATGACTTGCACCCATACAGATTTGACAGCGACTATCCGCGATTTAATTCATCATCAGACTGGATCTACTTGCAATTATTGCACCTCTATTATAGAGGTGGGCTGTTCGATACGATACGTATCGATACAAGTGATACGGACGGGATATCGTTAGAATCGATATAAATTTATGTATCGAATACATTGTATCGATTATTGAGCTAATTATGAAAAGTCCTTATAATGCCATATATGAAAATTTGCTTTTGCGGTTGTACCGTATTTTTAATAACCGAAATTTTGGAAGTTTGTTCGATCAAGGCTGACGGTTGGTATTGCAGCTGACTATCACAAAAATAGTTTTGACTTTGGTTTGGTACTTTTTCTATGGTTTGGTTGGTTTTGTAACTGACGTTTAATTTATTTCAAGTTATTTAAAGTTTACATTCTAAACAATTGCGAAAAAAATTGCAAATTTTCATATACCTACCTATATTTTTTTTCGTTACCTTCCTAATAATTAAATTCATTTGATACAAGTTTTTATTTTTTCTTCCATTTTTTTTAAATCTAACCGTATCGTATCGAAATTGTATAGATATAAGCGATATTTTGAAAACTATATCGATATCGTATCGATACGGCTTCTGTATCGAACAGCAATAAAAAAAGTGTGCTAATGTAGATGTTTATTTGTGAAAATGTAGGACAGCTATGACGGCTACTACGACCGAAGGTTCGAGGACTCGCGCGACCTCTACGAGCGCCGCTACAGCGGCATGCCGCCGCGCGGCGGCGAGCTGGGCATGCGCGGGGGACGCGGCGACTTTCTGCCGCCTCCGCTGCCGCCGCGCCGCGAGCCGCTGCCGCCGATGCCCTCGATCGGGCTGAGAGGCCCGCCTTCGAGCAGCCTGAGCGGCGGCATCAGGGATTCCGGGTTCGGCAGGTCGGGCAGCGACTACGGCATGTTCAGCAGGCGATCGCCGCCCTCTAGCGGCGGGCTGCCCGGAAACAGGATGAGCAGGATGTACGAGGATTTCAGCAGGGATTCCTTCGATGACAGAAGGTAACAGAAATTATTCAATTTAATAAATGCGTAAAATGCGGTTTTTTTGTTAAAAAAAAATACCTTATTTGACAATATTTTGTAATGGATTTTTTTAAAAACATTTAATTGATTTTTTAAATCATTATTTTATTTATTAAAAAAGGACAAAAACTTCATTATAAAATACGTTTTTTTCGTAGTAAAAAAACACCCTATTTGACATATTTTATATTGAAAAACACTATTTGACATAAAAAAAAACATTAAATTGTTTTGTTGAATTGTTATTTTTTCATCAAAAAAACACTATAATGACAATATAGTATTTTTGTTAAATATATTTCACATTATTTTACAATAGATTTATAATTGAAAACACTATTTAAAGATAAAAAACACTATTGGTAAATGTTTTATTCCATTTTTTCATAAAACACCCTATTTGAGAGAATATTTTAATAATTTAAAACACTAATGGACATAAAAACACAATTTTATTTTGTAAAAATATTTAAATATAAAACACCACAACTTGTTATTTTTTAATTTCAACGACAAAAAACACTATTAAATATAACTTCAAGTCCCAAAACCTTTGAAAACCGTGAAACTTTATTTAAAAAACATAAAATTGTTTTGTTGAATCGTTATTTTATTATCAAAAAACACTATTAAATAAATGTACATCATATTTAAAAAACTTTTACAATAGGTTTATAACTAAAAAAAATTTTCGGCATAAAAATCACAATTTTAAATATAGAACACCACAACTTGTTATTTTTTAATTTCAACGACAAAAAACACTATTAAATATAACTTCAAGTCCCAAAACCTTTGAAAACCGTGAAACTTTATTTAAAAAACATAAAATTGTTTTGTTGAATCGTTATTTTATTATCAAAAAACACTATTAAATAAATGTACATCATATTTAACAAACTTTTACAATAGGTTTATAACTAAAAACAATTTTCGGCATAAAAAACACAATTTTATTAAAACAAAAACATTAAATTGTTATGTTACTGTCATTTTTTATTTAAATACGTTTTTTGTTAAAAACATAAAAATCGTTATTTTTTTTAATAACACTTAATAAATGTTATACAACAATAGGTATAATTTAAAATACTATTAAATTTTATTTAAAACAACATTAAACTGTTGTAAAGTAAGTTTTTTTATATAAAACACCAAAAATTAAATTAAAAACACTATTTAACGACAAAAATAAATATAAATTTTATATTTTTAATATTATCAAATTGATAAATGTTTTAAACACCTTAATTATATTTATAATATAAAAATAGCAATTTTATTTAAAAAAAAGCATTACATTGTTTTGTTAGTACTTGTAAAAACTGATACTAAAAAAAAATCATTATTTTTCCAATAAAACACTAGCTACAAAAACAATATTAAATATATGAAAAAAAAACACAACACAAGTTTACAATGATTTTATAATTAAAAACACTATTAGACATTAAAAACACAATTTTATGTAACAAACATTACAATGTTTTATTAAAGTATGTAAGTTTTTTATTTAAAACACCAAAAATCGATTTTCTTCAATAAAAACATTAATAACAAATTTTATATTACAATAAATGTTTAATTCCATTTTTTTGTAAAAAATTTACCTTATTTGACAGTATTAGTAATCAACAGAAAAAACACCAAAAGCGTTATGTTGACATTAAAACACTATTTAACAACAAAAAACACTACTAAACATACATTTTATGCTATGATAAATGTTTAAAATCCGTTTTATTCGTAAAATAATACCGTACATATTTGATAAATAAAAGGATTTATAATTAAAAATACAATTTAACATAAAAAACACAATTGTATTTAAATATCGTGTTTTTTTCGTTTAAAACACAATTGTTTTTATTAAAATAATAAAAACACTATTTGACATAAAAGACGCAATTTTATTTTAAAAAAATTACATTGGTTTGTTAAAGTACGTTTTTTATTTAAAATCATATCAAGTTTTTGTATAAAAAAACATTATTCACCATTAAAAAAGGTTTTATTATATTATTTCTAGAATTTTTTTTGTTTTTACTTTTTTTTGTTAACCTTTTTCTTTTGTTTTAGGCCTGGTTTACGTGGCCCCTCACCCTCAAGAAGATACGCCCCCTATTAGACTACAGAATGAGGGGGAAAACGAAAACAATCGAATAAAAAATAACAAACCTTACCTAACCTCACTTATTCTGCATAACCTTACTATAATATTATTAGGTATTTTTTTGTTCGATTATTATTCATTCATCATGATCATTATTATTATGCTGTATCAGCAGTGTAGGTTTCCATGTTTCGACGTTTTAAAAATAACCAACTGTGAATTTAGAAGTTTTAATTTTATGTATGTGTATATAAAAAATAATGTATTAATGTGTAGGCAATTTCGTTTTCACTTTGAATTCGACGACAAATTATATTTTATACTATTGATTTGTTTCCAATTATGTGTAAGAATTAATTAGGAAGAAATAAACCGTTTCTGACACTCGCTCGTTTCATTTTAAATCCCTTAAATTCTTAAAATTATAAACGATGATGAAAATCTGGGAATGTTTGCACAACTTGGCAACGTTACAATAGCATTTAATGTGGCGCTTTATTGGAACTACTCCAACCGGACATTATGCCTACTTATTAAATAATTAAGCAATTGTTTTTAATCCTTACATAAATGCATTATAAACGATGCCTTAATAACTAATAATGATCCCAAACCATAAAAATACATCTAATTATGCCTAAAAACGCTCTAATCGCAAAAGCTTTCATCTGACATTTCTTCGTAGCTAACTTCTCTTTATTTGACGGTATGACGTGTATAGCTGTCAACTTGTCAAAAATGGAGTGAATTTTTAATCGATACAAGGAAAAATACGTCGAAATGGAGTATTTTAGAAGCGGACTGAAGACGGTGCTGGGGGCGCCAACCCCAGGGACCCAACCTACGGGCCCCGAAACTGTAAGTCACTCATAGGCGTAAAAACAGCTGTCGATAACACATATAACCTCAAAATTTTTAAGAAAGTTGTTTATTTCGGGTGTTTTTGCTGTTTTAGGTGGAGAGGTTGGTGAGTAGAGTTAGTACGTCGACTTTACTCGAAGACAGGAGGGATGCCTGTAGAGCTCTTAAGGCGTTATCAAAGAAATATAGATTGGAAGTTGGGGCTCAAGGTATTGATGTTTTTTGTGTTAAAATGGGTGTTGTATGATGGTTTTTCAGGCATGGATGTTTTGAGGCAAGTATTAGAGCTTGACTGTGCTGATTGCGAGATAATTGGGTACTGTTTGGATACTCTGTGTAACATTACATCAAATGAGATTTTCGAAGAAGAGGGCGAGACTAATATTAATATGAATGTGAATGTTGGGGAACAATTTACGGAAATGTTTTTGAAAAACGAGAAAAATGTTGCTGTGGTGCTTGGTTTTTTGGAGGAGTATGATTTTAGAGTTAGGTGGCCTGCGGTGAAACTTCTGACATCTTTATTGGTATGTACAAGTGAATAATGTTAAATTTTATATTGAATATTGTATTATTAGGCAAATAAACCTAAAGAAATTCAGGACATAATTCTGGTAAGCCCAATGGGAGTCTCAAAACTAATGGATTTGCTTCTTGAAAACCGTGAAATCATCCGAAATGATGCCCTGCTTCTTTTAATAAACCTCACAAAGTCCAACGCAAATATACAAAAAATTGTTGCCTTTGAAAATGCCTTTGATAGACTATTTGATGTTATTAAGGATGAAGGTTACACTGACGGTGGGATTGTGGTCGAAGACTGTCTATTGTTGATGTTAAATCTCTTGAAAAATAACACAAGCAACATAAATTTCTTCAAGGAAGGTTCTTATATACAAAAAATGTCGCCGATGTTTTTGTTGCCTGATAATATTGAGGAAATTGGATGGAGTCCACAGAAAGCTTCAAATATGCATTGTGTCTTGCAGTTGGTTAGGACTTTGGTAAGCAAATATATTGTTTTTGAGAAATTTAACTTCCAAGGTTATTAATTTTGTATTTTTTTATAATAATTTTACTCAAGTGTTATTTTTTCCATATTCTTTAATACAAGCAAGAAAAAATGCATATTTTTAGGTCTCTCCAAACAACCCAGTTCAAATAATAACTGCATGTCAAAAAACAATGAGAAATACAAACCTTCTTGAGGCTTTGTGTGGAATTTTGATGGCCAGTGGCGTACCGGCCGATATCTTAACAGAAACAATAAACACAGTGGGGGAGGTAATAAGAGGTAAATAAAAATCAACAGAAATTGATTTTGTTTTTGGAATATATTTCGGTTATTATGGGTCGTAAGATATTTTTTGTTATTATAAAAATTGTAGAGAATTTAATTGTCTAAAAGAAAGTTTATATACGTTTTTTGACTATAATGAACCGTTTTTGAATAGTCACAAAAAAAGTTGGTGCGAAAAATTGCGAATTTGTTAATTGTAAATATCTCGGTTTCTACTGGTCGTACGATAAATTTTGTTATTATGAAAATTGTGGAGAATTAAATTGTCTAAAATAAAGTTTTTATACGTTTTTTGCCCATGATGAACCGTTTGTGAACATTCGTAAAAAACAACCACCAAATAAGAGGCGAAAAATTTTTATTTTGTTTTTTGTATATATCTCGGTTACTACTGGCCGTACGATATTTTTTATTATTATGAAAATAGTACATAATTAAATTGTCTACAAGAAAGTTTATATACGTTTTTTTACCTACGACAACCCGTTTATAAGATATCGGGCTTCAAACTAAACTCTTGATATTTTTCACGAACAATCATAAAAATTCACAAAATAAGTTGAGGCGATTTTGTTTGTTGCATATGTCTTGGTTTTTACTGATCGTACGATATTTTTTGTGATAATGCAAATTTTAGGGAATTAAATTGTCCCAAAGAAAATTTTTATACGTTTTTGTCTATAATAAACCGTTTTTTAATAATTGTAGAAAAAATCACAAATTTCGATTTTGTTTTTTTATATCTCGATTTCTACTGGTCGTACGATATTTTTATTATTATGAAAATTGTGGAGAATTATATTGTCTAAAAGAAAGTTAATATACGTTTTTTGCCTATGATGAACCGTTTTTGAACAATCGTAAAAAACAACCACAAAATAAGTGAGGCGAAAAATTGCGATTTTGTTTTTTGTATACATCTCGGTTTCTACTGGCCGTACGATAATTTTTATTATTATGAAAATAGTAGAGAATTGAATTGTCTACAAGACAGTTTATATACGTTTTTTACCTACGACAACCCATTTATAAGATATTGGGCTTTAAACTAAATTCTTGACATTTTTAACTTTTAAGCATCACAAAATAAGTTGAGGCGATTTTGTTTGTTGCATATTGGTTTTTTGTGATAATTCAAATTTTAGGGAATTAAATTGTCCAAAATAAAGTTTTTATATGTTTTTGTCTATAATAAACCGTTTTTTAATAATTGTAGAAAAAATCACACAAATTTCGATTTTGTTTTTTTATATCTCGATTTCTACTGGTCGTACGATATTTTTTGTTAGTATGAAAATTTTGGAGAATTATATTGTCTAAAAGAAAGTTAATATACGTTTTTTGCCTATGATGAACCGTTTTTGAACAATCGTAAAAAACAACCACAAAATAAGTGAAGCGAAAAATTTTGATTTTGTTTTTTGTATATATCTCGGTTTCTACTGGTCGTACGATATTTTTTAATATTATGAAAATTGTAGAGAATTGAATTGTCTATAAGAAAGTGTATATACGTTTTTTACCTACGACAACCCATTTATAAGATATTAGGCTTTAAACTAAATTCTTGCCATTTTTAACTTTTAAGCATCACAAAATAAGTTGAGGCGATTTTGTTTGTTGCATATATATTGTTTTTTACTGATCGGAATTAAATTGTCTAAAAGAATGTTTTAATAATTGTAGAAAAAATCACAAAAATTTCGATTTTGTTTTTTTAAAATCTAGATTTCTATTGCTCGTACGATATTTTTTGTTATTATAAAAATTGTGGAGAATTATATTATATATATATATAAAGAAAGTTAATATAAGTTTTTTGCCTATGATGAACTGTTTGTGAACATTCGTAAAAAACAACCACAAAATAAGTGAGGCGAAAAATTGCGATTTTGTTTTTTGTGTATATCTCGGTTTCTACTAGTCGTACGATATTTTTTAATATTATGAAAATTGTAGAGAATTGAGTTGTCTACAAGAAAGTTTATATACGTTTTTTACCTACGACAACCCGTTTATAAGATATCGGGCTTCAAACTAAACTCTTGACGTTTTTCACTTTAAAGGAAATCTAACGAATCAGGAATACTTTGCAAACGTCACAGCCCCCTCGAACCCTCCGCGCCCCGCCATCGTAGTCCTCCTGATGTCGATGGTGAACGAAAAACAACCGTTTCAACTGCGATGCGCGGTGCTGTACTGCTTCGAGTGTTTCCTGTTCAAAAACGAGATAGGGCAAGAGCAGGTGGTGCAAACGCTGTTGCCAAGTGCAGCGGGGGCCACCACCTTGACCACCGGCCAACTGCTGTGCAGCGGCATTTTCAGCGCCGACCCGCTGAGCAATTGGTTTTCCGCCGTGGCATTGTCGCACACCCTGCTGGAGAATCCCGCGCAAAAAGAGCAACTTTTAAGGTGAGTATTTTTTTGATGATTTAGTAACTGGACATTTAGGACCTTCGTACACAAAAAATACATGGGTCATTATACTTTTCAGCCCCATCTACCTCTAAAAAATAAATATTTCACATTTTCATATCCATTGAGACTATTATTTAGGCAAACTAAAGGTAATTCTAATGTGACGAAGGAGACATTTTTCACAATAAAAAATCTATTTTTCCAAGTGACACAATAAATGCACATAAAACATTGCGTTAATTAAAAAGAAAGAAATTGGTTTACTTTACATGAAAAAAAAATTAAATAATGCAAATACTTACCGATTAAATGCCGTGACAAAAGATAACCTTCAAAAACACGCTGCCTGTTTGTAACGCGCAAAATAACAATAGCCATACCATACTGCCGTGCTTAATGAAAACGCCGTAACCAACAATTTTGCGATTTTTGTTTTACGGCATTTTCTACTAGAACAATTCATCCTGCGTCTATCCCCGGTACTCAAAAAACCGTACTATCGCTAACAAAAAAAACTCATACAGCTTAAAAATCTAGTGTTCCTGATTTTCTATCATTTCGTTGGGGTAATTATGGCTTTTATTATGATACGTCACATTTGAAAGGTCTAAAATTAAATACAAAGTTAGGTTGAAGTTTGAAAAAAAATCAATTACTGCCCGCAAACGGCAAAGCATGGAAGTCGCCGTCTTGCTTTATCTCTTTCCAAATGGCTTCAATGGCTTGCCAGAGTTCGTCTGCATTGTTTGGTTGAAAATGTTGTTAAAAAAGTCATAATGGATGTGACAAAGCTCGATGTCAGCTTGACATTGACGGAAAAGTTTTATTCACACAGCCACAATATAGCTGTATGAGTTTTTTTTGTTAGCGATAGTATATATATAGATACGGTTTTTTGAGTACCGGGGACAGACGCAGGATGAATTGTTCTAGTAGAAAATGCCGTAAAACAAAAATCGCAAAATTGTTGGTTACGGCGTTTTCATTAAGCACGGCAGCATACTCGTGCTACAGTTATAAACTACATGAGTTACAGATTTCTTTTATATCTAATGATAAACTCCAGTGAATTTTATAACAAAGTACTGAGGAGATACTTATTTGTTATTTTAGTTTTAGAATTTTGTTTCAAATCTCTCGAAATCTATGAAATATATCCAAGTTTTCACTATTGAAATAAGATGAGAACATGAGGTTATAGAGTGTGATGTCAACCTTAATTAAAACATTAGAAATATTTTTATATTTAATTGAAAAATTTTCTATTATTTTTTGTTATTTTTAGTTCTTATTTATGAACCTACTTCTATACGCTAAAGAAGTTTCGCTAGTAGCGCCACCACTCGGTTGTTATCATCGTAACAAAAGTATAACTTTTAATAATCAGCTGTCAAAAAATATCGAAAAAAACCGTTGCTCGATTTGTTGTGTTGTTGGGTGTATTTCGAGAGGAAATCCTGGGTTGAGTTTTTACCGGTTTTCCAATAAACAGTGTTAATCAGATTAACTTAATCTGAATGAAGATATAAATTGCATAAAGTCTCTGTAAATATAAATAAATATATTAGATACAATAAATACACATTTTAGTAGTGATTAACATGAAAAGTGTAAACATTTCAATTCAGTAAAAATCGTCAAACAAATAAGTCGTCTAAATTTAAACTGCATTTAGCATTATTAAAAGCGTTGATTAAGAAAGTCTCCACTCAACAGTAAAATACCATTATAATATAATGGTATTTTACCATTATAATATAATGGTATTTTACCGTAATATTATTATGTATTATGTTGCCATGAATTCGTAGGTATATTTTGTTGTTTAAAATGCACTTGTCGGCTTTTTTTAAAAACTCAAACATAAAAATGGTTGATTTTAAGGTTATGTTCGTGCAAAAATTATTTTTTACCAATTTTTTTAAAATGTCCAAACTTAAATATAAATTATATTAGGTAAAGTTACCATTAGTTCATTTTGCACCCATAAATGTACTTACCGAATTGAATCCTTTGCCAAAACATGAAAACTCAACGATTTTTAAATTTCTTGAATTTTATTTACAAATAATTCACCATGATCCCTTAGATAAAATACACACACTAACGTAACTAACGTAAGAATTTAAGCGTTAAGTTTCTTAATCAATGATAAAAAGAATAATCAATCGAAATCGAGTACCAAACCAGTTTTTTCATTTTTTCCTTGCAACGTAAAACACAAATAACGTGCGCGATTTAGCTGTGCAATTGAACAAAATTTGTCGAGTAAGACTTCTGCCTTCCTCTCTTTTGTGAAAAAACTGCCTATTTATTTAAAAATGATGTATAATCTGTGCTTTAAATGTATTGTTGACAATTCTTAAATTCACGTAATGGTCATAGATGACCGAAGGTAATGGTATCGAAGTCCTCCAGATGGCGCGCGCGTTGCGAAAACCCGATACTTCTTTAGCGTATATTTAATTATAAAATTTCTATTAATTTTTGTTATTTTTAGTTCTTATTTATGAATCTATTTCTATATTAGCTGTATCAATTTTTTATTTTTTTAATAAGAAATGTTGGGGACAACTGACAAATAAATTAGCGTTTAACTGACAGATGCATAACCACAATTATTGACTGCATAGTACCCATTATTTTTTGTTTTTGACATTCTTAAAAGAAAATGAAATTTTAAAAACATGTTTGACATTCTAAAATGTATTTCGAACATTCTAAAATTTTGATTACTTAAATATTTAAATTGTTTTTTTAATTTGTGTTTTTAACATGTTTGGCATTCTATGTATGTTTAAAATAGTATTTTGACACTCTAAAAGGATAACCCTGGACATGATATATCATCTTTGTTGATTTCCTTAAGAGTTCTTCTGGCAACGAACCTGGGCGCCCAACCAGTGTCACTCCTGCACCAATGCGCGGTTTACCTGCAACACACCTCGAAGCTCCAATCAAAAATCGGCATGCTGATGCTGCTGGCCATGTGGATGTCGCATTGTCCTCCAGCTGTCAAAATATTTCTCACGGTACCCGGCGCCATGGCTTTTTTGACGGCACAGACTTCGGCCAGCGAGTACGACAACAACGAGGAGCTGTTGCAGGTAAGTTTGTCGATGTCAAAAGTGACGTTTAGGATGTCAAAAAAATGACATTTAAAACGTCAAAAGTAACATTTTATACAGGGACTCTGCGCATTCATAATGGGTCTGTGCGTGGCGTTCAACGACAATTCGGAGAAAAACTACTCAAAAGAGAACTTGTCTCAGCTGATTGAAAAACGCGTCAGCATAGAGACGTACTGCAAAAAGTTGGGCGAAATATCGCGACACGAGGTGTACGCGAAGGCGGCCAAGCAGCCTCAAATCAAAGCGAAACATTCCAGCGAGTTGCTTTTGGAGTTTGAGTTTTGCAAGCTGTTCAAAGCGCTGGAGGGGGTCATCATACAGGCGCTAGGTGAGATATTGGTGATGGATGTGCGGTACCAAAACGTGATAAATTTTGACATTTCAAATGTCAAATTTTGACACTTAATGTAATTTTGAAAGTTAAAATGTCAAGTTTTTACAGTAAATGTCAAATTTTGACAGTAAATATCCAATTTTTTACAGGAAATGTCGTTTTGATAGTAAATATCAAATTTTGACGCTAAATTTCAAGTTAGACAGTAAATGTTAAATTTTGACAGTAAATCTCAAGTTTTGGCAGTAAATGTTATATTATGACAGTAAATATCCAATTTTTACAGGAAATGTCGTTTTGACAGTAAATATCAAATTTGGCAGGAAATGTCAAATTTTGACCGTAACTGTCAAATATTGACAGTAAAGGTAAAATTTTGATAGTAAGTGTCAAATTGTGTCCGTAAATGTCAAATTTTGACAGTAAATGTCACATTTTTATAGTATATATACAATTTTTTACAGGAAATATCGTTTTGACAGTAAATATCAAATTTTGATAGTAAATGTCAAATTTTTAACGTAATTTTTAAATATTTACAGTAAATGTAGAAATTTGACAGGAAGTGTCAAATTGTGACCGTAAATGTCAAATTTTGAAGGTAAATTTGAAGTTTAGACAGTAAATGTTAAATTTGAAAGTAAATCTCAAGTTTTGACAGTAAATGTTAAATTTTGACCTTAAACGTTAAATTTTGACATTAAACGTCAAATGTTGACGGTAAATGTCAAATTTTGACAGTAAATCTCAAGTTTTGACAGTAAATGTTACATTTTGACAGTTAATCTCAAGTTTTGACAGTAAATATCCAATTTTTTACAGGAAATGTCGTTTTGACAGTAAATATGAAATTTTGAGAGTGTGTCAAATTGTGACCGTAAATGTTAAATTTTGACAGTAAATTTCAAGTTTTGGCATTGAATGTCACATTTTGACAGTAAATATCCAATTTTTTACAGGAAATTTCGTTTTGACAGTTAATATCAAATTTTGACAGTAACTGTCAAATGTTGACTGTTAATGTCAAATATTGACAGTAAATGTAAAATTTTGACAGTACCTATGTGTGAAATTGTGACCGTAAATGTCAAATTTTGACAGTCAATTTTAAGTTTAGACAAAAATGTCAAATTTAACAGTAAATCTCAAGTTTTGACAGTAATGTTACATTTTAACAGAAAAAATCCAATTTTTTACAAGAAATGTCGTTTTGACAGTAAATATCAAATTTTGACAGTAAATGTCAATTTTTGACAGTTAATGTCAAATTTTGACCGTAATTGTCAAATATTGGCAGTTAATAAAAATTTTGACAGGAAGTGTCAAATTGTGACCGTAAATGTAAAATTTTGACAGTAAATTTCAAGTTTAGACAGTAATTGTCAAATATTGACAGTAAATCTCAAGTTTTGACAGTAAATGTCATGTGTTGACAGTAAATGTAAAATTTTGAGTGTAAATGTCAAATTTTGACAAAAAAAGTCAAATTTTGACTGAAAATGTAATATTTTGACAGTCTAATTTGTCATGGTTTTGGTCAAAAAGTTTATGTAGCAGAAAAGATAAATCATATAAAATGTATATTAAATTGTTTAATCTAAATAAATTTAATTTTAATATTTGACTGTGTGACTTTTGGAAATATTAGGTTATTTTGAATTTACACTTAATTAAGTGGCAGAATCAACAGCACTTAAAATAAACGAGTAAAGTGTACTTATTCAAATTATGTTTGAAAATCTACTCCTATATTGACGAGCTGTGACTTTATGTTGTTTTAGTCACAGGCTGAAGTTAGCTTTATTATAAATCGCGAAAAAGTGAGGTTAAATTCGTCAGATGTCAAATATTACGAGTTAAAATTGTCTTTAATCTTATGTCTTCGTCGTAGATACAGTATAGTATGCAACTCGTTTTATAAACTTCTCTCTAGACACTCGTTTTTATTAAACACTCGCTTGCAAGCTTCGCTCATGCCTAATAAAACTCGTAACTAAAATGGCGTTTTTAAAACTTGATACATAATAAGTTTAATTAAAATAATAAAGGGCAATGTTAATGGTAAAATTATGTCAAAAATGTTTTTTGAGATGATATTTTTGTACAGATGAATATTTAACTATTTTTAGTTATTTTTTTTTATATTTTAGGTGTACAACGGGATCTTTCAAATGGTTTATCTGAGCTCAGCTTAAGTGAGCATGAAAACGCTCTACTGATACAATACAAAGAACTTATAAGAGACCAAGACAAAAAACTACACGACCTCCAGAAAGAAATACACACTATGAAACGTGAAAATAAATCGCTAGAGGTACTAAAATCCCACAAATCAAATTATTACGTTCAATAAATGTATTTTCAGGCACAAATCGACGAACTAAGTCAAACAAACTCCCAGCTAAACGACCACAACACCCTCCTCAAAGCGCAACTGTCTACGGGGGCAAACATAACCTCAAACGAGCCTGTTGCGGCAGCAGCGCCTCTATTGGCCGCAGCGCCCGACCAAGGCTTGCTCGATAAAGTGAATCGGTTGGAATCGGAGTTGCTGGAAAAAAACGAAGAGCTGGAAAGGTTGAGGGGTGACCAGGACAACTTGTTGACTCTTTTGACGGACCAAGACACCAAGTTGTGCTGTTTTAAGAGCAAATTGAGGGAGTTGGGGGAAACTATCGAGGATTCAGATGGCAATTCCGGCGAATCGGATAACGAGTCCTAGTTTGTTTTATTACGTTTCGTATTTTAAGTGTAAAGATTTTAATATAATGTACCTATATGCCATTAAATGTATTTATTTCATATCTTCATAGTTTTATTAAAAAAACAACATCAACATTAAATAGAGTTTATTGTTCAACAATTATGACTAGAAGGTTTTTCATTTTAACTTTATAGATGGTCCCTAATAAGATACTATTTTGATAAGGCATACAAGACAATTCCATAGTTTTGAAACATTTAATATTACATAAATAAAACTTATACCCGTTCCGAGACAAACTTAAAAAATAAACCTTTAGTCCTTTCAGAGTGGAAAAAACACTTGGAAAAAATTGTACTTATACCATTACTGCAAGGAACAGACTACTGCTTCGCCTTTTGCGCGTTTTAAGGTGGCTGCCCTGCGTTTTAGACCTTCTAGATACACGTCTCTGTTAAACATACCTGCTGCCAAGGGTATACTGCAAGAAAATGATTTTTTTGTTTATTAATGACATTTTATGGTATATTTTAAATTTAAAGTCTTTAGCTTTAATGGTTTAAAAGATAAAGGACATAATTGTAAAATCTTTATTTCAAAAACCACAAAAGCTAGACAGTTTAAATTTGGAATCCTTTTACGAGATAATATAATTTAATTGCATACCAAATTTTAACATTCTTACTTTAATACTTTTTACTAATTTTGGCAACCAACGTCAAAACTTTTAACACCCTGTAGTTTAAAAACTACCAAAGCTAGACAGTTAAAATTTAGATTTATTATACAAAATGATGTTGTTAAATTGTACACCAATTTTTAAAACTCCTACTCTACTACATTTTAAGTTATAACACTTTTAGTAAATTTTGGCATACAACGATAAAAACCTTAATAATTGTAGTTCAAAGACCATAAACGTTGTACAAGTTAAATTTGGAATCATTATGCAAGATTATATTATTTCATTGTGTACCAAATTTAAACATTTTTACTCTACACTTTTTACGTTATAGGTCATTTTAACAATTTTGGCATTCAACAATAAAAACTTTAACATTCTGTAGTTCATAGACCACAAACGCCAGACAGTTCAAATTTGAAGGCATTATCCAAAATAATATTATTTAATTTTATACCAAATTTTAACATTCTTACTTTACTGCTTTTTAAGTTATAACACTTTTTAATAAATTTGGTACCCAACGTTAAAACTTTCAACACCCTGTAGTTTAAAAGCTACCACCCAGAGAGCCATATCAGGTTAAAACATGGCCAAGAATTGCCCATTACCTTTGGAAAAGTTTTGCCAATAAATGTACTATGTAGGACTGTATATTCCTATGGTATTTGTGCAATCGCGATGGCCAACAATAAATGACCAAATTGTGCCCAATAATATGCCAAAGCAGTTTGGATAAATTAGGTAGGTTACCGTTGGTTTAATTTTGGGAATGTTTGGGCATGGAAAAACGATGACAAATTTTTGATGTTTATTTGAGCAATTAGGCTTTTGAAAAATTGACCAAATATTGGTAAATATTTGGACAAATCCAAAGTATTAACAAATATTATTATTATATTTGAAAATTGGGTAAATAAAAAATTTTGTATTTATATTTTTTAATAATAAAAAAATAAAACAGTGTTTCAATACTGGAACATAGGTCAAAAATAAAATTAAAAAAAAAACAAATGTATAAATAAAAAATATTTAAAATAATCAAAATTGGAAAAAAATATTGTTTTTTTATGTTGAATCCCAAGCAGTGATTTAATTGTTTTTTTGCAATAAGGCTTTTTTTTTATTTCGGACCCGTTGCTTCGCGTTGTTTAAGGCCACGTCAAAGGACCTCTGGAATTCTAAAGCCCCTGGAGGAGGAAATTTATCATGTTCATGTAAACTCTCTAAAAAATACTTTAAGTAACAAAATTGTCTAGGAAATAATATTAAAATATAAAACATACGGTGAATGGCTTGTACGATTTTTGTTTTGGACACTCCAACACCAGCACGTCCAGTGCGCGTTATTTTGGAAGAAACTTCATCTGAGAAGGCTTCTTTGACAATTAAATTCACGCTGCCTACGACGTCATCGTCAGCGACAAATTTAAAGTAGCTAACCTATAACATAACAATATAAAAACACAAGTCTTAAAACGTATTTTGGAAGTGAAAACCATTTTTTGATACATGTTTACAAAAAAGTGTTATTTTTCTATGAAGAATGCACTGTTTAAGTTTGGCCCCCTAATTTCAGGACACCCTGTATACCTATCTATAGATTTCTTTAAGTGCAGATGTAATACAAGAATATTCTTGGTTGAGTTTTTCTTGTTTGACGGGTCAACACAAATTGTGTTACACAATTTTTTAAATTAAATTACCTATGTTACGTTTCATTACATTACTTTAAATGCTGGCTAAATCCACCTTTATACTTGTTATAATATTATGATACAAATAGAATTACGATCAGGCTATCAAGAATTATGCTTTATTAAACATTAAGAACTTATTGTAAAATAGTTTGTGATTGGTAACTTTATGTTATGAAGAACTTTAAAAATAAAAAAGAAATAAATTTTTAAATTCAATAAAAAAATTGCAATTACCTTGCTCACTTCTAGCACGATAGATCTTAAAACCCAATAAATCCTCTTTTTCCTTCGTGACATATAGGTAGAAAATTTATTTTTAAATTGTCCTGCTTGTAGTAAAAGCCTAGTACCCATAAACACTATTTACCTAGAAAAAGGCAGTTATTTTTCTTCACTGCAACTTCAAGATGAAAATCTGTAACAATTAACAAAAAATAAGTACATAATATAGAACTAGCAATGTAAATTTATATTACCTACTTCAAAATTAATAAGGGAATAAAATCTTCGAGAAGTAAGAAATTGTATAATAATTGAATGTTTTATTAAAAACTTTGAAAACATACCTACCTAACCTTAATTACTTACTCAAAATTTAAAGCCGTTTAAAACTTAACACGTTTAGTTAGTGCACAGATGATTATATTTTTTTGTAATAACTATCACACAAGCACTTTTTGACGCCTTTTTGTAGAGAAGGTCTTGAAATATTAACGACATATAACTCTCCATTGCGATTCTTTTTCCATGCTGATCAATAATTTGCCAAGTTTCGATCAATCTGAATTACAAACGCTTTGCCAATTTTCGACCAAACTTCATTACAAACGACGTTGGCCAATAATAACTCTATCTAGGACTGTATATTTGTGTAGTTGTTGTGCTATCGCATTGGAAAATAATTTGGCATAAAACATGTCAATTTTTGGTCAAACTTTATGAAAATACAATTAATATGTCCAAATAAACCCCAATAAATGTAAAATATCGTAGTCCAAACTTAGTTGGGAAAAAGTTGACTAATTTCTTTCCCAAAGCATGGCTCTCTGGGGCAAAGCTAGACAGTTAAAATTTAGAATTATTATACAAAATAATGTTGTTAAATTGTACACAAAATTTTAAAATTCCTACTCTATTACTTTTTAAGTTATAACACTTTTTAATAATTTCGGGATTCAACGATAAAAACACTCTGTAATTCAAAGACCAAAAAAGCAGCAAAGTTTAAATTTGAAATGTTTATCCAAGTTGATATTATTTAATAGTATACCAAATTTAAACGTTCTAACATTACTACGTCTCCGTTTAAAACACTTTTTAGATACTTACTTATCTAATCCAGGTCTGAGATGGGCTTTGAAAACTCCCCATACCGGTTTGTGGTCGCTTGTGGTAATGGATGGAACGGAATCGTATATAAGGCATTGTAAGGGCGGATTTTCAAGATGGTGGCCGCTCAGACGTCTCACGCTTTTTTGTTTGTACAGAATTCGGTCTGTATAAGCGGGCGTTCTCTGTTTGGAAGAAGAGTCGAAATTTTGCGTGCCCGGGTCGTACTGTAATGAAAAAATCACTATACAGGATGTTATGTAATTAATGTTATATATTAAAATGGGTTGTTCCTTAGGGTCCATAAAGAAGCACCTGAAACTTTTTTTTTCTAAATTCCAAAGTCTAAAAATAATTTATAATAACCTTTATCCTACCAAAAAGTACGCCACTGATCGACTAGGAACTTTAGGCTAATCTGGTGGATTTATTATGTTATGGTTGGTAACAACAGTGTTTAAAAAATCTCTCAAAAAAGTTGACAAACATTGTTTAAATTTAGCTTAATTACAAAAATGACAAAATTAACAATGCAAATTGTCAATTTGGCGTTTTTATTAATTGTTGGTTATTTCATTTTTGTACTGAAGGTAAATTCAAACAAAATCTGCCAACTTTTATGACAGAATCTAGTGCATTTCTTTTAAATTTTAGGTTATGTTTTCAAATTGTAAATATCTTAACTAAGGGAAGTGCTTTTGGATTTATTTACACAAATTAAATGTTTAAAGTTTAACCTGTGAACTGGTCCCAATTTCATCTGAGTAAACAGATGAAAAAATTAATTTTGTGGTTATGGATTTCAAATTTCAAAGGTACTAAATTTTCTAATCATTGCTTAAGCTAATAGCTGGATCAGTAAATAAATACAGAAGGGCATAAAACTTTTGTATTTATTGAGTTTTTATTTATTTTTTGCAAGAAAAATTTTTAGTAACAATTTTTTACATCTGGCAACGCATAGCTACTTTGTTGGTTGGTATCTATGTACTCACAAAATACAGGTGTGCAGAGGTAAACAAGTGTGTAACCAGTGGCGTATCACAAAATATATAAAAAACTTCTACTGCATATTTTTTCTTTATCTTTGGAAAAATGTTTTTTTAAATATTTTTCCTTTATTCCTTATGTCAAAAGGTATTCAGTATTTTAATATATAACATTAATTACATAACACCCTGTACTCCGTTACTAGATGGCGCCACAAATCAACTCTGAAAACTCCAAAACACTCCTCACCTTATAAGTAGGAGGGAAGGTGATCTTAGCTTCGCAGAAACCTTTGAAGGCCGCACCATCTGACAACACCGAGCAGAGCTGATCGTGGTGCATGTACCCGTGCGGTAAGTGGGGAGGGAGCGGAAAACTCGTTTTGGAGAGCCACTCCAAAACCTTACTTCTTGGGGTGGAAAGGCGAAAATTCAGATCGCCCGACCAAAAAACGTAGTCGAAATTTTGAGTTACATCTAGAAAAGAAAAGTAAAAAAAAGTTTGCAAAATGTTTCTAATTTTGTTTTTTTAGTAAAACACGTGTTAATGTTGGAAAACACTTTATTCATATTAATGTTTAAGGTGGTGTTCATTTTTTCTTCAAGGTGGTCCCAAAACTTTAAGTCTGTAAAAAAAAAACAAAAATAGAAAAAATCCACACAAAAAAATCTAGAAATTAGAAAAAACACACAAAATATATACAGTATGGGTCATTCCACAAAATAATTATTTTTAACTTTTTCGTTAGTTTTTTGTAGTTTTATAAAAATCTAAACAGAAATGTTTTTTGTAAAATATTCTTAGTTTTTCAATAAAAATATTCATTCTCTATTATAAGTAACAGAAGATCCTCAAAAATTCAATCTGATTGAAAAAATAGTATTTAAAAAAAATATGACGAAATTGCTGTTTAAGTGGCAGATACATAACCTCAATTATTTGAAAAAAATGACACAATTACTTTAATATCCTTATAATACCTTCATATTTTAAATGTGCTTTGAAAAAAATAAGAAATAAAGAAAATAATTATTAAAAAATATGGCGATTTTAAATAAATTACCTAACCTGCAAATTCATTTCAACCATTTGGTTATTTTAGTGTGTTTAATTTAAATACTTTATTTAACTGTCGTTATTTTATAACTCTTTGGTTTTGGTTTAAATTCGGTTAATGTAACACATTATGGTTATTAATAGGGATGGGATTTTAGATATTTTACCTTTTTTCAAACGATGTAACTATTTGAAAACCAATAATGCCAAAATGTGTTTTAAAAGATTTTCTTTTATATGAACCTAACTTGTTTTCACCTTTTTTTATATTTTACCTTTTTTGGAGGTTTTTGCCTTAAACTACCTTTTTTATACTTTTGTTAGCTACCTATTTTTTTAAAATTGTTTTCACCTTTTTTGGAGGTTTTTGCTTTAAACTACCTTTTTATACTTTTGTTACCTATTTTTTAATTTGTTAGTTTATTTTCACCTGTTTGTTACCTATTTTTACGTATTTTTACTTATTTTATTTTTTTGTGTTCTTTTTAAATTTTGCGCCAATATTTTATCCAGTTCCTTATAGCTTTAATTAACTATTGGTCAGTTTATAAAAAAAATATTTATGTTACTTATTTTATAAAAATAAACGAAACTTGAACTTTTAATGTTTAATTACCAAAATTAGTTAAATTAAACCAACTTGTTATTTTTAAAATAACTAACCTAAAAAAATTCCCGCCGATCTTAGGTTTTGATTTTAGTTGCAGGGGACTGTTTTAAGATTAGTAGATAAATAATTATTTACCGCTTTGTAACTCTTCTATAGTAAATTGAAGAAAGTCCATATTTCTTTTAGGCTTCATCATCACACAAAACTCACAACCTCACAACAGGGTTTATATACAAAGCAAAAAAGCAAAACCATCACTTTTTTAACCAGTTTATTATTAGCGTTAATTTACCAGCAAGTTAAAATATATTTGGTAAAATAACTTGTTGGTTAAAAAAATATATCCAAATTAACCAAAGAGGTAGTTAATTTACAAAAAAGTAATATCAAAAGTTAAACTAAACCAAAATATGTCTAAAAAATAACTAGTCTTAACCATTCAAAGGTTAAAATTAGAAGTTAACGTTATGAAACTTCTGAAATAACCTACTTTTTAACTTATAAGTAATATTACTAACTAGTTAAATATTTTTACCAAGGTTTATTTTATTAGTGAGTAATTATTTTGATAAAGACTAATAACTCCACAAAACATTATAAAACTAAATATTTGGTGGAATAACCCGTATATAAAAAAAACAAAAAGGAAATATACAGAATGTGACAAAAAAGGCGTGAATTTCAGGGCCGAATTGGGGGTTTTCACTTTTTTTTTAAGTTTGGACATTATTAATATCTAATAGGAAATATTAAATAATTTTGAGTCACTGTATAATATTTTTATGTATAATGGGTTGCCTATCAAATATTTTCCATCTGGCAAAATTGCTCTAAATTTAAAAGTTCAAAAAATGTGTAAAATATTTCACTAAATCACAATCCACACACCAAGGTCTGTTCTATCTCGTACTAAAAATACAAAAAATCACTGCAACACTGCACAGTTTAACGGCGGCCATTTTTGTTGTTTACAATTTTTGTGCTTTGGGTTTTCTCTGTTTACACAGATTAATAATCGTTTTAAACGTTGTGTATCTCATAGTAAGTCTTAAAAGAGGCCTTAAAGTGCTAAGAACAACCATTTTACTCTTCTATTGTAAAAAATAAACTTTATTTTATCAGGGCTGTCATAAAACTGTCAAATGTCAATTTTAAGGTTAAATTATAACCCTCAAATTAACCTTCAAATTTTCATTTGACAGCCTGATAGAATAAGGTATATTTATTATAAAAGAGGAGTAAAATGGTTGTCCTTAGCACTTAAAGGCCTTATTTGAGGCTTACAAGTGCCTCTGTAAGAAACCCAACGTTTAAAACAATTATTAAACAGCACAAACCCAAAGCACAAGAATTGTAAACAACAAAAATGGCCGCCGTTAAACTCTGTGCAGTGTTGCAGTGATTTTTAGTATTTTTAGCATGAGATAGAACAGACCTTGTTGTGTGGATTGTGGTGCCCTGCTAATTCGGCCCTGGGAAATTGTGAGGAAAAAATAAAGTGCGTTAAATGTGTCAAAACTCCAATCATTACTTACTTTTTCGTATAAAATTTTGCACCAAATCACTTAATATAATAATAATATTAAAAAATAAATTTTCCGAAATTTTTTTGAACAAATAATAACAAAATCCTACCTTTATTTTTGTTCTTGCAGGGCAGCACTTTGGGCAGATCCAAGGAGTTGACGATTCTCTTTACATCGCTGACCCTCTCCTTGACTTTTTCCTGATGCGCGGTGAGATGCGCAGTGACGAAGAGGAAGGAGGTGCCGAACAGCATGAACGAGCTGGCAATGGCGCCTTTGGTGCGGAAGGCGGTTCCCGGTCTAACCGACAGGCTGGCGTCTTCCGGTATCGAAACGTACCAAATAAGGTCTCTTCTGATGAAGATGGAGAGATGTAGCGTGCCTGCAATCGTCGTTTTTAGTGGTTCGTAGTTTAAATAATGTGAAAAATTTGTTTTACCCAACGAGGTTGAGTTGAATAGAAGGTGAGATGGCCCGATGGTTTCTTGTAGAGATACTTCCCATTCGAATTTTTCAGAGGTTGATTCCTGAGTTCCGAATGTTAAAATGTCCGGAACGTGTTCCATGCCGACTGGTAGAACAAAGTCATTTAGCTCCCTAAGCATAAAAAAGTTTGGTTTCAAAATAAGTATTTTTTCTTAAATGACAAATAAAACAAGGTTACTATTTTAACAATTTTAAAAACATTTCCAAAATTGGGGATTTACAAATGTTTTAGAAATTTGACAGTTTGAAACGCTACAAGGTCAAGTTTTACATTTTAAAATGTCTATATACCTTTAAATTTGACAGTTTTAAAATATGTATTATTATTTTTGAAGAAAAGTTTAATATTTTTAAATAAATAATGTTTCTTAATTAGCAAATTTTAAAAGATTAATTTCATTTTTTTTTCAAAAATTATTTTCGAGTAAAATTTGTTTTTAAATGTCAAAAAATGCCGTTCAACGTAAATATTTTCTTTTATTGTGTTTAAAATGTCTATATAACTACCTTTAAATTTGACACTTTTAAAATATTATTTTTGAGTAAAAGTTTAAAATTTTAAAATAATTTATGGTAGATTTTGACTTTTATAAGGTTAATTTCAAAAATTATTTTTGAGTCAATTTGTTTTAAATGACAAAAAATGCCGTTTAACATAAATATTTTGACAATATAATTGTGTTTAAAATATGTCATTTTAAAAAGTTTTGTAAATTTAACCGTCAAGTTTGACATTTTAAATTGCGTATATACATACATACCTTTAAATTTGAGACTTAAATATTATTATTTTAAGTAAAAGTTTACCAATTTAAAATAATTTATGGTAAATTTTGACTTTTATAAGGTTTATTTCAAAAATGTTATCAAAAAGTGACATTTTAAAAATTATATTTAAGTAAAATTATTTTTTAATAAACTTTGTTTTGAAATGTTAAAAATGCCATTAAACATTTGATGTTAAAATATGATTATTTTAAATGTTTTGTAAATTTATATACATTTAAATTTAACAGCTACAAAAAATTACAGAAAAATTGGACATATTGAAAAAAATTTCTGGTAATTATCGACTTTTATAAGGTATATTTTCAAAATTTTGTCAAAAAGTGACATTTTGAAAATTAATTTTGAGTAAAATTTGTTTTTAAATGTCATAAAATGCTATTCGACATAAATATTTTGACAATTTAATGATGTTTAAAATAGGTACCTATCTACCTTTAAATTTGACATCTTGAACACATTATTTCCAAAAAATGTAATTCAACAAAATATTTTAACAATATGGGTTATTCTCAAAATAACTACAATCTTTGCGTGACGTGTGTTTTTTCTCCCATATTAAAAAAAAATGGTAAAAATAAGTAACATTTTTAAAGTACACAACGTTAACTAACAGTACTTTAAGTAAAAAAAAATAAGAAAAAAAAATACCGCCCAAAAAACTGATCTGAATAGAGATATTGTCCTTTCCGTGGAAAGTGACTATATCGTGTTGGTAAGTTTCAGTTAATGTAGTGAAAAGCCTGCATATTAAAAAAAGCTAAAAAATTGCCATTATTATTAAATACCCCAAAAATACATAGATATGGTTCATATTCCTTTTTATTTTTTTTAATTTAATATTGTAGTTTAGTCATTTATACGTTACCAGTTTCGATCCATTCCGAGGACTTATTTGTAAGTGCAAAATTTCAAAAGTAATTCGCGCCACTTACGTCAACCGTTAATTTTATGTCATTAAAAAACCTGTCATTTGTTATTTAAGTCGCCCTTGTCAGTTCTTTTTTGAAAGGTTGTAAAGAAGCGTTCATGTTTATGTACGAGGCTCCAGTGTAGAAGCATAGGCTGTCCTTTCTGTTACAATTATATTTCAAACAGTAAGTATTGAATTATTTTCTAATTATTGTCATTATTATTGTCAAAGTTTTTATTTTTGGCACATGACAAATGCGAAGGCATAACCTAAAATTTACCTTTCTTATAGAGAATAATATACATAGATGTCCATTCAGTGGACGTCTTTTCTGTGGACATAATTTACCCATAAATAGAAAAATTAAGGTTTGCATGCAATATCAATCTTATTTTAGTTTAGGATTTAACTAAAGCTTTACAAAAATGCTCTTGTAATATTATTACCAAACTTTTTAGTATTAAAAAAATAATAAACCGAAAGTGTAGTTATTTTGAGAATCACCCATATACTTAATGAGGTTTAAAATATGGCATTTTAAAATGTTTTCTAAATTTAACAGTATGAAACAATACAAGGTAAATTTTGACATTTTTAAAGTCTATCTACCTTTAAACATTATTTTTGAAATATATTTCTGGTAATTTATATTTAATTTTTTTTTAAATGTCATAAAATGTCATTCAACATAAATATTTTGACAATTTATTTATGTTTAAAATACCTCATTTTTTTGTAAATTTGACAGTTTTAAACGCTACAAGGTCAAGTTTGACATTTTAAAATAACCTATCTACCTCCAAACTTGACAGTTTTAACATATTGTTTTTGAAAAAAAGTTTAACACCTACGGTAAATATTGACTTTTATAAGGTTTATTTTCAAAATGTCAAAAACTGCCATTTAACATAAATATTTTTAATAATTTTTAAAATATGGAATTTTAAAAGGTTTTGTAAATTTGACAGTTTGAAACGCTACAAAGTCAAGTTTCACGTTTTTACATAATCAAAAATAATTTTTAAGTAATTTGTTTTTAAATTTAAAAAAATTATATTCAAAATAAATGTTTTGACAATTTTTATGATGTTTAAAACGCTACAAGGGCAATTTTAACATTTTAAAAATTAGTTTTGAGTAAAAATTGTTTTTAAATGTCAAAATAAAGGTATTTATTAAAGAACAAAGCCTTCTTTTAAAAAGGTGATTATTTACAATTTGACATTTTAGCTAGGTCCAATTTGACATTGACAAAACTGTATAAATAACAAAATTACAGTTTTCAGTGACCCATTTTTTTGACATTTTTGTTTTAGTAATGCTGAGTACGGACTTAAGTGGCACTTCACTTAAATCAGCTCTGAAGCTTCGCTACTTACTTGGGAGGCGCGTGTCCGTTCATGTTCCACGTGCCCACGAAAATGGTGAGCTCCCTGCTGGGGCAGATCCTGTCCAGCTCGGCGGCGCCCAGCAGCGAGCTGGCGCCGATTTTACCCTGCAGAAAGTTGCGCTGACGAGCCTTCTCCGTCGGTATGAGGTGCAAAGCGAAAGGAACTAAAAAAATCAGACGTTCCAATGCGCTACCTACAAGCAAAAGGTCGGACCACAAGCACTTGGGTGACGTCACACGGGACGAACGAAGAAGAAGAACGTGACGGATGAATTGAGAAAGAGAGCTTTGAGTGACAGATGTCAAACGACTTTAGATGGTGAGAAAAAGAGGTTAGAAAAATTACGCATTTTTCACAGAAATTTGTCAATGTGTAAATTTACTAAACATTTAAAAAAATTGGTGGTTTTAGTGGCAAAAAGTAAAATTACATCTTAAAATATTATATAAATTTAAAGGACTATAAATGTTTGCAAATAAATAGGTACCTAAAAACCTTTAAAACTTAAAATAAAACGTTAAAACCATTAAATAATAGCATTTTAATTATACAAACAACCCTGTTATACAGGGTGTTATGTAATTAATGTTATATATTAAAATACTGAATACCTTTTGACATAAGGAATAAAGGAAAAATATTTTAAAAAGCATTTTTCCAAAGATAAAGAAAAAATATGCATTAGAAGTTTTTTTATATTTTTTGTGATACGCCACTGGTTAAACACTTGTTTATCTCTGCACACCTGTATTTTGTGAGTACATAGATACCAACCAACAAAGTAGCTATGCGTTGCCAGATGTAAAAAATTGTTACTGAAAATTTTTCTTGCAAAAAATAAATAAAAACTCAATAAATACAAAAGTTTTATGCCCTTAAAGCTCTAATACCCTTCTGTATTTATTTACTGATCCAGCTATTAGCTTAAGCAATGATTAGAAAATTTAGTACCTTTGAAATTTGAAATCCATAACCACAAAATTAATTTTTTCATCAGTTTTTTTCTCTGTTTACTCAGATGAAATTGGCACCAGTTCACAGGTTAAACTTTAAACATTTAATTTGTGTAAATAAATCCAAAAGCACTTCCCTTAGTTAAGATATTTACAATTTGAAAACATAACCTAAAATTTAAAAGAAATGCACTAGATTCTGTCATAAAAGTTGGCAGATTTTGTTTGAATTTACCTTCAGTACAAAAATGAAATAACCAACAATTAATAAAAACGCCAAATTGACAATTTGCATTGTTAATTTTGTCATTTTTGTAATTAAGCTAAATTTAAACAATGTTTGTCAACTTTTTGAGAGATTTTGGAAAAACTGTTGTTACCAACCATAACATAATAAATCCACCAGATTAACCTAAAGTTCCTAGTCGATCAGTGGCGTACTTTTTGGTAGGATAAAGGTTATTATAAATTATTTTTAGACTTTGGAATTTAGAAAAAAAAGTTTCAGGTGCTTCTTTATGGACCCTAAGGAACAACCCATTTTAATATATAACATTAATTTCATAACACCCTGTATATTATTATATTTTAAAATGTCTATAGGTATACCTTTTATACATTTTAAAATAATGCACGGTAAATTTTCACTTTTTTAAGGTTTTTATTAAAAATTTTATCAAAAAGTGACATTTCAAAAATTATATTTAAGTAAAATAATTTTTTTAATACAATTTGTTTTAAAATGTCAAAATATGCCATTCAACATTAATAATTTGAAAATTTAATGATGTTTAAAATATGACATTTTAAAATATTTTGTAAATTTGACAGTTTGAAAAGCTACAAGAACATGTTTGACATTTTAAAATGTCTATCTAACACTTTGAAATAATTGAAATAAGGTTTTTTTCAAAAATTTTATCAAAAAATGACATTTCAAAAATTATATTTAAGTAAAATTATTTTTTTAATACAATTTGTTTTAAAATGTCAAAATATGCCATTCAACATCAATATTTTGAAAATTTAATGATCTTTAAAATATGACCTTTTAAAATATGTTGTCAATTTGACAGTTTAAAAAGCTACAAGAACATGTTTGACATTTTAAAATGTCTATCTAACACTTTGAAATAATTTATGATAAATATTGACTTTTGTATGGTTTTAATATTTTTTGACAAAGTTTGTTTTTAAATATCAAAAAATGCCATGCCATTTAAAATACTTAAATATTTTGACAATTTAATGATGTTTAAAATAAGACATTTTAAAATGTTTTGTAAATTTGACAGTTTGAAACGATACATGGTCAATTTTGACATTTTAAAATATCTATCTACATTTAAATTTAACAGTTTTAAAATATTATTAGTTATATATATATTAACTATTAGTAAAATAATATATGGTAAATATTGGCTTTATAAGGTTTATTTACAAAAATTTGTCAAAAAGTTACATTTGTTGAAAAATTCTTTCAGAATAATTTTTTTTAATGTATGATGATTAAAATATAGCATTTTAAAATGGTTTTAAATTTGACAGTTTGAAACGCTACAAGGTCAAGTTTGACATTTTAAAATAGGTCAAGGTCAATACAAGGTTAAGTTTGACAGTTATAAAATATTTTTATTTTTGAGGAAAAGTTTAGCATTTTGAAATAATTTATGGTAGGTATTGATTTTTATAAGGTTTATTTTTAAGTGTTTTAAATGTTTTTAAATTTAAAAAAATACCATTCAACAATATATTGTTGAATGGTATTTTTTATTTTTTATATTATATATAATATATATATATATATTATATATAATAACAAAATTTCATTAGATTATGCTTAAAATATGGCATTTTAAAATGTTTTGTAAATTTGAGAGTTTGAAAAGCTATAGGGACAAGTTTGACATTTTAAAAACTTGAAAGTTTTAAAATATTATTTTTGAAGAAAAGTTTTAATTAATTATGTTCTGTTAATTATCGACTTTTGTAAAGTTTATAAGTGACATTTAAAAAATTATTTTAGAGTAAAATTTGTTTTTAAATGTCAAAAATGCCATTTAACAACAAAATACTCACCTTTAAATTTAACAGTTTTAAAATATTATTATTTTTGAGGAAAGGTTTAACTTTTTCAAACAATTTATGGGTTTATAGGTATTGACTTTTATAAGGTATAAACCTTTCAAAATTTTATGAAAAATTGATGTTTTAAAATCATTTTTCAGTAAAAATTGTTTTTAAATGTCAAAAAATATCATTGAAAATAAATATTTTGACAATTTAATGATGTTTAAAACGCTACAAAAATTTGTCAATGTGTAAATTTACTAAAAATTTAAAAAATCGGTGGTTTTAGAAAAGGTTATTAATCTATGGTTTTAGAGCAAAAAGTAAAATTAAATCTTAAAATATTAAAATGTAAATAACTTTTAAATGTTTGATAATAAACACCTAAAAACCTTTAAAAATCTTAAAACCATTAAATAATAGCATTTTAATTATACAAATAACCCTGTATTATATTTTAAATGTTTTAAAGAAGAAAATATTAAAATAATTATATAAGCCACCTAAGATAAAAATAAACAAGATATGTAAATGTTGTGGTGACGCGATGGGCCCGAAAAAAATGACACATAACCTATTTGCACAGCCAACTTACCATCTTTAAGAACACTCTCATGAGAAGCACATCGTTCAGTCATTTTGTTCTCTGATAAATCCGTAGTTTCTGTGGAATCACTGTACACATTGCTATCCGAAATGCTGTTTTTTCTATTCAGACTATCATCAAAATGCTAAAAAACATTAATTTGCATAAAACAAGCTTTATCAATTACATTTTTGTTGAATACAAACAATAGGATTTTAGGTATACTCACTGCATGTTTATCTTTTTTGAGGCTTAAATGGTTAATGTGGTTGCCACACTCGAAACTCAGTGGCCTTTTAGAAATCGCAATATCGACATTATTCTCCGAAGGAGTTAATTTCCTCGAAGAGTTAGATCTCGCACTTTGGCTACGATTAACCACCACACCAACCTTATTGGGCGTTTTATTCGGCATAAGTAAGCTGGAAATCGTGTTTTTGTGCTTTAATTTGTGCCCTTTCTGTTTGTGCTCCATCCTGATATTCAGTTTCATTCAACCCAATTTATTGATTTGCTAACTTCACTTATGTATAAAATACTGGCGCATTTTATTGACTATTATTGACTAGATATGTTGTATGTACACTGTTTATTTAATTGAACTACATTATGTATTAAAATTAGTGAGAAATTTGTAGAAATCGCATTTTGGTAGGTTATGTTGTGTTACTTTGACATTTGCGTTGACAGTTACAGCGCCACCTATTGCGATATATACCAAACTTATAGATTTAATTAGAGTATTATTGGTAGTTAAATTTATTGATTTTTTGACGAATCACTACGGTGTTATATTCGTATATAAGACAATAGCTGGCCATACACAGGCGTTATTTCGCGCGGTTTATCGTGGCGTGTTGGGATGTAGCGGTTAGTATGCACGAAAGAACGGCATGGCAAAAAAAGCGTCATGTTCCATACACTTGATAAAGTATTTAAATGATTTAGCAAGTGATTGCCCGTGGTATATCAGTTTCAAAGGAAAAATCGTATGTGAGTGGGCAAAAAGTGTCATTTATCGAGTTGTTTGAAACTGCATTTGATCATGTACAAATTTTCAACGTGAAATTTTGCCAAGCAAAGGTAAACCGTGACGCGGAATGTGGCGTGTGGACACTCCACACTCCAGAGGAAAGCACGTCTGAAATCCCTTCCCGTTCTATCATTGCGCGCGGCGATACTCACTCACGTACATGATTTTCCATATGTTTTTGCAGATAACACGATAAACCGCGCGCAATAACGTCTGTGTATGGCCAGCTAATGTTTTAAAATTAATTGGTTGTTAAATAGGGTTTGGAATTTAAAAAATACTTGCAGATTTCTACATTGATATCAGTGAAACATCAAAATATTATGACAGATGACGTTTGTGTTTTATTATTAAATTTGGTTGATTTATTTATAAATTAAGAGATAATTAGCATGATTAATTAATTTGGAGGATAAAGGAAGATAATATTTGGCGGTATTCGAAATTTATTTCGAAGGTTAACCGTTACAAAACGATTTTTTGTCGATATGTATGATTGATTTTTGTGGAATAATTAATTATTAACAAGATATTAGCATAATGTTGGTGTTTTTCCTGGTATTGGCCACGTAGTGCGATGAATTTCGAAAGGCAACTGATGGCCAGAAGGGGTTTATAATTCAGTGCGTACTACAAAGGAATGGAAAATGATTGAGTGCATGTTTTGATCAATTGGGTTTGGCGAAGAACGGAAATACGCGTACGTCTTTGGCGTTTAGCAGCTGAAGGGCGAAGGGAAGGAGATGCGCGCGACGCGCATAGCCATTTTGTCACAATATTAACCTTTTGTTGTGTTCCAGTGAAAAAATGTCGAAGAAATTGTTGTTAGTGGCGATATAAACTCGATAATTGCTGTGTAAAGTGTGTGCGAACGATCGTGTAAGCGTGCAGCGGGCGTTAAGCGAAGTTTGAAGCGATGGACCGCTTTAGTAGAACGAATTTATGGTGCCGCCGGATCTAGTTTTCTAAAAATTACGTCATTGTCGATTTACACGTAAGTTTTTTGATTGTTCGAGGTGATTGTCGTGCAGGGCGACGATTGTTAATTTGAGCTTCAAGGGTGATTTGATGCAATCCGTCTGAAAACGCGTTAAAAACGGTTAAAATCGTCGTAAATATCGTTCGCTCGCCCCAAAATGGCTACCGACGGAATCTTGTGTTAAGTGCTTAAGTCGTAAATGAGCCGTTCGCAACTAAACAAAGGTATTTGCTGCAAATAGCCGTTTTAAATCCACGATATAGGTCATTCCCTAAACGAAAAACCCAATTATTACCCCTAAATACCGCCCGGAAACAATAAATGAACGGCATACTCTGTCCGGCGGGCCAGGTGTCTTTACAATATCTTGTGTAGCCCAGTCACTTTTGGCGTTTATAACGTATTTTAATCAACAGTTTATATTGGATTTTTTCGCAAATAATCCTATTTCAGAATAAGTTCAAGGATCATATTCCTAGCACCTCTGCTTTGTGAGATATACACAACCGTATTTATTTTGCTTTTATCTTTGCTCCTAGGGGTTTTACAGTAAAAAGCAATATTACAAAAATTGTAGATCTTTAAATTTTCTACAAAAAAGGTGAAATGATTTTTGTCGTACATCTAACCGTTTGGAAAATATCGCCAAAAATGTAAACTTTTAGGTTAAATCTGTCTCTTCCATAAAAAAACTTGATTCAGAAGATGTAGTTATAAAGTTTATAGCTTACATCAAATGCTTTGCTAGATATACAGGGTGTCTCAGTTTTTATTTGGGAAAACCTTATGGTCAATAAGACTTGTAGGTATCCTTAAAAGCTTTGTTTTCAAGATTCAGGGTGTTAAATTAAATTAATTAAAAAGTATCATCGCGCTTTTTTATGAGTTTTATATTATAATTAGATTAAGTAACTGAAAATAATTTTTGTCTCTTGCATTTTTTCCATATCTGGCTTAATTTTCAAGAAAAAAAATTAAATTCGTTTACCATATTTTTTCTAGGGACGAATTTTATTTTGTTCTTGAAAGTTAAATGCTGGAGACCAAAAAGTTGTAATTTTAATTTTTTAATCTAAAAATAACATTAAACTTATAAAAAAGCAGCCCACTAGTAGATAGGTAGGTAACTACCTATGTACAGGGTGGTCCACGTAAGGTGACCCATATACTTATCTCAGAAACTACTGGAGTCACAAAAAATTTGTAAGAAACAAATATTCACGAAGTAAAAAATATTTTTAAAATATTATATTTTCATTTATACAGGGTGTTTGGTTTTCCTTGGGACGATACCAACTTTCTTATTTTCAATGGAACACCTTGTATTTTTTTGCATTTTTGGATTCTACCCACTCTTTTAGGTATACTTTGTAAATATATTAATTAAGAAAATGTTAATACTTTTTGAGTAAAATTAAGATTTATTAAAATTTCTCTAAATGTAGACACTCGCTAAAAGTTAAAAATAATCAACTAAAAGTTATTATTTTTTATATTATGTAGTATCCATCTCTTTAATAATAAGTAAGCTATAAGTTAATTATTATATTTTTTGGAAAATATCATACAGGGTGTTTTCTATGTCCCGTTGAAAATAGCGATTTTAAAAGTTTAAAATCTTGTTTTTCTTCAATGGAACACCATATATATTTTTGCATAATTGGATAGAATAAGTAATTACCTTTCATTTTATATATATATGTCCTATACCTAAACCTAACAGAAAAAAAAATATTCGCATTTTTCACAATTAGTAGCTTTTTTCCAATTACCTTAGTTAAATTTTCATTATTCAAATAAATAAATTTCAATAACAACAAATAAAAATGCTTTTATATATAAATATATATTACTATAATAATTACCATACGCGCAAAGCTACTAATTTTGTAAAATGCGAATATTTTTTTTAGGTGATCCACGTAAGGTGACCCATATACTTATCTCAGAAACTACTGGAGTCACAAAAAATTTGTAAGAAACAAATATTCACGAAGTAAAAAATATTTTTAAAATATTTTATTTTCATTTATACAGGGTGTTCGGTTTTCCTTGGGACGATACCAACTTTCTTATTTTCAATGGAACACCCTATATTTTTTTGCATTTTTGGATTCTACACACTCTTTTAGGTATACTTTGTAAATATATTAATTAAGAAAATGTTAATACTTTTTGAGTAAAATGAGGATTTATTAAAATTTCTCTAAATGTAGACATTCGCTAAAAGTTAAAAATAACCAACTAAAAGTTATTATTTTTTATATTATGTAGCATTTATCTCTTTAATAATAAGTAAGCTATAAGTTAATTAATTTATTTTTTGGAAAATATTATACAGGGTGTTTTCTTTGAATAATGAAAATTTAACTAAGGTAATTGGAAAAAAGCTACTAATTGTGAAAAATGCGAATATTTTTTTTTCTGTTAGGTTTAGGTATAGGACATATATATATAAAATGAAAGGTAATTAATTATTCTATCCAATTATGCAAAAATATATAGGGTGTTCCATTGAATAAAAACAAGATTTTAAACTTTTAAAATCGCTATTTTCAACGGGACATAGAAAACACCCTGTATGATATTTTCCAAAAAATATAATAATTAACTTATAGCTTACTTATTATTAAAGAGATGGATACTACATAATATAAAAAATAATAACTTTTAGTTGGTTATTTTTAACTTGTAGCGAGTGTCTACATTTAGAGAAATTTTAATAAATCTTAATTTTACTCAAAAAGTATAAACATTTTCTTATTTAATATATTTACAAAGTATACCTAAAAGAGTGGGAAGAATCCAAAAATGCAAAAAAATACAGGGTGTTCCATTGAAAATAAGAAAGTTGGTATCGTCCCAAGGAAAACCGAACACCCTGTATAAATGAAAATATAATATTTTAAAAATATTTTTTACTTCGTGAATATTTGTTCCCTACAAATTTTTTGTGACTCCAGTAGTTTCTGAGATAAGTATATGGGTCACCTTACGTGGACCACCCTGTACATAAATTAATTTTTAATATCTAGTTGGGATGCTCCAGCGCCGTCTCTGGATTAACTATCTAATTAAATTTAATTTCATTAAATTAAGCCCTTTACTAAAATCCTTTAAAACTGTTTTAATCTATTTTGCGTTCATAATGACTTCATTATAACACCGCTTTCGGTGCTGTAATGAGATACTTTATCCTACACAAAATTTTGATTGTATAGGTTGCATATTGGTTATAATATTTTTATGATTTTTCTAGTTTTTACGAGACTTTTCTGGCAATAAATTTTGTTTAACATCAAAGAAAATCCTTTTTTCTTCTTTAACATTAACAGCCGCTTATCGTAAATAAGTAAATTAAGGACGGCATGGCGAATCGATTTTGACATTAACTGTCAAACCAATGACTGATACCAACTATCTAAAGTAAAATTCGACCAAATTAAATTTAAGGTATGAAATTAATTTTTTTTATAGAATTTTTGCAAAATAGATAAAATAGCATAAATAACTCATGTCATAAGATCTTTTGTCGCACTCGTCCATTACAAAACTCGCTCCTTCGTCGTTCGTGCGACAAAATGACGTCTTATGAAATTAGTTCTTTAATATACTATTATTAAACTTGCCCAAGAAGTTTATGGCGTTTTAGTCATGGGCAGAAGTGGGCCACAGTGGCTTTTGGGCATTTTAGTCACGGGCTGAAGTTATCTTTATTATTAATTGGATAAAAGTGAGGTTAAATCCGTTGACAGTTGACAGATGTCAAAAGTTTAACAAGTAAAATTGGCTTTAAATTCTTCTTTTTGTTGGTCGTAGATAAAGTATAGTATTATAAACTTATACAGACACTCGTATTTATTAACTAAAATAGCATTTTTAAAACTTGATAAATAATATACTATTTTAATAACTATAAAAGAAATTTTAAAACATACAAGTTTCAAAAACTGTTCTTACCTACCTAGTTATTGAAATAGTATACCTATCAAGTTTTATAAATGCCATTTTAGTTACGAGCGAAGGTTGTTAATATTATTAACTATAGTTTAATAATCGTTTTCTGCTTATATCTTCCCCCTTGGGGATTTACGGACAAAAAGTTATACTACCTGTAGATTTTGAAATTATCTACAAGAAAGATAAAATGATTTTTATTCAAACCACGTCTGTTTCTTGGAAACGCCCGTCAAAGTAAATTTACAAAAAATTTGTACAACATATTTTTATCAGGAGTTTAATGCCTATCAAAAAACCCCTCTTGATATTTGTTCGATTTTGGCTTTGCAGCCATTTCAAGCGCGCAAAACGCACGAATTACAACTGTTTTTATAAAAAAAAATTTTAGAATATTTATTTTTATAATATTTTGGCATAAAAATTGTCTTTTATTAGGTTATAGGTACATTAAATAAAAAAAACTCAAGAAATATTTTATAAAAGTAGACATAATTTTAATAATTGCAAGATTTATCTTGTCCCTTCCACATCCATCAAATATTAAAATTATCTTTACTGTTATAAAATATTTGTTGTGATTTTTTTATTTAATGTATAGCTTAATAAAAGAAGAATATATTTGACAATTTTCATGCAAAAATAATATACAAGGTGTCTAAACTTATTGGCATAAATTTAGGAAAAGATTGAGCAAGTCAAAATAAGACAAAAATCTAAATAAATATTTTTCCTAATTACGTATGTTTAAAAGATACAGGGTGATAAAGTGTTACTTATCATTTCAGTTTTTTTAATATAACTTCTACTATGGTAGATTTGGAAAGGTGATATTTTGCGAACAGTCACTTACTAGTAAAACACATATTCACACATAATTACAATTGTTCGAGTGAACACAGTGTCGTAGAAACAGGAGTTGCTTAAGCTTATTGTTCCATACAAACTTTGAGGTTAGGTTTTTATACCATTTGATGAAATTTTTCGATTCTCAGTTCGGCTACTATTAAAAAGGTGTACCTCTTAAACTTCGATAAAATTAACCGTTTCCGAGATATTCGAGATTACAATAATTAAAAGGTATATAACAAATTTTTTAATTGAAAAAACTACAATTTTTTAATGTGACGGTCAGGGCAAAAAGTCTCGAGGCTCATGGAATGCCGTTTTTTAGTTTTTTCAATTAAAAAATAAAATTTGTTATCATATACCTTTTAATCCTTTTAAATAATGCGATATAACAATTATTGTAATCTCGAATATCTCGGAAACGGTTTATTTTATCGAAGTTTGAGAGGTACACCTTTTTAATGGTAGACGAACTGTGTAATCGAAAAATTGTATCAAATGTTATAAAAACCTAACCTCAAAGTTTGTATGGGACAATAAGCTTAAAGCAACCCCCGTTTCTACGACACTGTGTTCACTCGAACAATTGAAATTATGTGTGAATATGTGTTTTGGTAGTAAGTGACTGTTCGCAAAATATCACCTTTCCAAGACTACCAGAGTAGAAGTTATATTAAAAAAAACTGATATCAGTAGTATATGATAGGTAACACTTTATCACCCTGTATCTTGGAAACATAAGTAATTAGGAAAAATATTTATTTAGGTTTTCGTCTTATTTTGACTTGCTTAATCTGCTCCTAAATTTATGCCACTAAGTTTAGGGACACCTTGTATAATAAATTTCCTACAATTTTTTTTATAAAAACAGGTTTGTCCCGTCCGTCCGCTTGTTATGAAGATAATTGCATATTTTGTAACAAACTCAATTTTCGAGATGAAATTGGGAATATTGTCTCTTATTAGAACAAATTTTTTAATGCTTCTCTGTATATCTCGCTTGGTAAAGGTGGTGGTGTAAATTTATCCTTGACGAAAACCAAAAGTGACCTGGCTAGGTGTTTTTCCAGTCGATAAATCGCCTTCGGAATGTGCGAGCCGGAAGAGGTGTCCCAGGAAGTCTGGTCGCAGTGGTTTCTGGACGCGATCAGAAAGATCCGGTCGCAAAAGCAGCGACCGAGCGTCGAGAGGATCTGCCACGCGATCCGCCAGCATCACAACTACCACGAGGACGTGGTGGCCGAGCACCTGGAGGCGGCAGTGAAGGCGGGCGCCGTCCTAAAGGTCTTCAACAAGGGGCAGAGCTCCTACAAGGACCCGGGCGGGCTGCAGAGCCGCACGCTCAACATAAACAAGGGCGCGGATCTGTGCAAGGTCGTGACCAAGGCCGTGAGGGAGCTGGGCGAGCGCGAGGGCTCCACGGTCAAGTCCATCGAAAAGTACATCAGGCAGTCGCACACGATCGTAGAGAGCCCTGAGCACGACCTCAAAAACGCCATCAAACTGTCGGCCAAAAGAGCTGTGGCGAGGAATTTTATCATAACGGATGGAAAGAGTTTCAAGTACAACTACAACCAGCAAAGTCCGAGCGTCAAGAGGCCCAAGGATGCGAACAAAAAGTCCGACCAAGAAAACACCACCAAGGTAAGATTTGTTTGTGTTTTGAATGTTTTCCCGCCACTTTTACTGAATTCCGTTCACTTGTCATGCGAGTTGTTTTTATGGGTCGTTTAAAGCCGGTTTTATTAATAAATTAATTCGAATTAAAACAACATTTGTGCTACCTATAACTAGATTAAACGTTGAAGTTTTTGAAATATAATTAATTGTTTTAAATGTTTAATACCTATCTTAAAAACTACTAAAAATAAAAATACCAAATTTTGCCCATCTCTTCGAAATATCGGTGTTTTAAAATTTTGTGCGCCAAAATGTTAAATATTGTAAATCTCAAGAAGTTAGAACCTTAAATTTCATTAACCTAGGTTACGTAGATTTCGAGATCTATAAATGTTGGGCGCCAAAATGTAACACCCGGTACATCTCGGAAAATTAGGTAATAAATGTAAAAATAATGTGTTTACTTTTTTATTTATATTTTGTACTTTTTGAGATATTCGAGTTTAAAAAAATTGGACGCCAAAATGTTAAATCTTGATATCTCGAAAACTACTAAATCTAAAACGGTAAGATTTGCTATACGTTTAAAGATAATCAAGATACATATTAAGTACAAATTTTATTATTTTATATTTAATACTTTTTAAAACATTAAATTTTTAAGAAAATCATTTTAAAATGCTAAATATTGTATACCTATCTCAAGAACTAATAAATTTAGAAACTTTAAATTTTGCATACTTTTGAAGAAAAACATTTACAATAATGTTTTAAAATTTCATCAACATAGTTTTCGTAGATTTCGAGGTATTGACTTTTAATAATGTTAGGCGGTATATCTCAAAAACTGCTGAATCTAGAAATGTCAAATTTTGTAAAGAAATTTTATATAATAAACGTAAATAATGTGTAAAAATTTAGTTAATTTATATTTTGTACTTTTTGAGATATTCGAGTTTAAAAAAATTGGGCGCCAAAATGTTAAATCTTGATATCTCGAAAACTACTAAATCTAAAACAGTAAGATTTGGTATACGTTTAAAGATAATCAAGATACATATTAAGTACAAATGTTGTTATTTTATATTTAATGCTTTTTAAAACATTCAATTTTTAAGAAAATCACTTTAAAATGCTAAATAATGCATATCTCAAGAACTAATAAATTTAGAAAATTTAAATTTTGCAAACCTTTCAAGAAACACATTTACAATAATGTTTTAACATTTCATCAAAATAGTTTTTGTAGATTTTGAGGTATTGGCTTTTTAAAATGTTAGGCGGTATATCTTGAAAAATGTTAAATCTTGATATCTCGAAAACTACTAAATCTAAAACAGTAAGATTTGTTATACGTCTAAAGATAATTAAGATTCATATTGATTACAAATTTTGTTATTTTATATTTAATACTTTTTGAAATATTCAAGTTTTAAGAAAATTACTCTAAAATGTTAAATATTGTATATCTCAAGAACTAAAAAATTTAGAAACTACATTCATCCATCTAGGTTTTGTAGATTTCGAGAAAACTTTTTAAAATGTTGGGCGCCAAAATGTAACACTCGGTATATCTCGGATAAAATTGCCGATAATAAAGATAAATATTGTGTGCAAATAGGTATTGTTAATTTATATTTTATACTTTTTGAGATATTCGAGTTATCTTAAAATGTATTAAAACAATTGTAAACATTCTTTGTTTGTCCTGATTTCAAAGATAATTTTTTTTTTAAAGAACCTCATAGAAAGTTAATGTATATTAAATGCTGTAAAAGGCTTGCTGGAATCAATATCATTTAATAGCACTGCATTATTTGTAAACTACTTTTTAAATCGTGAGAACAAAAATTTTATGTTTGTGACCCAAATAAATGTCATGAATTCGATACTAAAGTAACTACTTTTTAATTTAAATGTATAATAAACACATGAAACCTTTTCGTGCGTAAAGGGCACAAATATCTCACTCTTAAATCTTTCACAATAAAAAACAACATCCTGTCTACATATAATTGCCTGCAAACGTATTAAACTCGTTTTTCTTTCAATTTTCTCCGCGCAAATATTATTTATTACCTTCGCAGTGCCCCCTGCGGTTTTACAAGCTTCTCGGTGCATATTAATCCGCCGATTTGTCACAATACCAACGTAAACACGTTGAATTCCCCACCCAAAACAGACAACACGATAATCTGAAGTGCAACGATTGTTTATAAGTTGGCGGTGCACCAATGGAAACACCGGAGGCGGCGCACGCTGATGCTCGTGAAAAAATGTTGATGATCGCGTACGGTTTACCGAGTGCACTGCGTATGTAAATTAACATATCGATTAGTTCGGTTATTTGTGCGTTTTCAACATACTTGCAGCGATTGATATCCAATTTTAAGGTATTTACAATGTTTGTTAATCGAATTGCGACAAATTGCGACTGATTTTGATCGATTTCGCCTTTAAGGTTGATATATAGGTCACAGGTAGTCCCGACGGGACATCTGTTGATTTAAATTGTTATTAAAGCCTCGCAAAAATCAATTTACCTACTTGGCTTCGAACCACGTGCTTATTGGCTCCGCCCACACCATTTTCATTGGTAAAGCGGCCCTGTCAACTTGATTTATCGAGAAAAAATTTTGTTGGGACAAATTTGCATTGTGCAGTTTTAAATGTAAATGATTTTTAGCCGGGATGATTCACCGGGATAAAAATAAGTTTGTTTTTAACATGTGGTGGTTATTTTTAAATAAAAAGTGACAAAGCGTGGGAAAATGTTGCATTGAGGAAATCGTTTTTGAAATGTTGGCGCCAAAATGTAATATGTTAAATAGGTATTATAAACTAATTAAGCTAATTAGAACCATGCTACAAGAAAACTTAGTTAATTGCCGCCTTTCAATTTAAATGATAATTTAAATTTAAATATTATTCTCTTATGAAATTCATCCAAATTTTGTATAAAATTATTCGATTTTTAGATTAAATTGTCGAATAATTTGAATATAAAACGTAAAAAACGATCTAAGTCACAATATTAACATTTCAAGGAAACAATATTAATAAAATGTTAAATAAATGTCACAAACGAGTGTTTTTGAGAATAAAGCCGGAAAATGTTAAAAAATATCGAAAAAAAAACCGTGGCTCGATTTGTTGTGTTGGGTGTATTTCGAGAGGAAATCCTGGGTTGAGTTTTTACCGGTTTTCCAATAAACAGTGTTAATCTGAATAAAGAAATAAATTGCACACAGTCTCTGTAAATATAAATTGTACCTATTAGATACAATAAATACACATTTTAGTAGTGATTAACGTGAAAAGTGTAAACATTTCAATTCAGTAAAAATCGTCAAATAAATAAGTCGTCTAAATTTAAACAGCATTTAGCATTATTAAAAGCGTTGTTTAAGAAAGTCTCCACTCAACGGTAAAATACCATTATTTTATGTATTATATATAATATTATGTTGCCATGAATTCGTAGGTACCTATATTTTGTTGTTTAAAATGCAGTTGTCGGCGTTTTTTAGAGAACTCAAACATAAAAATGGTTGATTTTAAGGTTATGTTTATGCAAAAATTATTTTTTACTAATTTCTTTAAAATGTCCAAACTTAAATATAAATTATATTATGTAAATTTATCATTAGTTAATTCTGCACCAACAAATGTACTTACCGAATTGGATCCTTTGGCAAAACATGAAAATGCAACGATTTAGTTCTTGAATTTTATTTACAATTAAAAACACAATAATTCACCAAGATTCCTTAGATAAAATACACACACTAACGTAACTATATAAGCATTTAAGCGTTGAGTTTCTTAATCAATGATAAGAAATAATCAATCGAAATCGAGTAGGTACCTACTAAAAAATTTTTCTAATTTTTTCCTTGCAACGTAAAACTCAAATAACGTGCGCGATTTAGCTGTACAATTGAACAAAATTTGTCGAGTAAGACTTCTGCCTTCCTCTCTTTTGTGAAAAAACTACCTATTTATTTAAAAATGATGTATAATCTGTGCTTTAAATGTATTGTTGACAATTCTTAAATTCACGCAATGCTATCGAAGTCCACCAGATGGCGCGCGCGTTGCGAAAACCCGATACTTCTTTAGCGTATAAGTGTTGTTTTTTAAGGTTAAGTTTTTTAAAATTGTTTATATGTTATATGTTCACTAGTGGTACAATATTTTCATTGTTCAACTAGTGTAACAATAGCTTATTTTGTCCATTGTTTTCGAGCGTATAATGTCTAAGATAGTGTGGGACAAAATATATTGTTTTAAAGTAAATAATATTTACTAAATACCTTCCAAATAAAATAAATGAAGAAAAATTTAATTTTAAGCTTAAATGTTTTAAATACTGGGTTTTCAAATAAAATTTCTTGTTTTAAAGTTTAAACCCATTTGTAAGTGAAATGTTTTCTTTGTAACAAACATGTAACTAAAATAAAACATTCTTTTAGCAACCCGCCTCGTTACCCATCTGTTCAGAGTGCCTAGGAACCGAATCCAATAACGGAAAAGGCGTTTCGGAAAAGTTGAGCGCGTGCTCAGAATGCGGTTCCTTCGTGCACTTGAGTTGCACTCAAGCGGGTCCAGAACTGGCTGGTTTGCTGGCCAAAGGCGGTAAATGGTTCTGCGAGGACTGCAAAATATGCGACGGATGCGGTAAGCGTTGCTTTACGATCTTTGCACGATTTTTTTTGACGATTTTGTTTTTTTTTCAGGTAATTCTGGCGTTTCGACGTGTCTGTTATGTTGTTGCGGTTGCGATAGAAATTATCATATGGGTTGTTTGGACCCTCCGGCAGAAAAGAAACCGAAATGTCCTTGGAGGTGTAAACATTGCCTTACCCATCACGAAAATATTAAAAAGAAAGCTGGTGGTGATACCACTCCAACAGTGAAGAAGAAAATCGAAAAAGTCAGGGAGAAAATCAAGGAAAAATCTGTAAAGTAAGTCTTACCTTCCCCACATAACACATAATATATTTAAATTATTTATATAATATTTTTCTTCAACATCACAAAATATCTGGAAATATTTTCAAAATATTTACAGTTCATTGCATATTTATTTTAAAAATGTTGCTTTTATATTTATTTCAAAAACCCTTGTGATACTTTTTGTGTACTGAATTTTCTTGTTTTGAAGTGCAAAAAGTAGATGTCATATTAGATATACCTACCAAATCAGCGGAATACCATAGCTGGAGATCTATTTTTTGCACGCTAAAAATACAAGAAAGTTTGGCACACGTCTTAATAAAAAATATTAAAAAAAAAATAGTTTATTTTTAAAATAATCGATATAAAAAAAAATTAAATACGTAAAACAACAATTTTTAGTTTCTTTTTTACTTTTGCTAAATTTACACACTTTTGTTATTAGAAAAGGTCTTTTAAATTTATGGATTTTGTGACTTACTTGGTAATTGATTTATTTGTCTTGCTCAGATTTGGGACGGCTTGGATTTGTTTTTTTGTATTGTTTTGTTACTATTCTCCTATTATATTATAATAATAATAATAATTATCAATGTTGCTGTTGATCTTTGTTTTACATTGGTTTTGTTTAGGTATTTTTTTACTACGGTTGTGTTTGAGTGAAAAGAAATTTACGTATGCATTCAGTTATAAGAATACTTATCAAAGTTTTGCAGATGATGGCCCTTTTCACTCTTGGTTGGCGTTGTTTGTTCTTTACATAGAATTAGAGATGCGACTTGAAAAACGGTCCGTTTTTTTGCTTTTTTTCAGGTTTTTTTTTCATTGTTTTTTTTCAAATGTTTTTTTTTCTTTATATTTTAGGTTTTTTTCAAGCTTCCAGTCCAGTTTATGGACTAAAATTAGAAACTAAATGACATTTAGTAAATATAAATACAGTCTCGCGCTTTGCACGCGCCACCACCACCGAATTGACCAATAATAATAATAATGTTTTGATTTGGTCCTAAAAAAAGTAACTTCCTATAATATTTTTGATTCAGCGCTTGATTTTTCAAAAAGCTACCAAAAGCACTTTTTTCATGATTTTTCAAATTCATGTGGAGTATGGAATTTTTTTTAAACAATAGCAAATTCTTGTAGAACATTTATTCATTGGTGGTAAAGTCAGAACATTCCGTGGACCAAAAAAAAAAGCCAAAAAAAAATCGATTTTTTTATTACACAGAAAAAATCTAACATAGTACCAAGAACAGCGCTGTCATTGAATGCATTAAAATTGAAGCAATCTAAATTGTTATTTGCTCAATTAATTACTATTAAACCAAAATAGGGAAATATTTTGCCTAAATGTCAAAGAATTTATTGCGTTAAATGTATACATAGTATTTAATGCAATAACATTCTACCATTCTAACAAATAAATATCAATATGAATATCAATAGATTTAGGAGCGATAACTTTTGTTGTTAATTTAAAAACAGTAAACGATTATTAACCAATTGCTAACTACCTATTGGTATTAAAGGAACTGTTATTCAGGAATACGGATTACAAGATCCCATTGGTTTAATGGCTCACCCATTCATGCTATGCTAGCGTTTTTTCTGTGTACGGTATTCGTTGTACGTTTTTCATCTGAAAATCTCAAAACAAGAAACTTTTAGCTTCAAATTACCTTTTTTACGGCTCCAATACGAACATTTTTAACGAAGATACAGCTATCCGAAAAATCGCAAAAAATTTGGAATTTTTTTAGATCCTTTAATTTTTTATCTTAGTGTAGAAGTTTTACATTGCTATTGGTTTCTTATGTGGAAACTACCAAATAATAAGAAATCAGATTTTTTAGTCTCTGTCAAAATTTTCAATAATGAAAAATATAATACAGACTGTATAGAATCAACAGGGCCGAGCCTAGGGTATCTGCCGCCCGGGTGCAGGAATTAAATTTGCCGCCCCCATTAATGTAAAAAATCTACTTTTCTCGCTTTTTTAATAGCAAATTCCCTAATTAAGTCGCCTACATCCAAGTTGTTAGAAATATCTTCTTCAATACTTATAATTGCTTAATTTGAAAGCTTCAATTGACTCATATTAGTTTTAATTTTGAAAATGACCGCTCTTCATGGGCAACAGTAACTGGCATCGTCAAAAATATTATTAAAGATACAAATAAATTCGGAAAGATGCCTTTTAAATCACTAACTAGTTTTTAACTTAAACGCATTAAAAGACAAAAGAAACTACTATGTTTGCACCCTATTTGCCTCACGTTAATAGAAAAATTAAAAATTGCTGAAATACGCAGCCGTCAAATCGGAAGAAATTATGCTTTAACTTAACAGTTCAGCTTGTAAACAATATCACGTGGTACACAGCGCGCGATTTGATTGGTTTCCCGTAAGCCCGCTTCCGTAAAACATGAAACTTGACGAACTCGAAGCGGACGGACGGAAAGCGAAGCGGGCGGGCGGCAATCTATAAAACGGGCTTTAAGAAAATTGTCATCATCATTTTTTGTGGTTATCGCGCGTTCGGTTATGTCTTTTTTATCATTGCCGCCTGACAGCACAATTTTGGTATTGTTTTTATGTGTAGAATAAAAACGATGATTCCTTGAAACGCCGACATCAATAAACCGCAAGTGATTTTTAGAAAGTTTGGAAAGGTGGCTTTTTTATTCTTGATAATATGATACAATTTTTTTTGATGATATTTTGCCGCCCTGTGTTAGTGCCGCCCGGGTGCCATGCACCCCTTGCACCCCCGGCACGGCTCGGCCCTGAGAATCAAGTCAGTAAGTCTGGAGACAAGGATGACAAATTATATTCTGATCAGAGAAAAAGAAATAAACTTTAATTGGGCGTGGTTTAAACCAAGCCATTCGTAATTACGAACCATAGTTGCCAGGTTGTTTTAAATCAGAAGAGAACGATTATAATTATTTAATAAATAGTTCAATTTTATTTGTTTGAAACTTTAAAAATAACAAAAAAATTAATAATATGTCAAAAATAATTTGATTTAGTTAATTTTCTTACTTTTAATATTAAAAAATAAGAAAAACAACCCTTTTAGGAAACTATAATAGCATACGGCAACAGCGCGGCATGCAGCCAGATACAAGGGCATGCAGTTTGATCTACTGTGTTTGTTCAGTAGCTTCGACGCTGTCGTAGGAAAATGTGTATAGTTTTTAAGAAATACATTTTCGTCATTAACTGGAATTTAATGGATTTTAAACAATACTTGGTTTTTATTTGCATAAATGCATTAAAACAAAACACGAATTCGTTGATAAAAATAAAACCTATAAATTCTCAAACAAAAATAATTCTAAAATTCAATCCCTACCACAGTGGGCGGGGTTTGGCACTTGTTTTATTTAAGTGTATCTATTCTATTGTTATTGGTATATTCTACATTTCACTTTATTATTAATATACATTTTACTCAAAATTTCATTTTGCAGCGGATTTAAAAAAAAAAACAAAAAAAAACGTTTTTTTTCACATCTGAAAAAAACCGTTTTTTACATCTCTACTCTATTGTCAGGTGGTTTGTCCGCCAGGTATGCTGTCACTTATCACTTCACACTCTATTACTTATAGAAATATTTTTCCCTGGATGTTCATACAATCTTTCATCAACCTTTCGTGTATAAATATTGTTCTCTAAACATTTTTAAAACATATTGTGTTATGTGGGTGAAAGTTCTGTTCGACAATGCATTACAACTTTGTGTCGTTTTCAGCTCGCCCAGCGGCCCAACCGTGGAAGAAGTGGAGGAGGAAATCGCAGAGGAGGAGAAGGTCCGGGACACGCCCGGCGAGGAGTCTCCCAAATCGGCGGTGCGCCGGTCTCGACTGGCGAGCGACGGCAGCGACGGCGCTGCGGCTGACGGTACGACATCTAGCGGTAAAAAATTTCGTAGGGACAAGTCGCCGGAGGCTAGCGAAGACCTGCGGATCGACACGAACGACAAGATGTCGAAGGAGAAGCAGAAGTTTTTCAGGTCGTCGGCCTTCAACGCCGACAAGAAGAAAGTCGTCGGCAAAAAGGGCACCAAGAGCGCTAAAGTAGTCAACAGTGGGGCCAAGAAGGACGTGACGGTGCCTGGGAGGGTTAAGAACGGTAACAATAAGGTGGAGGTGAAGAAAGAGGTTAACGCGCCCAAACCTGCAGTGAAAAAGAAAGCGTCGCCGAAGGAGATAAAACTGTCGGAATCCAGCTCTTCGGATTCCGAGGAAGGCTCCACAAGCTCAGACGAAGACGAAGAAACTTCAAATGAGTCGGATTCAACCTCAACCTCGTCCACTGCAAGCAGCGAATCGGAAAACGCTCAAAAACCGACGGTTGCCAAGAAAGAGGAAACTTTCGGCAGCATAAGCGGCATAACCCCCGATAAAGACGCCCCCTGGGGGTTTGCAGCCGAAGCCCAAAAAACCAACGAAAAAATCGCGTTTGCGGTAAGCAAAGACGACAAAAACGTCAACAACAACTCCGACGACGATAAAGACAAACACTCCAGAGTCGGCATAGGGCAGCTCAAAGGGCTCTTCGATGGATTATCGCACCTCTTCTCGCCGCCCACCTCGAACAGAGCCTCCAGGGCTACACCTCCGAACTACAACCCCAACAGAAGGAAGCCCAGAGACAGTTCCAAAGAGGACGACGTCGAAACTCCAATAGCGGAGAAAAAAGTCGTTAACGTCGACAAAAAGACGCCCAACGTCGATAAGAAGGTGCCAGTTGTTGAGGAAAAAGCCCCAAATGTGGAGAAAAAAGTACCAAGTGCTGAGAAAAAAGTACCAAGTGCTGAGAAAAAGACGCCAACCGTCGAAAAGAAACCACCAAGTGCTGAGAAAAAGACACCAAGTGTGGAGAAAAAAGCACCAAGCGTGGAGAAAAAGCCACCAAGTGCTGAGAAAAAGACACCAAGTGTGGAGAAAAAAGCACCAAGTGTGGAGAAAAAAGCACCAAGTGCTGAGAAAAAGACACCAAGTGTGGAGAAAAAAGCACCAATTGTGGAGAAAAAAGCACCAAGTGTTGAGAAAAAAGCACCAAGTGCCGAGAAAAAAGCACCAAGTGCGGAGAAAAAAGCACCGAGCGTCGACAAAAAACTCCCCGAGGTAAAAAAGACCTCGACGTCGATAAAACCGGAAATCAAGGAGGAAATAAAAATGGAAACGGAAGCGTTGAACACGTCGATGTCGCCTTCGAACCTCGTAAAAAGGGCTGCCAACTCGAAGCAGCACGAGCCGAAAAAAATGGTGAAAAAGGACGATTCCGTTCAGGCGGACGTCGTTGCCAAATCGACTCCTCCGCCGACTGTCAAAAAGCAGCAGCTGCAGCAGCAACAACAAGGCAGAAGCGCTGGCGCCGCCGCCGCAATGTTGCCGCCTCCTCCTCCTCCACAGCCGTTTGCCAACAGTCAGACGGGTAAGACATTCCCAGACCCATCTCACAAGAGCTCTACTACTTACTATAGTACTTATACCATGCATTTTTTTTTTTTGTTTTTAGGTGGATTTTATTTTTGCGACGTTGCCATGTTTATGTCACGATGTAAACACGGCAACGCCGCATATTATACATTCTCTAACCTCTCGGTCAGTCTTCTATACCATAACGCAAAAAACACAATATTAAAACGACACCTGGCTTTTTATTTTTATTTTTTTTTATTATTATTTACTAACACCTGTTTATTTTCAGCTTTATTTATTTATTCATAGGGAATGACCTATATTATGACCATTTTCAATACAATGCTCAAAATTTGCATGAATTCATACAAACCATACAATACAAATATACCTACACTTAAATCGGTGATTGGGGCGCCAAAAATACAAACTGACGGCTTGTTAAATTAAATATCGTAAAGAAGACTACCGTTAACATTTTTTTTTCGTTTATTCGCTTTTGTAAGCTGGTAGCATGTTACTTGGTGTGGTAGAGTTAATAACGCACTTAACATACAAAGAAAAACTGTAGTTTTGTTAAAATTACGGTTGGAGTCTGGCAACACTGTCACAAATGTCAACCGAACTTTTTCCAGGTTATCTGTCAAAATTTTTATTTTTTAGGTTATTTTAACATTGCTACAGTTTATTATTTATTTATCACTGCTTGACACTCACAAAAATTATATAAAAAATATCTGTCTGATTGGTTGGTAAATTGGCAATATTAACATTTCACATTATTAAAAAAAATAAAAATACTAAAATAATTGTACGAATCGTTAGAATTTTGTGCATGTGCATTTATTATTTACTTATTTATTATAGGTACTCATTATTTGTTTAAGTTTTAACGTTGATTTGCATTTTTAAGAATGTGAGTATAAAAATAATGCAAATCAAGCATAATTGGGCAACCTTATGTTTGGCAACTATGTCGTAAGGTTGCTTGATGAAGTACTGTATTTTGATAAATTATTTGTTTATTTAATTTTGTGTTACATGATGTACAAGCTAAGAAAACTCCTTAAGAAATATAAAATATGTATATATGGGTCGTTCCACGTCAAATCCACCATGACCATGACCCATATATATTTTATATTGCTTATTTACAAGGGTTGCCATATTATTAGCAATTTATTTGAATTAATTGAAAAATAACTGACTCTTCTTGAGTTTTTTATGTTAGCTGTTGGTACTTTATTTTTTCAAAATGATATATAGGGATAAAATCTTGTTTTTCCTACAAATAATTGAGGTTATCCATCTGTCAGTTTAACGCCAATTTCGTATTATTTTCTGAAAACAATACAATAGGTACCACTTTTTTAAAATCACGTTACAAAAGTTGACTTAAAACAGTTTGGCCCTAGGGTACAGATATGGGTATTGTATTGTTTTCAGAAAATAATACGAAATTGGCGTTAAACTGACAGATGGATAACCTCAATTATTTGTAAATAAATGTCAAGGTTTTGAGAAGTACAAAAACGTGCCGTATAGATTTCAAGCTGTGAGCGTGGTTTAAGCACACTCGATTTTTTGACTGGCCAATCCTAATTCGTTAAATTTGATCTTTGTTGTAAAAGAAATATGGCTTTTAGGTATTTCCATTGTAACGGGTGCGACACTAAAACTGCGTTTTTTCATGATAATAGTGTTTGCTCATATATATCAAGATACGTTAATATAAAAAAAAATAGTATAATTAGGTATTTAACTCAAACAAAATGTCAATAACAACTTGTAAAGTAAACCTTTTATAATGTCATGAATAGAGTAACGGGCGCGACCTTAGAAAATCGGCAAATGCGACCAAGTTGGCTTCTAAAATTTTGGATGAAAGCATATAGTAATAATTTTTTGTGTAAAATTTGAATAGTAACCTTAAACAAGCACGTATTTTAAAATGTACAAAAATTACATACTTTATTTTCTAATTTTTTTTTAAATGTAACGGGTGCGACATTTAAACATTGTATCGAGTATTGAAACTCTTCCGTGTTTATTCTTAATGTTAGCTTCTTAGCATCACAATGTACGAATATTTTAAGGTTATAAATTACGTCGCAATTAAACTATTTGATTTCAGATATAGTTGTTATTTTGTTAAATAACACATCTGATTTGTTGTTAAGGTGAGGTAAGGCTTCGTGGAAATACCCTTTTGGTAAGAGGAAAAAAATTGTTTTTGTTTTTTCGTTCTCTATACCTATAGGTAGAGATGTAAAATGCTCGAGCATTTATTTTTGGAGAACGCAAATTGAGCATAAACGAGAAAAAACGAGCATAAACGAGAAAAAACGAGCATAAACGAGAAATTCCCGAGAATTTATTAACAGCTTAGTCAAATTAGGACATTGCACGTTTTTTCTCAATATTCTCAAAAAGACTCTTAATTTTCTTAATATTCTCGAGAAGATTCTCAATTTTCTCAATATTCTCGAGAAGATTACCTTTTTTCTGGGCATTAAAATCTTTTCTTTATAAAAAAAACTTTAAAATTAAACATAAAAAACATATAAATAACAAAAATATCACTTTGAAAAAATAATACCTACACTGAGAAAAAATGGGACAAATAAACTGTGTAGCTAATACTTTTTATTAATAATTTATTAGGCTATCTAAACAATTAAAATTGATCCCCATCTTGTGCTAACTGGTAATTTAAGTGAGGATTTTTTCCCTTTCTTTTCCAATTGTATGTTAGTAAAAGTAGCCAGCGCAATGTGAGAGTTGGATATTTCTTTTACAATTTGTTTACAGTGGCCTTCAATATCTTTTAAACTATTACACTTCATTATGTCGCCAACCAAAAGATTAAGGCAGTGGGAAATGCATCCATATTCAATAATTTTTAGTTGCTCTGCAACTATCTTTCGGGCTTTAACCATTGCGACGGCATTATCTGTCACAATGCCAATTACTTTATTTGATCCGATGTCTAATTATTATTTTTTAATAAATGTATCTTGATAACTTTACTTCTTAATTTTTGGTTAATTTCCAACATATTTTTTTAATTAAAACCACGATTTTAGTAATTGATTTTAGTTAACTGATAAAAATCATCTCAGCCTTGACCCTGAGTAATAAAATATAATTATAACTTACCTACAACTTCCACAAGATTCCCGCCAATTTCGTCAACAAAATCATTACTTGACGACGTCAAATATTTTTTTATTTATTCTAGGAATCTGTTACATTTCAATAAATGAGTGGTCATCCTTGTGGCATGTTTTGTATATTGCGAATGACAAAACTTACAGTTATAAAGATTTTTATTTGTTTGTACAGTGAAATACTGCATACCCTTACCCGGCTGTCATACGCCGATCGAGCATTTTGCGAGAATTTTCGAGCATATTCAAGGGAAGCTTCTCGATTGTGCTCCAAAATGCTAGGCCATGAAAGTGCGCGCAAATTCATTTGAAGCTTCGCGAATCTTCGCGAAGCTTCTCCGAGCACAATCGAGAACATTCCCTCCCTCACATCACTACCTATAGGTACCTATGTCTTATTATTTAATATTTTTTTAAGACATATTATTTTAAATGATCAATTTTTTGTTTAGAAGACTATCCTTGAATGCAACCAGTAATGTAAAAAAAAGTTTTTTTGCAAGATTATTAAGGAAAAACGTTTTTTCAGTTTGCATCACTAAATGGAACTCTAAAATATATAGGATGTTTCATGAAAAAAAACCAAAATTAAAATCATCATTTCACGGTACATAAAAAATACCCTGTATAATATTATGAAAAAATATAGCACCAAGGTGGTGCTGGAAGTATTTTGTAAATTGGGGGAATTCCAAAATGATTCAAAGTAAATACCTAACCTACAACTTGTTGAGTTTTTATAATTTTATAGTTTTTATTCATATATTGTATCACGAGAACTATGAATTTAATGGGTTAAACTAGGCTCAGTAGTTTTTTGTTTGGTTTTTTTCGAAAATGTTGAATGCAAAATAATTTAATTTTAATTTATTTTTAATTATTTTGCATGAAACTATTTTCCAAAAAGAAAAATCAAATAAAAAACTTACTGAGCATAGTTTGACAGATTAAATTTATAGGTTGAGTGATATACGTCTAGATTATTTCTCGAATGAAAGGAAACTATTTGGCAATTCATAAAATCCATTCCATTAATTTAAGTAATAATTGATATTTCGTAAACTAGATAACTTATTTTTTATTGTTTTTTAAAAAATGTTTGTTAAAACTTGTAAATAACACCATAAAATCGTAAACAAAAATCCAATATGGAGGCTAAAATTTAATGGCTGTTAAATAGTTCAGGTGATTTAATCGCTTATTTAAACGAAATTTATTCGAAAATTCAAGGCTTTTGATTGGTTCATATTATAATGAGGGAAATAATCATACTTAAAATTAACTTAGTTACTCAAAAAATACTTTCTAAATTATCTTGTAATTAAAAGTACTTTCAACTCTCAGATTATAAAGGTGGCAACCCGCTGTACATGTTCTTAGCTAGTACTCATTTAACACCCGAAAACAAAAAATGCAATTTCCCCACTTCCATTGCAGATTTCGACATGAAGCCCACGCAGCTGCCTCCAGGGGTGACCAACAAAGACGTCGAGCTGTTCAGGGAGGCGCGCGAGAAGGCGGCTGCCGCCACCGCCGCCCTGGCCGCCCCCGACGCCGCCGCCAACCCCGTTTTAACGTCGCCGTCGCACGCGATGGCGGCGCAGGGCCGCTGCCCGGCCGCCATCGACTTCGGCAAGTACGAAATCCAGACGTGGTACTCGAGCCCGTTCCCGCAGGAGTACGCGCGGCTGCCCAAGCTGTTCCTGTGCGAGTTCTGCTTGAAGTACACCAAGAGCAAGGCCGTGCTGGAGCGGCACCAGGACAAGTGCACCTGGAGGCACCCACCCGCCACCGAAATATACCGGTGCGAGGATATATCGGTGTTCGAAGTCGACGGCAACGTCAACAAGATATACTGTCAGAATTTGTGCCTGCTGGCGAAACTCTTTCTGGACCACAAAACCCTCTACTACGACGTGGAGCCGTTTTTGTTCTACGTGCTGACGAAAAACGACAAGAAAGGTTGCCATTTGGTGGGCTACTTCTCCAAAGAAAAGCATTGTCAGCAGAAATACAACGTGTCCTGTATCATGACGATGCCGCAGTACCAAAGACAAGGTTTTGGACGGTTCTTGATCGAATTCAGTAAGTTGCCTTCGGGCCTTTCCATCTCAAATTTTAACGAAATTTTTTGTACAGTTTCTCTACCGAAATCGATGAGACCCGTATTTTTTCTTTTTGCTTAAATTGGTTTTGTTCATCCGGAGGAAATTTTTGAAAAATGGAAAAAAAACATCGATTTTTCTCTTTTAACGGGTGACATTTTTTCTTGAAAATGCGATGACTTGGCAAAAATGTAGGTAAATGTTTACTGCATACCAAAAAAATATAAAAAATTAAGTGTATATGGGTGAATATATTGAGATGTCCCCCAAGTGAAAATGATTATTTTTTATTTTTGGTTGTTTCACTGTTGGCCTAGAATGGGGTTTTTGGGAAGCCACCAGGTCTAGTAATAACATAACATAAGTGGTTCTGCACTAATGCAAGAATTTTAAGAAATCATACATTTTGAATATTAGAGCTTCACGGACGTTAGGATTTCGTATGTTTTTTTAATCCCTTTGTATATCTGAAGTAAGTTATAACTTTTGAATTATAAAACAGCAACACTCTCATCTCATGAATTTACATTTTACTCTAGAATCTTTAATTTAATTTACTTACTTAATAGCATTTCCGGTAAAACCAGAAGAGACAAAAATTTGTTAAATATGTCAAAAAGTTACACTTTATAATAATAATAATAATAAGTTTATTAAACCTTCAAATGTTTGTTTACAAGGCGTGTCTACAATAATAATATAAAAGCAGTATAAATACGACTGTATAGAATCAAGTAAGTAAGGCTGGAGACAAGGATGACAAATTATATTCTGATCAGAGAAAAAGAAACAAACTTTAATTGGTCGTGGTTTAAACCAAGCCATTCGTAATAACGAACCATAGTTGCCAGGTTGTTTTAAATCAGAAGAGAACGATTATAATTATTTAATAAATAGTTCAATTTTATTTCTTTGAAACTTTAAAAATAACAAAAAAATTAATAATATGTCAAAAATAATTTGATTTAGTTAATTTTCTTACTTTTAATATTAAAAAATAAGAAAAACAACCCTTTTAGGAAACAATAATAGCATATGGCAACAGCGCGGCATGCAGCCAGATACAAGGGCATGCAGTTTGATCTACTGTTTGTTCAGTAGCTCTGACGCTGTCGTAGGGAAATGTGTATAGTTTTTAAGAAATACATTTTCGCCATTAACTGGAATTTTATGAATTTTAAACAATACTTAGTTTTTATTTGCAGAAATGCATTAAAACAAAACAAACGAATTCGATAAAAATAAAACCTATAAATTCTCAAACAAAAATAATTCTAAAATAATAATAATTCAATCCCTACCACAGTGGGCAGGGTTTGGCACTTGTTTTATTTAAGTGTATCTATTCGTTTTAATACACACTGTATAGATGACCCCAGTTTCATGACCCTAAATAAAAAACCAAATTTTTGCGATGGACCACGAATTTACTAAAAAATGGCATTTTCATTAAAAAATGTGGCAATGTCAAAGTTTTGATCTAAATTTTTTTTGCCTTTAGAAAAAACATTAAAAAAAATTGAGTAAATCCACTTAATTTTTTATATATTTTTTGTATGTACTAAACATTTACCTACAATTTATCGCATTTTCAAGAAAAAATGTCAGTCATTAAAAGAGAATTTTAGATTTTAGATGGAAAGACCCCGTTATATTTTTATCCAAAACTTTTCACTCAAACACACTTCCCTTTACAGGTTATCTCCTATCTAAAGAAGAAGGCCAACCGGGTACCCCGGAAAAACCCTTATCCGACCTGGGCAAAGTCTCGTACTACGCCTATTGGAAATCGGTCGTTCTGGAATACTTCCACAAACACAAAACCGAAAACATCAAGCTAACAAACATCAGCAAAGAAACGGGGATGTACTGCCACGACATAGCCTTGGCCCTTCAACTCCTCGGCTTCATCAAGTACATACCCACGGACAGTTCCATGAAGCCCGTGCTCATCGTGAACTGGGAGAAGGTCAACGCGCACGCGGAGAGAGTGGCGAAATCCAAGACCAGGATCCTGATAGACCACGAGTGTCTTCGGTGGACGCCACTGTTAACCCCCACGGTTAATCCCTTTAGAGAGCCCGAAGACATTGACAAGGATGGCGGTATTACCGCGGATATAGTGGTACCGATGCCCGAGAAGATTATACTCGAAAGTACGCCGGGCGTTAAGTTGAAACGCGGGAAAAAACGCAGGATTTCCACGGCGCCTCCGCGAATCCCCAAAACCCCCAAGAGCGAGGTTAAGAACGTCAGCGTGGAGGAAGAAGTCGAAATAACTTCGTCGGGGCGCAAGCGGACGCGGCCCGTTAAGTACAACGAAACCACGTTCGCCGACGTCAAAAACAAGACCCCCAACGCTCAAGAAAACAACCTCAAACGCAAGCAACCCGACGAGAAGGAACCCGAGGTGGATAAAAAGAAGCCGAAGCTCGAATCTCCAGTGGTGGAACTTAAAACGCCAAAGAGGAGTGCCGTTAAAAACGTGGAAACCCCCGAGTCGAGACCGAAACGCGGCAGCCAAGCCAAGGAGAAGGTCGTGGGTGAAAGATGGTCGCAAAGAAGAGCCAAAAAGCAACTGGAACTGGAGGAATCAAAGAAAAAAGAAGAAGAAAAGGTTGTGGAGGTTACGGAGGAAGAAAAACTTACGCCGGTGGCAGTGAAATCCGAACCGAAAGAGGTGAAAAAAGTTGTTGTTGAAGTTCCAACTACGCCTGAGGTTGCGAAGAAGACCATCGAAGCAACCCCGGTGAAGAAGAAAACGCCGAAATCCTCCCGCAAAAAGCGCGGTTGGGGTAAAGCGAAGTCGCGCAAGGCACCGCAAGTGGCCACCAAACAATTGACTCTTCCAGAGTTGATGAAAAACAAACTCCAACCTAAGGATAGCGAAAGCGACTCCATAATCTCCGAAAAATCCGAAGACGAGACCAAGATCAAGCAAAAAACACCAGAGAAGCTCCCAAGACCGAAATCCACGAAGGAAAAGTCCAAGAAACCGTCAAGAATCTCGACTGAGGAAGACTCGAGCGCCGAAGCCGACGACGAAATGGAAAACGACGAACTGACTCCCAAAGATTCCACCCCGACCAAGTACAAGTTTAGCAAAACCACCAACACTCCTCCCAAGGAGAAAACCGAGCCCAAATTGAGCCCTCTGAAGGCTCAAAACGAGAAAACAACCGAAGAACCCAGCACCAACGAAAAACCAACATCGCCGGTGGATTCGACGACATCCGAATCCGAGACGGAGATCGACGGACAAAAAATCAAAACCATATCGCACAAAGAAATAATGAAGATATCTCAGCAAGCTCCGATGAAGTTCGAGGATAAAATATCGCCCCCGAAAGTATCGAGCCCGGTTAAAGTGGAGGAGAATATCGCACCCAAAGAAAAAGAGGTCGAAACCAAGGAAACTCCGATGGAGACCGATAACACTTCGATGGATATGGAGATTGAGAAAATGGATGATGATCCCATCGAACAAACGCAACAAAAGATCATCCAGGTTGAAGAAAAATTCCCCGAAACGGTTAAACCTGAGGAAAAACCAAAAGTTGAGCCACCCACTCCTGTCGTGCAAGCTGCTGTATCTCAAGTACAACCAAGTGCCCCTATTGGATCACAAAGTCAAACTCTTGCGCCTGTAAGTCAACCAATAAGTATAGCACAACCATGTGCACCAATGGCCGTAAATCAAACTAGAGTGCCTGTAAGTCAATCTAGTGCGCCTATAAGTAAACCTAGCGTGAACCAGGTTGTTATCCAGCCGGAAAAACCCAAGGAGGAGGCGGTTAAACCCCAGGAAGTCAAGGAAAAACCTGCCGTAATCATGGAACCTCCTCAAAAAGTGGAAGTCGTTCCTCCAAGCGTTGTCGAACCTAAAATGACCGTTATTACGCCTAACGTTGTGGACAAACCCGTGGAAAAGCCTGCGGAGAAACCGTTTGTGCCACCGCCGCAAGTTGTAGAGAGGTTGGAGCCGAAAGCTCAACCTCAGCCTCAAATTCAACCTCAACCTGCCGTTATAAGTTCCGCACCGTCGGTGGTGAACAACATAGCCTATCATTTGCCGCCGATGTCTTTTCAAGCTGCTCCGGCTCAGATGCATCATCAAATCGAGCACGGTAACAACGCGGCGCCTCAGGAGAAAGCGAGGAGCGAAAAACCGATGCCTCCGAAGCCCAAACCCGCGGAGGCGGAGCAAAAACACGAGGTCAAACACGCGCCGAAAGAAGAACACAGGAAGGAGTCGAAAAAGTACGAGGAGAAGCAACTTTACCATCAGAAGATCCCTCAGCAGGAAAAACCGCAGCAATACGACCCGAAAAAGATGCACTTGGAGCAGCACGAGCAGCTGCTAGCTTCGGCGATGGCCTCGCAGAACTACCACATGGCGCAAGCGCCGTACAACCACCAGTGGTGGAACAGCCAGTTGGCTTGGCAGAAGTACTACGACTCCACCAAGGTGCAAGGCTACGCGATGCCGCTGCAGTTTCCCCCGATGGAGATGCTGCCCAAACAGCAGCTGCCCAGCTGCGAGAAGGAGAAACCCAAGGTGCACAGGCACGAGAGCAAGCAAAGCGCGAAGAGTGCGAAGGAGAAGCCGAGTCCGAGGAAGGAGGAGAAGAGGAAGAACGACTGCCCCGTGCAGCAGAAAGTTTGCCAGGAGAAGGTCGTTAAGACTCATAAAGAGACCATGGAAGATAATAGTGGTAAAGATATGGAACACCAAATGCAGCAGAACGTTAAGCAACAAAGTGCTGCGAACGATAACATACCGTCTATGGGTGTTTATACTCCTGACTCGACCACGAATTCAGTACACAGTCTGCATTACGGTCAATGCGACTTGGACGTCGCCCAGTTGGGTCTGGAATCTCCCGCGAGTATATCTAGCGATATGGCGTCGCAAAACTCCGTAGAACCGGTTCGTCCGCCCTCTCAGCAGCAACAGCAGCAGCAGCAACAAACCAACTACGACTGCGCCGTGCAACACAACCAAAACCTGCAAAACATGCAACAAAACGCCTCCGTGCCGGCTAGCAGCCCGAACATACCCAACAACATGCAAATAACGTCGGGCAAACGCCAGATGCAACAGCAGAGGTCCAGAAGTCAAACTCCTTCATCGACTAACAACGCCAGCAAACCGCAGGCGCAGCAGATGAGATCGACCACGCCCCAGCAACAGCAGCAGGTCCAGCAGAATCGGCAACAGAGGGCGACACCGCCCATACAGCAGCACCACAACGTCGTGCAGAGCAATCAGCAGCAGCAGCAGCAGCAAGTGCAGAACATGCACCAACAGCAGCAGTTTTTGCACCAGCAGGTCGTGCATCAAGGTAAGATTCAGTTTGGAGTGGAACCTCCATATCTAAGCCATAAAAATGTCGTCTTTAGGTTATGGTCATCCTCAGTTGAGCGCTTCTCCGATGCACCACAACCCCCACCATCATCATTCGGTGATCAGTCAAGGAAACTACATCCCGGTCACCGTTAGTACTCAAATGTTTGCCACTCAGCCCGGTACTAGTACTTATGTGAACGTACCCATGCCTACGACGGTGATACAACAAAGGATGACCGCTCAACAGAGTTCAGCTCTGAGTACTTTGGGGACCACCCATCAGAAGTTGGCACCATCACCTAACTGTGCTGTCACCTCAGGTAGGAAATAACAGAGTTGCAAATGCATTAAGGTTTCAATACTCCTTATTAAAATAATAAGTAATGAGTTTAATTTTCATTATGCATTACTTCTTTTATAATGAAAATTAGATTAATTTTCATTACATCTTTTTCAATAAGTACATTACTGATTATTAATTTTTAATTGGTATTTTGAGATTTTCAATTAAAATTGTTTATGTTAATGAGTAATGTACTAACTTTACATTATTTTTTTTATTTTTAATAAAAAATAATGAGTAATTGATCATTGATTATATGAATTCGTAGGTATATTTTGTTGTTTAAAATGCAGTCGGCGTTGTTTAGAGAACTCAAACATTAAAATGGTTGATTTTAAGGTTATGTTTGTGCAAAAAATATTTTTTACTAATTTCTTAAAAATGTCCAAACTTAAATATAAATTATATTAGGTAAAGTTATCATTGGTTAATTCTGCACCAACAAATGTACTTACCGAATTGGATCCGTTTACAAAACATGAAAATGCAACGATTTAGTTCTTGAATTTTATTTACAATTAAAAACACAATAATTCACCATGATCCCTTATATAAAATACACACTCTAACGTAACTATAAAAGCATTTAAGCGTTGATGATATAAAGAATAATCAATCGAAATCGAGTACTAAACCAGTTTTTTAGTTTTTTCCTTGCAACGTAAAACACAAATAACGTGCGCGATTTGGCTGTGCAATTGAACAAAATTTGTCGAGTAAGACTTCTGCCTCTCTTTTGTGAAAAAACCACCTATTTATTTAAAAATGACCACCAGATGGCGCGCGCGTTGCGGAAACTTGATACTTCTTTAGCCTATATTCTGTAACAAGTTTGGAATATGCAATTCCAAATGTGTTTTTCTACGACCACTATGTAAAAGTCGCATTTCGTAATGGCATCGTTGCTTAGAAAATGAATAATTTTATTGCCAAGGCAAAACTCGAATGTAAAGTGAAATTTCTGTGTGAAAAGAAATTGACAGAATCGTATTTTAACAGCTGTCAAACACGTTTTTACGTTATTTTGATTTTTATTTGAAAATAATAAAAAATAAAAGGGTCGTAGAAAAATTATTGTATTTAACTTGTGAGAAAAGCTTCCTTCAAGCTCTTGTTAATGCAACTTAAACATTACCATGAAAAACCATTTAAACGCTTGTAAAACAAATAACTATTTAGACCATAGTTTTTCTACGTTTTCAAAAAATACCATGGAAAAATAATTTAATTGGTAGAAAGTGAGGGTGGATTGGTGTTAAAGTTGTTAGATAATAAACACATAGATGGCGCCACCAGTGTTAACTTTTCACTCTAGCGAAATATGCTGTATTCCAAACTTGTTAAAGTGTGGGGACTAAACCCTTAATTATATTGTAAATATTTTATTATCCGGAGCCGTTTCTTTCAACACAGCAAAATTTCCCATAATTTGCAAACATCCCTGGGTTTATTACTCCTCTACCTCTCCTTTACCTTTACAAAAGAAATATATTCGTGTTTATAAATTAAATCCAAAAATATTATAGACTTTATTATTTTTGGGATTTTTGCCTCGTTCCAAATATTTTATACCTACTCACTACCCCGACCAACGGTGGAAGATCTGGCAGCTCTCAATGACCAGTACATCCTAATTCTCCGTCTTGAATACGTCGGCTCCGGCTAACTACACACTAAATTCGTAGATAGTTTGTGTATAAATGTGTATATAATAAGGTAAAGTTTGTACACCCAGTCGCCAAAACAGAATATACTATTTTAAGCCTCAATTTTTTCTTTTTTAATATTTTCTTGATTCAACTCAAGCTTCAAAGATTGCATTAAAAAAAATATACTACTGATTTTTTATTGAATAATGTATTCAAACCATATTAACATTAATTATTATTTACATTAACATGGTATTAAATGGTCTTTTGTGGTAGCACCAACGTTACTCGAACTTGTTCGTGTTTCAGGAACAAACTTCTACATCCAAACCAACCCCCACGTGCACTCTCACACCCCCACCCCCACTCCGACCCCCACTATACAAGCGAACCCGTCTCAACCCGGTTCGGGCAACTCGAGTTGCAGCTTGGCTAAGCTGCAACAGTTGACGAACGGTTTGGACATGCACCCTCCGGCATCCTGCAACACCATGACCCCTCCCCCGAACACCGCCATGACTTTGACCCCTCCCCCGCACCACCCGCACAGCACGATGACCCCTCCCCCCTCCCACCAGATGATGCAAACTCAGTCGCGGAACTTGACCCCCCCAACCGCGATACCCCTGCAACAACAAGTGCTGGGCTACCACCACAAGTACTACCAATCGGCGGGGATGAACGTGAACCAACTCGGCGGTTCCGTCACCCCGCCCAGCATCGGTCAGAACTTGGGGAGGTCTGGGAGGAGCTCCGCCAACCCCGCCATGCAGCACATGCAGACGCCGAGCAGCAGGGTCAGCCCGAACGTCACCCTGAACCCCAACGTGATGTACAACTATCGAATGACGCCGCAGCAAACGCCTGGAACCGTGACGGGGTACATAACCAACCCGGCGGCCGGTTTCATCAACAACCCGCAACTGCCCATGCAGATGATGAACATGCAGTCGCAGTACCAAGACCCGGCGGCCATCCAGAGGGCCGCCCAGCAGAATACCATGTACACGTACAGCTACGGCATCCCGTTGCAGCCGCTGAACGGCACCATGCGCCGGTAAGGGTTAAAACGCGACAGGTATTGTCATAAAAAGGTTAAGATTAGACGGTCGAACGACGGAAGACTAGATTAAAGAACCCGGTGACGTATAATACCACTATCTTGAAAATAGGGCTGTGTTAGCTTTTAAAATACGAAAATGTTTTGTTATTTTACAGTATAACCACCATATACAAAAGGGTGTTTCATTTAAATCAACTATGTTTTGTTTTTCACCGAAACTCCAAAATATTGTCCCTCAAAGATTGATTCTAAGTACTTCCTTCTTCATTTTGAGTATTGTTACACTAGTTTACAGCCATTTTGCCCACCTTGTCTCTCACTATGATTTTTTTCATGGAAGCGTTTTCAAGATTTGCATTTTCAATTGTTGTTTGAGGTGTTTTGAGTTTTTCGAGATTTTTTACGTTTTTTCTTCATTTTTTTGGATTATATAAAATTTAATATTGAACATAGAAGAAGTTGTTTTTCGTTGCTTTCGTAATCACCCATCATGGCCGCATCCCAGAAGCCGCGATACCGCCGCTCCATAGCCTTCATTTGCTGGTGAAAACGTTCTCCGCGCTCATCACTTACGTCGCCCAGATTGTGCGGGTTATTTACGCACTCGAACTCTCTACTTCTTTTACTCATTTTACACTTTTTATTAACTAAATAAAACCTTGTTGAAATATCAAAACTCAAAAAATTCCAATCAAGCACTTTATTTAGGTTTTCATTAAAGAATAAACATATTACAAAATAAAATAAAAAAATAAAATAAAAATCGTCAAAAAGCTGAATTTTGGTCTTCCACTAAAAAATTCATAACTTCGCCATTTTTCCATGTATTTTTATCAACATTAGCTTGTTTTTTTTTGTAAAAATGTCAGCTTCACGAAAAAAAATTCAAACTGGAGTTATCTGTTTGATTTAAACGTTTCCCAGGACGATATGTAAATTTTCGACCTATTTTTGCCATAAAAAGGAATTTTTTAAGTTATTCAAATCGTTAGCGTCAAAATACTTATCCGATATCAAAAGTATAAATTGAAAAAAAACAATTGAAAATTCATATTTAAAAAACGCTCCCATAAAAAAAAAATGAGTATGATTTTCGTGTTTAGTGGGTCAAAATACATGGGAAAATTATAATGGGATATGGTGGACAGAATTTTTTTTCGATTTTGTAAACTAGTGTTATCAATCACTATTTTAAATTTCTATATCTTTGCCGGGTTTTAATCATATTGTGGTTCATTGTTACTTAAAGAGTATTAAACGCTTTTTAAAAGAGTATAAGAATTTTTCAATTCACCTCAATTTTGAGAGAATGGATTGTGTTGCCAAAACATTTAAAAAAAAAGTTATAGAAAATTTAATTCTCTACAAAAATATTCTTATGTTTATATTGCTAAAGTGCACAGTTTACAAGATATTTAATAGTCATGGAATCGAATTTAAAACAAATTAATTTCAATTAAACACAATGTTTTTTTTTAATTTAATTAAACTGCTCATATATTGTATATAAATGATTTTGAAAAATTTAAAAAACATGATTGAAAACACAAATGGGAAAAATTCAAAATGAAAAAGGAAGTACTTAAAATCAAATTAAGGGCTCAAACTTTAAAGGATTTTTTTTCAATGTTTTGAACAATATTTTGGATTTTTGGTGAAAAAAAAATAAAACACCCTAATATACAGTCCCAGTAAATTTTATTAGATTAGCCTTGAATTTTAGCAGTTAAAAGAATTGGAAAAAATAATAAGTTTTCAAAGCAACGTTGGTCGAAAAATCTTTTTAATTGACAAAATTTGAGGCGAGTTTAATAAAGTGAACAGGGGCTGTAATAATGGGTTTGTTTCTAAAGAGTCCCGAGCTGTCTAAAACGGTCATACGCATGCGCAGTAGAATTCTTTCAGGGACAAACCTAGTTTTAGCTTGTGACTTTCTTATTGTTGTCTGTTCTTGACTTATGAATGATATTTTATAAATTTGTAATATTAACGGTAAGATTTATTAATTTGTCCTTAGATTATAACGTACATAAGTTTTTAAGTAACGTACCTTACACAAAAGTATTTATTTATTTGTAATAATTGTAAAATATTGTATAATATGTGGATATTATTATATTGAAAAAACAGGGATTCGGTTGATATATTAATTTAAAGTTATGTTTGATGATTTGTTAAAGTCACCGACCAAAAAACGATTTAAATATTTCATGAGACATTCTAGTCCCCTCATTTTTTGGTTGGTGTGTTATCGATTTTAAAAGCCATAGATAAACAAAAAATCTTTAATCAAAATTTAGCCCATAAGTGTTTGGTGTTTTGTCACATGTTTCTTTTTTTTCGCTGTACAGCACTGTGATTAGTTAGAACATAACCAATTTAATTGTAATTTTTTGCTGTATATTTTAAATTTGTATTATTATTATTATACATAATTAATTAAAAAATGTTAGTTTTTAATAATCAGAGTTTTATTTCATAAAGGGTGAATAAATAACACAAAATATAACAACCAATATTTTATTTAATTCGAGGTTTGTACTGTTTATTTGGTAACAAAATATAAAAACTAACATTGCATCATATAGAGCGTAAGTTTTTCAGTATACACTGAAAATTTTGTCGAAATCGATAAAAAAATGACGAAGTTATAGTGATTTTATTTATCAAGGCCACAACTGTCAAATTTTGACAGTTATGACCTTGATATCTAAAAAGTGCTATAACTTCGTTATTTTCTAACCGATTTCGACAAAATTTTCATGGTATACCAATAAAAATACACTTTACCCAATACAATAATAAGAATTCCATAACTTTGTTTGTTAAATATACATATGTGCAATATATATAAAATTAGTAAGTACACTATGAAAAATTATATTTAGGCTGCAGCATTGCAATAATTAATGCAAAGTGGTGCAAAATTATAAAAATAATTCAAGGCCGCCTTACCGAATATTTATTTACTAACATCAGATCAATAAAATAAAAATTTTTAAGGTGTGAAACTCGCTTTTCCCGAAAAAGTGCAACCGCTGCGTTGCAAGATTTCCGTCGCGGCCCAGATGCCGCATTTTATGCAAATTTCAAGGTCTTGCCCTTGGATGTACTGGGACAGAAAACCGCCGGCAAAAGCGTCGCCGGCACTGTTTGTGTCCACAATTTTGTCTTTTTCCAAGACAGTCACGGGAAATTCCCTAAAAAAATAAAAAAGCGTGTTTTTTTAAAATTTTTGCAATGTTGCCATTTCGATTCTTGTAAATGGCAACAGTGCAATTTTTAGGTGTTTCCTTTACCTTATTTTGCCCTCATGGGCCATAATGACAGGTTTATGTCCGTTTGTAATGATACAAAGTCTAGGCCTGTCTTCGTATTGTTTTGGTAATTCGCAAATTTTCAAGGCAATTTCCTTTAAATCGGTTGTACCGAAACTTTGTTCGGTTGCAAAAGTTTCGGCTTCCTAAAAATAACAAAATACCTAATTTTCAAGGTCACAAATGCCATTTTACGTTAGTGTGACGTCATAGATGTGTTTTGGTACCTTGGGTTTTATTTAAAAATGGCTTAGAAAAAATTTGTTTGTAACTTGGCAGAACGCATAAAAATAAAAACAATAAAGTATTAGTAATGACATAACAAAGTTTTGCATTTATTTTTTAAAATATTAATTAATTTCAGTTTCATAGACACACATTATTGCCAAGTTTCTCTAATTTAAATGCTTGATAACAGAAAAGAAAAAAAAATATTTTTTTATACTTAAAATAAAGGTATAACGCGATTTTTAAGTTAATACATTTGGATTAACGTCATAATGACGTCCAAGTAATGTTTTAAAAGACCTTTTTGAGTATGCAACTTGGGTTTTACCAAAAAACGAATTTTTATTTTTCAAATAAAAAATTATTGTTTTTGGAATTATACAAATTTACAAATGTTTAAAATCGACTAATTTTTTTTTGTAAAGTATATCGAAAATATTGTTTGGGGTGACATAAAAAAATATGGTGAAAGTTTGAGTCCATAATATTAATATTAAGAGGTCTATCATCGCAATTTTAGATTTTTTTTTCCTGAGCGAGTTTTTGTCTCAGAACTAATTTTTGAAGAAAATTGAATGTTCTACAAAAAAGGTTTGATTGGAATTTCCTGTCAGATAAACCGTTTTCTTACAATCATGCCTTAAAACTTGGTATAGTTTTACAATTTGATATTTTAACTTTGGAATTTTGTAATTCATGTAAAAATCAGTACCCGGAAAAAAACCAATAGATATTCTTATGGGGAATTAAATGCTCTACAAAAAAAGTCTTTTAATATTTTTGGCTAAATTCACTCCATCAAAAGTTATTCAAGGTTAAATTTGAAGTCAAAACGCTCTAGATTTTTTTGGATCAGTTAAAAACTTGAATTCTTTTATCGATGATAATCTTTATGATATTGATAAAATTACTGAAAATAAAAAAAAAATAACACATTCTATTTTTTTGCTTAAGGAAGCTATTTTCTTTAGAAAATATTATTTTCACTGTTACCTATTTAATCATTTAAATAATAACAATTATGTTATTTTTTTATTGGGAATTGTTAATTAGTTATATAATACACATTTAAAATGAAAATAATCAAATTATCATCTTTAAAAAATAAGTCTACAGAGAAAAAAACAAGAATTTCGTTTTGACTTCAACTTTAACCTTGAATAACTTTTGATTGAGTGAATTTAGCCAAAAATGTTAAGAGACTTTTTTTGTAGAGCATTTGATTTCCCATAAGAATATTTTATTATTTTTTCCGGTACTTATTTTTACATGAATTACAAAATTCCAAAGTTAAAAGATCAAAATGTAAAACTATACCAATTTTTAAGGCATGATTTTAGGGAATTCAATTTTCTTAAAAAAATATCTCTGAGTCAATTTTGTTAAACTCAATGGTTTGGGAGTTCTGAGACTAAAACAGTTTTTGAAAAACTCACTCAGGAAAAAAATTTAAAATAGTCGATTTTTTTGGCCCAGTCTAATCTACCTATTTAATCAAAATTCCTATTACTAGAAGTATTTTAAAAATAGGTTAAAGTATATTTTTCAACACAGTTCTAGACTTAAATAATTTAAAATCAATTGTGCTTAATAAATATTGTATTAATCTTAATAAAAAGTGGATAATAAATTAATTTAAAAACTTACAGTTTCATTGCCAAACAGAACATCAACGTATGGCATAACTTGCATCAAAGGATCTTTGAAAAATTGTACAATAAATTGGGCACTAAGGTTCATTAAAAATGGACGTTTATGAGCTAAGGCCACTTTAGCAACCTCCATGATTGAAGGAGGGCTGACTGTCAGGAAAAAACCCTAAAAATATTTTTTTGCAAAACTTTTTTTTTTTACATATATAATAATAACTTACAGAAACATAGTAAAAATGCGCTGTATCCACAAGCTTTTTATTCTCCTCTTTGGCAATATGGTCAATGGTAAATAAGTTAGCAGCTGCCAAGTTGGCACACAATGATCTATGTGTACCTGTTATAAGAACGGCACAAGTTCCAGTGGGTTCTTTGGAATTTACTTGGTATTGGACATTTACGCCATTCTCGCGGGCTTTATCACACAATATTTTCGAATATTTATCATCCCCAACACATCCAAAGAAGGTTGTAACTTTTGGGAACTCCAAAAGCCATTGGGCGACTCTTAAAGCGTTTTGTACACTACCACCAGCTATAAAATCGGCGTTGTATTTCTCTACAAGTTCAGTGTAGAGATTTTTATGTTTTTCATCAGCTAAAATGGCATCGTTCTCTTTCATTCCGTATTTTGTTAAGAATGACTTATCAACAACAGCTGATATATCCAATAAAGGATTTCCCATACCCAATAGCATGTTTTTCCTAAAATACATCAATAAATAATAATATTAAAGCAACCATAATCAACTTACTTTAAGTTTTCTTTATCCATTTTCCCAGATTTCTCAATGATTACCGTTTAAACAAACCGTACACGAAAATATGTCGAATCTATTTTAGGCCGCTGTTAAAAGCAGAAATTTTGTAATTTAAATGGGATTACTATTGTTAAGTCACTGTGTTTTATTTTTACGAGATTCTTTTAGATGACTGGGATAACCTTCTATGGATAACCTCAAACTGACAAGTCTCGTGCTTGAAAAAATCAGCGATAAACATCAGGATACATTAAAAGTAACCCATCGACGACCAATCAGAGCGTAGCAGCATTTGTTGCGATGCTGCGATGTTGCCGCAGTGCTGTGCCGTGCCGCGGGTAATTTAAATTCCCCGTAATAGGAGTTGTATAACAATGGCATGGACAATGTAAAAAATAGTGGTTTAAGTCTTAGATAGATATTCGAAAATGGTTTTTAAACAATATTTGACGTAAATAAGTAAGTTCTACATTATTTATTTTCATTAATACAATTATAATAGGTAAAGGTATTTTTAGCAAGCAAAAATATTGTTAAAGCTAATGGAAATGTATAGGTAACTTTGTAGGTATGCATACCTACAAAGTTACCCTTGTACATGTACATATCCCTGCCTAAAATACCCCATAGAGACCTTTATAAAATAATCTATCGGGCACTACCGGATTCAATATGTGCATTTGTCCATGGTTTTTTTCCGGATACGGCCCGATAGAAAATTTATAGGAAATTATCTATAGGCACACCATAACTTTTACATTTTCCCTATTGAGACTGATAGGAAATAACTCAATGAAGGATATATAGGGATATCCCTATAGAAAAACCATAAAACATTTGACAAAATTTTATTAAAACCTATGGGGTCCTATGGGGGAAAAACTAATTTCTACATTTATGTGTATTTTCCCCATTGAAACCAATAGCAAATAAATCAAGGGTGGATTTCCCTATAGAACAACCATAAATCCCAACTATGGGTTCTATACAAACCGATACACCCTATAGAAACACCATACATTTCGATATAAATCTATCGGTTTAAACAGGGTCTCTATGGGGTATTTTAAGAAGGGATTTTGTAATTATCACAATAAATAAAAAAACTGCAATACCTACACATTCTGCACTTTAATTTATATTTTCAAATAATTTTAATTATTACGTAAAGCTTTTTGGCCATTTTGGACACCTTGGTAATATTTACAAATTTTAATTTGCTCAAAAAATGCTAATATTTATTTTTTCATTAAGAAATAAAAATCCACACAAAACTCCTTTCCCTATCAAAAGCGATATTTAATACTTGAACAACCCTGAAGTGAATATTTAAATAAAACAAACTATTGTATCTATTCTTTTTTTAATATAAAATAATCAATCATACAATATAATTTTAATACATGTTGTGATTTTTTTAATTTTTTACATAATAAGTATACATAGCCAAATAATGTTATTACTAGGGCTGGGCGATTATGGAAATTCATAATCGATTATTGATTATATAAAATAATCGATTATTTGATTAATCGATTATTGATTCTTCTTGGATTGGATATTTCCTCTGTGCTCATCACCAGGGTCCATGCATTTAAATATTTGGGATCATCATCACTCATTATGTATTGTGCTTCAATAGGACCTCCTAATTTTTCCTTGAGTCCATTAAAAAATACTTTCGGTATTTTTTGATCCATTCTGTTAGAAAGTAAAAATGCAACAGGAAAACCCATGTTGTTCTCATCTTTAATTAGCACAATGGTGAAATCCCAATTTCTACGATTAGTGCCATGTGTCCCCTCAATGCAAATATTTTTTTTAAATTCCCTTAGTTTTCTTTTCATTATCCCATTCATATATCCCAAGGCAAAATCTTCATCCTTCAATCCTGGAAAATTCATTCCTAAAAATGATATTTTTGTGAGTAACCCCATAATGTATTTAATAATCCAATTTCCTACCTATTTAATTAAATAAAAATGCATCATTCCTTCCCTGTTGATTCCATTCCTCAACTTTCAAAGATACAGCAATCATATCATCAGTATGCCTTTTTTTATCAATTTTATATTTTCAGATTAAATATCACCCCTTGTAATTACATTAATCCTTTCCAAACTATGGTTACTAACCATTCTAGCATTTTGGATTATTCTTTGGCTTGTTACTCCTGCATTTAATTTTTCCACACAAAACATTTTGTTCACTTTTTGACAGTCGTTTAGTCTGTAGGTCATCCTCATGTCCCACATGTGTCTCAAAAAAAGTTACTGTAACATATCCTAAAAAAACATAGATTTGAAACATATGTAAATGAATTTATTTTCTAATTATTACATATTGCTAAAATAGATTTAAATATTTACCACTGGTAGAAATTTTTGCAGTTATATTTGAGGGGCATATTCCATGAATCCTAATACTTCCTTTGGCTTTTAAACTACGTTGAGTAGCAGTACTACTAAATCCTAAACAAGAGATAATAAGTAATGTTAAATACTGCGAATAAAGCATACAACCTGCACAGTTACTTCTATTGCACTTGTAATACCAATGTTCTTCTCCATTTGGCCTTTTATTTTTCCTATGACAAGCATAATTAACTTCCCTTTTTTCTAGTGTTCTTCAGATTTCAAATTCTTTAATGTTATTAAAGTTCAAAGTAGAAACCTTAACAACAATGTCGTGAATATCTTTTAAATGCTTTACAAGCCTATGGCTTAAAAATGTTTCCCCTTCAGGGCATAGTGGGCATAAAATTCGAGGCGTTGTTTTATTCTCCACTGGCTTATTGTGGACTCGCTTTAGATGATCATTTTTGGAAGAGATACTGCAAAATTCCATCTCACAATGCTCACAAATTTTGGGATTTGTTTGCCTACAAAGTAAACATTTAATTTTTAATTTAACTTATTTGTGTAAACTTACTTATTTAAATCCATTTTAAAGAATATAAATATATATTGAATATGCACAGAAAAACTCAAAAATCGAATAGAGTAACACCTTAACACTAAAAACACAACTATTAAGTGAAAAACACAGAAAAGCCACACTTGAAGCAAGCAAACGACGTGACAAAACAAATGTGAAAATTGCTGCCAAGATATTGAGGTTATGTTTGCAAATTACCCGCGGCCCAGCATGCACTACGGCAACACTGCATCGCTGCAGCCTTCTAATTGGTCGTCGATGGGTTACTTTTAATGTATCCTATAAACATCGTGGAAAAATCCGAAGAAGTGTTGAACTCACAGACAGTGTTGCCAATTTACTCTTAAAAGTTACAAATTACTTAAAACTTCAAAAAGAGATCCAATTTTTTTAGATTAAACTCTATGTCCCTAAACCACTCCAAATAGTCTAAAACCCGAAAAAGTATCAGGAAATCAGATAAAAATCATTACATTAAAAATGAAATTTCCAAAATGTCCAGTTTCCAAAGGAAAATATAGAATTATATTACAAAATTCACGTTATGTTCTGATTACTTACATTTACTCACAACCGTACTTTACTTACAAAATACCGCACAAACCATGAAACTCCTACAAATGTAAGGAATTACTCACATATTGGCAACACTGCTCACAGAACTGTAGCACAAATCCTATTGTGCTTTTTTTGGATATGGCGCGAAAATGTATTTGAATAAAAATCAGTCATTAAACACAAACGCCTTAAAAATAATACAAATTAATATTTTTAGTCCAGACTCTCTTTTTATAGAAATACTTAGAACTTCTAAGCATTTCTATAAGTTAGAAGTTTTCTCTTCTTGGAAATGTGGGGCGGCATCTAGCGGTGGGCTATCGGAGATCAGGTTGGTTGTATGATCGATAGATGTCCTGGTGGTATTGTATTAAAATAAATGCCTATTTTTAGGTTTATAACGTTTTAATTCTAATACTTGGAAAATATAATGTCATGGTATTTAAAAGAATATTTTATTGTTCATTACAGGGTTTTGTAGTATTATAAGTTACTTTGTCGACCTATATGCAATGTTTTATTACTATATTTGTATATCCCATATGGTCTAGTGGCTAGGATACCTGGCTTTCACCCAGGAGGCTCGGGTTCGATTCCCGGTATGGGAATTTTTTTTTATTTTAATGTTTTTTAATTTAATTCGAAAACTATTTATCTCAAAAATGTTTTGTATTTTTTATACTTAAAATAAACACCCTACAACTTGGTATACCTGTACAAAAAAAGTAGAAAATAATTTTCCTATTTTCAAAAATTAAAAGTTATTTTTTATTTAAATTAATCAAAATATTGACAGTTTTAAATTTTATTGTTCGATATTTTAGTTGGCAACAACAATTGAAATTCTATGTTTAAACAGTTGAATGATGATGGCGTTAGAAAACTTTGTTTATGTTATTTTGTGTCGTGAAAATTGTAAAATAGTGTTGGAAAACTGTAGAAAAGGAAAATTAAACATGCAAAAAAGTAAGCAATAAAGAAACTTAGGTATATTAAAATCGTGCTTTTTAAAATCAACTCAAAATACTGCAGCTTTCTGAAATAGTTTTATTTGTTTTTAAACATGTAAGTCTAAAACAATTAATTTTGACATATTTAGTTCAAAAACAGGAAAAAGTTAAGTTTATTTCATGGAGCCTACACAAGGAGCCCGAACTTAATAGGGAAAATTGACAAAACCTGTCCACTAAATTGCACAATTTAAGTCTTTTTTTTTCACCACCAGCGGCGCTGCTTGTTAATGCGTCCGAATTACGTGAAAATAGTATCGAAAATACATGTGAAGTAAGCAAGTAAGTTTTGACAATTGATTTGCAATAATGTTTTGACGTACGAATCGTTTTGTTATTTATGGCTGTACCTGGTAGGTAGATGCTAATGAAAAGGTTTTGGTTGTGAAATATAAGTGATTCTTTATAATCTGTGAAGTGAACCAGGTACATGGGTACATTGTTTTCAGAAAGTGATAAACTGACAGTTGCATAACCTCAATTATTTGCACAATAATAAGTGGTAGGTAGTGGCGCCATCTCTGGTTATACCCCTCTACTGTTTTGGACCGGTAGTACACCAGCGCCCTCTTATCTTAGGAAGATTCTTGTTTACATGAAGTTCGGGCTCCTTGTGTAGGCTCCATGGTTTATTTAATGGTGGTATTTATTTTGTCGTATTTTTGTAAAACTGAACAAGTAAAGAAAATTATTGCAAAAAATATAAAAATTAAAAAATTATTTGGAGGAGCTGG